CTATTTTTAAAATAAAATAATTATTCAATACAAATTTGTCGCCCTATACCTATTAAGTACACTTGGCCTATACTTCAAACAATACTTAGCCTGACGTTAAATTCGTTAGTAATCAGGTCATTAAGATTATACTATCGTTTATAATATTCCTAACGGCTAACCATAAAATGAAACTGATGTTATCTAGACAGATTGATGAACAAATTTGTTCAATTTTTGTTTAGTTTCCTATTCAGTTAATTCATTTATATATACATATGTATATTTTTATTTAACTGATTGATACATGCAGTAAAATAGTAAATTTCCCAATGCAATATATGGTTAAATAATTACTATTATAAGAAGTAATAATGTAAATAATAAAATAGGTATGCCTGCAGCGAGTTGAGCACAACCGTAATTTATTGGATAAAAAAGAAATATATGGATACTATTACTTTATGATGAAAAAAAAGGTCAAGGAAACGCAAAATGATATATTTTATGTAATAAGGCAAAAACACTATAATAATTTATTATTTAGACAAAAAAAAAAAAAACAAAAAACTATGCGATACGGAAACAATGCAGGAAACATTTTCTTCTCTTTCTCTTTCTTTTTTACACGGAATTTAATTCAAGGAAAAACATTAAAAACCATTCTCAAAAATCAATTTCGATATAATTAATATGCAATACTATACAGACAGATACATCATACTTAAAAAGTTATGATCATTAATTATACTTTTGTAAACTGTGGTTCGTGAAACAAAAAAAAAAAAACGACCGTGGGCAAATATAAAACTGCGTCACTGGAGTCGAATTTTTACCCAACAAGAAAAATTATTCTCAACACAATAATAAATTATCGAATACTATAATTTCGACTATAATAATGCGAAATTCAGTTAGCTGAATGTGGTTAGCTTATCTTATAGCTTATCTTATCTTATCTTATCTTATCACGAACAAAACTTTATCACGGGAAATCGAATACTGGGAATTATAGATTATAGTTATAAACCTGTCAGTTACCATTTTGTAAGAATTCTACGTTATGAAATTAAATTTAGTTGACCAAACTGCAATTGAAATATTTATAAAATATAAAAATAAATACATTGGTAGTCGGTTCCGATGAAACTGAAAACATTTGAAAACCGATAACCTGTAAAAAATCTAAACCAAAAAATCAAAATTTAATAAAAAGTATTATAAATCGTAAGAATATTATAGTTAATAATAGGTTATTCTTTTAATTTTCAAAGGGTTTTCAAATTAATTGGAAAAACCATAAAAGATGGAGTAAACGATTTTTTTAAAATTCGGCAAAACGATTTCATTATTTTTCCTTACATTTATACATTAAATTTCAGTCTATATTCTACCTTCCCAACTTCCCACTTACACCAAAGGCTGTAACCGTTCTAAAGGACATCTATTTTATTCTGTTTTTTTAAAATAGGTATTATTTTTAAGTAAAGCAACCACAAAGTAGAGCCAACAGAACCAAAGGTCAAATAATTACCAAAATTAATAGGTTACTTTTTGATTTTTCAAGGGATTTTCAAAATAATTTGGAAAAACCGGAAAGAACATTATAGGTAAAATGACTAAGTAACATGAGATCGACTTTGTTCCATTTAATGTCTAGCCACTATCAGAGAAAGTTTAAATCATTGAGTGGTTTACCGAATAATAGGAAAATACCAACCAAGATGGAAAATACAATTTTTTCAAATTTCGACGCAACGAATCCACTTAAAATTTGTAAGATTATATTTTTCTATGAGAAATCATAGTCCAAATTTCAAGAATAGCATATTTTCTGAAATTATATGTTGTCCAGTTAGCGAGTAAGAAAGCCGTTGTTTGAGTTTTCTTAATAATTACAAAAAATCAGGGAAAACGTAAGAACCATGGCAAAGCATATTATTTAAATTCTGTTATGTTTCCGAATAACAATTTGAATTTAGATATTAGTAAAAAAAATTACTCCTTATTGTATGATATGTATGCATTGTTTCAAGAGTCTTACTATGAAAACGGAGTGCGAAGTCCTATATTAAGTCCTGCAAAGTTTTTGAATTGGAGACCGATTATTGTTATTCATACTTCGAAGCAGAATGATTCAGCAACAGCTTCTTCAGACGATGAAAGTTTGGAAATAAAATCCTCTGAAAATTTTAAAAGTGTAACCACTTACTGTATTTTAATTCATGATTGTGTTGTATAATTCATACCATTAACTATAGATAATTAAGAAAACTTATATAATAATAGTTAAGAAAAACATATTTGTTTTATGTATTGTATACAATTAAAGTTATTAAAAATTATATAGTTTTGTAAACATTAAAATAAAAAAATATAAAAATATAAATAAAATTCTGTTTTTATTTACAAAAAATACAAAACATAAAAAATGATTTAAAAAAGTAGCCAAATTAGAGAAACCAATTTTAAGGTTTCATACTGCGTTTTGATAGATCATACAAATATATCATAATATTCTTATTGTTCTTGTTTTTGACTTCATTGCTTGATTTAATTAAACATCGATTAAGTTACATCGAGCACTTCTCAACCCACAGTACTCAACGCTGAACAGCAGGCACCAGCAACTCACGGCCATATAAGTATGATATATCGTAGTGCTTAAAATTTAAATTTTTGATCCTAAATTGTAATAAATAAAATCGAATCATGACTATTATATTTTTATGATATAAGCTATCCAGATATGTTAAAATTGTATTTTTAATTCTAATTTTGTATGCACCTCTAAATGAAAAGCTGATCAAAATTATGGCTCGCGTAAATTTTTACTTTTTGGTTGCCGACCCCTGCTACAGTAAGGATAATGCTACAGCTATCAATAGCTATCAAACGTGCTAAGTTGTCCCGGCAAGTTTTCATGTTACAATTTATTTTCAATTTCCGTTTGATTTTTGTCACTTCTAGGTATTGTCTCAAGTAAGTTTTGTACTTCGTTTAAAATAATTGTTACGTCGATTTTCAGTTAGTTATTTTGGCCTCATGATTGTTTGAGTTAAACGTTATTTCCGTAGTTTTATTTGTATAAAAAGAGATTCCGAATATTTGAGATGTTTCGCATGGCATCTTGTTCTATCATCATTCTCAGGGCGCTATCTAGGGGGGGCAAAATGTGCCCACGAACAGGGCGCATAACCTAACCGTTAGAGTCAAAATATCATCCATAACGATAAATCGTAATTCGCTGTATACAAGATTATTCAATAGGCGTGTTCACCCTATTTTTTTAGTTAAGTTTTGTATAAATTCAAATTCTGAGTTTAGGTAGGGGAGAGTAGTTTAGTATCAATAGAACGCTGCACATCGTGTTGGTATACAACTGATACTCAATTTGTCTCCTCCCAAATAAACTTAACCTCTTTCGGCATATTGTCACAAAAATGGCACAAATTCATTTTCACCGATTATTTCACTGACAAATTATTCGATTCCAAGACTTGTTACATGGCTGAATTCAGCACGAAAAACCAAATAATTTTGACATAAGATAAAGAGAATTGCAATGAATAGAGAAGAGTGGAAGAATATTTCATCATTCAACCAATCTACGGATTGAAAAATAAAAAAATTAAAAAAATACTGTTAAGTAATTTAATGCACGAAGTCCTCCACAAATATATAGTTTTGGTGCGCGTTGCGCTATTTTTGACACACGTTAAATGGTGAGCTTTTTGGGGTCAAAAAAGGTCAAACATATTTTCAAGTATTTGTTTATATCACCATAAGATACTCCTTAAACGTTGTGACAAATTTAAATATTAAAAAATAACGGCTATAATTAAAAATTACAAAAATCAGAATTTGAATGATGTATGCGAAATTTAATAGGAAAAAAAAAAGGTTGAGTACGCTAAGTGAATCATTCTGTAAATTGTTGTTCAATAGTGTCACACAACTCACGTTTGTTCTGTTGATTCGTATACAATTTATAACTAGTACTTAAGTCGTAAACAACATCCATCGTGTTGACAGTGCAATGTTAACAGCCTTAGACGGACCTATCCAACAAATAATGATAAACGGAAAATTGGCACGTTCATTGTAAACGCAGAATACTGGTACGTTCATCAACAATCAAGATTTCCCGAAGTATAAAACTAAAATACACCCTTAGGTATTGCAGGCCCGGATTGAACAGGCGGGCCACGTACAATTTTGGCCGGTAGCCAAAAAAATGGGCAGTTATTATTTTTGGACAAAAGTTGACTGGTTTTTTTTATATAGATAATGGTACATAAATGTATACAATTGATAATAACTGGAATAATTAAATCCGTAAACTTTTGTTATCTCGTATACAACTGTGTAATTCTATGATAGATTCATCTGTGGTGTGACGGTTAGACAAACATTAATTAATTTGATATGTGTCAATTCACCCCTGAGGCCAAATAGCCCCGGTCTCCCCTATTAGTGATTAGTTATTAGTATAATATTATAGTTCCAAATACGCGGGTTAATAACAATAATAACGACGAATGCGTTGGTTGTACAGTGTATTGGTCACCACCACATTCCCAAGAATCGATAATGCACGCTGACGTTGCTCGTCAGTATTTATTGTATACTAGTAGTTGTATGCCCAAGCAATATATGAGTTATGTCCAAAAATATGGAACGATGAGGAACTCCTAGAAGAATGGAACAAGGCCATCGTGGTACCGCTACACAAGAAAGGTGACAAACTTAATTGTAACAACTATAGAGGAATATCACTGCTGAACACGACATATAAGGTGTTTTCAAAGATATTACTAGGAAGATTACAACCCTTTGCAGATGAATGTATAGGGGAGTATCAATGCGGATTTCAAAAAGGGAAACCGACAATAGATCAGCTGTCGGTGATTGGTCAAATTATAGAAAAAAAGTTTGAATATAGGCAAAATGTGTGGCAGGTATTTGTCGATTTCAAAAAGGCCTATGACAGCATTCATCGGGAAAGTCTTTATAGTATAATGTACGAATTCGGAATTCCAAGTAAGCTTATTTCCATGACAAAAGTGTGCATGAATGGTACAAAATATCAAGTAAGAGTTGACAACGTACTATCCGAAGAATTCCAAGTGGTAACAGGCTTGAAACAGGGTGACGCTCTTTCACCACTACTATTCAATATTGCACTGGAGAAAGTCGTACGGAGTATACAAAGGGATAACTATGGTATCGACATCGACACAAACAAGATTGGTATTTTAGGTTTCACTGATGATTTGAATATAGTTGGTGATGATGGGAAGAGTGTGGCGCAGAGCACCACAACCCTCATTAACGAAGCAAAAACCATAGGGCTGAATGTAAATGATAATAAAACCAAAGTGATGGAGCTATTACCAGAAAACAACCATGTCGACAATATAGTGATTCAAGGGCATACATTTGAAAAAGTGCATCAATTTACATATCTGGGGGCCTCTATCAGTGGTATTAAATAGCCGAATCATCAAGGCAGAAAAGGCATCATTTTCGTTAACCAAATACCTAAAATCTAAACTGTTTTCTAGAAGAACCAAAGTACATCTTTTTTACACGACGATAATTAGACCAACGCTAACATATGGGTGTGAAGTATGGCCTTTAACATTCAAAATGGAACAAAAACTTATGTCGTTCGAAAACAAAATACTAAGAATTATCTGTGGCCCAGTATATGACAACGACCTGGGGTGCTGGCGCAGAAGAACGAACAAAGAGACTCGAGATTTGACAGGAGTACAAAGAATAACCAACTTTGTAAAAACACAAAGAATAAAATGGTTTGGGCACGTGATGAGAAGGTCAAACTCAGATTACCTTAAGGCGGCGGTCGAATGGAAACCCACAGGGAAGAGACCGAGAGGACGTCCAAAGAAGCGATGAATAGATGGTATAAAGCAGGACTTAGAGAAATTAGGGATATCAAATTGGGAAGATAAGGTACAAAATCGAGAAGAGTGGAGGGAGGTGTCGGTGGCGGCAAAAACTCTTGAAGAGTTGTGATGCCAATGAAGAAGAATAGTTGTATGCTGTGCGCATGTTTATGAAAATAAATATAATTCCGATTGACGGGGATTATTCTACTAGTTTATCGCCATTGTTATCGCAATATCGCCTAACGATTAATGGAACTAATAGATACGAATACACTTACACACTACATACAAATACGCATATCGCATTATTATTACCAGAGATGGACACTATCGAATGGCTTATACTATCGATAGTCTTCGATGGTTTGGGTAAACTATCGAATATTTCATTCGAATGTTTTTGCCCGTGACCGAATACTTTGAGTCTACGTCATTTTGACGCGGTAAATTCGACGAAACTACATTTCAACGAATTTTTGTTTTTGTTTAATAATATTATTATTATTGATTTATTTTTCAAAATAAATGTATTTACGTAATAATATTTTAGATATTAGATTGTATATAAATATTACAATTATCATTATATTATTAGAATGTATAACATTTTAACATTGGCATTTTATATTCAATAATTGTTTATTTAATTTTTATTTAATATGTATATTTTTAAAAATAAACCAATAATAACAATTCGAAAAAAAAAATGCATCGAAATATAATTGCATAAAAATAACGTGCATCGAATGTGCCATATGCCCAATTGTCTCGCGTCGAAATGACACAACACCCGAATAATTATATTCGGAAAAATATCGAATATTTCGAAAAACTATACGAATAATTTTTATTCGGCCACGGGAAAAAATATTCAAATAGTGTTCATTCGAATATAAACTATTCGAATAGTTCGACATAAAAATATCAAATAGATTAGCTATTCAATAGTGCCCATCACTAACTATATAACCTATTTTAAATAACTTGTTCACTAATTTAGTATTTTCTACATCAGTCCTGAATCAAAAAGCTTATGCGTTTTTATGTTTACCGTTTTGTATATAAAATGGGTAAGTAAATTAAATATATATAACAACTACTGTAGAAAAAATTTAAATTAATATTTTAAATAGTTTGAAAGTTTAAATTATTAAACTTTGGATGTAAAGTTCCTTTTTTTACAAAAAAAATCAAATAATTATGATTAATATAAAAAATAGAATTACCTTAATAAACTAAATTATTAAATTGTTTGGTAGAAAAAATATATTTAAATAATATTATCTTCAAATAAAAAATTATTTTAAATATTAAAATTTTCTTAATTAATACATTTTTGTGAATAATAGTATAAATTAATTTCATTTCAATAATAATATTTCATACATTTTTTAATTCATTAAATGCAATTCTTGAAATATATAAAAATATAATTTAATTATTAATCCCCCTTACAATAAAGAATATAAATTATAAATGTATTTCATGATGTTTCATTAATGTTATTTATGTTTTATTAATTAAGTTATTTATTAAAGTAATTAAAATAGTTTGTAATAAGATAATTATGTTTGATTTAAGAGGTCATTTTGTTAAAATTTATATTATTGATATTTTTAAATTTATTATTATAGTTAATTGAGTTATCATTTTAATTTATTTTAAATAATTATTATAATTTTGATTTACAATATCAATGTTGTTTTTAAACTATTAAAATGTAATTTATATTGATAAAAAATTAAATTTATGTATAAATTATAAATTATTATTTTTATACAGAAAATACTTTGTTTTTATTAAAATTATAAAAATTTTTAAAGATTAAACATTAATATGCTTTGAAAAATAGTTAGTAGCTTAGATTGCGGGAGTAATTATAATTTATACCAAGATACAAGACTACTTTATGACAGAAAATATCTCAAATAATTTTACGACTAGTAAACTAATCACGATTCCTAAGAAAGGTAACGAGACAGAAATCGCTAATTATAGAACATTGTTCTTAATATCACATACATCGAACATTTTGATTAACATCATAAAAAAAAGGATAAAAAAAAAATTTGGAAAAGGTGTTAACATAAAAAAAGAAACATCTTTGTAAAAATGATACATTAAAAACCATCTAAAAAACATTAGACGGTATTGTCCGATTGATATATTTATTTTTTTAGTGGTATATAAGTTTTTTTAAACAAGGGAGGTTAGTAGGGAAACGAACCAAGCCTACTATAGTGTATAGTGAAACTTTCACTTAATCAATCGTGGGGCCTGCAATACAAAACTAAAACTAAATATCAACGAATCAATATTTTGAAACGTAGAATATCCCAGGTAAATTGGTAATAAAAAAAACTAAATTTATCCTTGAGACAAAACCTACAAGCGACAAAAAAAAAAATTCCAATCGTGAAACTAAATCATATCGAAGTTTGCTACGATAAATAGGAGTTGTAACAAAGTTAGTAAATTTAAAACTTCAGCATTATTCTTAATGTAAAGCGTTGACTTTGACTGTACAACGATCTCTAGTTCTCGTACACTGAAATAATAAACAAACAAAATTTAAACATCTTCCAGTATACAAAATGGACAGCAAATATAGTTAGATAAATGGCATACGTTACCAGTTTTCTGTACACATTTTCTTCGCACTAAAACGTTCATATTTTTAATGGGTTTTCTGGGGTAAGACGACATTGGGCAATGTAGTAGGTTAATTTTAATTTGATTGTAAACCATCGACGTAGTTGCTATAATATCTTTATTTGTTTTGGATTTGGGCCTTAATGGTATTTTACTTGGTTTACTTAAACAAAATATACACATATAATAAATACATGTTAATATAATATCTGTATTCTGTGTGTATAAAAGTGTACAATTTCGAACTTAATTTCGATTTCATATGTTAAACAATCAAGTAATTAATTTTTATAAAGTCTCGAAAAATGCTCTGTGACTTTTTCAATGCGATAAATAAATTAGTACCTACGAGTATGTGACTTTTCCCAATATTTCTTCATGTTTTATTTATAATAAATGTATTATTAATTATAGTATATAAGACTCGCATGCTCTTCTTGTTATATGATAATGATATTACGTTAAAGTACGTGTATATATAATCTCAAAAACTACTGGACCAATTTTTACGATGTTTATCGTAAAATAATCCGCTTTGACGCGGGAAAGGTTTATAGCTATTGAAATCCATCCTCTATTGAAAACCATCCCCCAACATTCGATTATTAATTATTATTAAATTATTTATTTTTATGGATTACCTTAATAACACGAATGAAATTTGAAAAAAAAATAAAAAGTCAGCCCAAATTTATCTATGGAATCTTTGGTAATTAATATAAATAAAAATAATTATAAAGATCTTAAACTCTCACTATTTTCTATGTATTATATTATTTCCAGACACATACACCTAATATATTGTACATACTAACTGTCTCACGCCCGGCGTTGCCCGTGCCAATTTGTATTATTATAATTTTACCCATATTCATTTTTGGTTTTGGCCGTGTCTGAATTGAATGAAAACAAATAGGTGGAAAGTGGGTACCTATTCCGCTTTCGGCAGACTAAATGTATTCTATTGTAGAAATTATTCATCGGATATAAATGTGTGATGCATTAAAATTTTCAGAAAAATAATCTTTACAGAATAGCTATCTTAAAATGTTCAACAACAAAAAAAAAAAAATACAGAATTTGGTTATCTTTATTATCTCCGGAGATATTAAAGGGGTATATTTTCGTGGGACAGCCTGTATACACACACATAAATTATAATATTGTTATTATAGCAACTAGCAACCATGGACCCTAAGGAAATTTTTTATTTGTATTCGTTATAATTGTAATTCTTGTAGGAAACTTATGTACTGGTTTATTATGTTTTGTGTCAGAACCTATGGGTGATTTTTACTTGCGATATCTCATGTGGGAACTTACGTTCACCCGTTAATTATATAAACGCTAATAATCGTATGTTACGATAATAATATAAATAATATTGAAAACCTGCTCTGTTTGCGTTCTTCTTTTAGTAGATTCTCGGGATTTTTTTCGGACTTTTCTTTCTCTTTTTCTGCAGTATCTATAATTGGATTTTCTTTTGCTTGCAATATATTACTTTCTGCATCTTTTCCAACTGGATTATTTTTTATGTTGTCTTTTTTATTTTCTTTGTCGGGCGTTAAATTTGAAACTCTGTTTGCTTTAGATTCAATTGATGAATTTACTATATTGTATAATTGCAATAATTCACTATCCGACTGAGTCGAACTATGAACATTTTTTTTTATTTTTAAATCGATTAACTCTTGAGTAAGTTGAGTAATTCTCTGATTTGATCTTTCTAGATCAGCGTCTTTTTCCTTTGATATTTTATTTACAGAGTTCAATGCTTCTTGCCACAATTTTTCATTATGCTTGTTACTATTGATGGTTTCAGTTTGTTCGTAAAATTGTATTGTTAGTTTCTAGTCATATTGAAGTTTACTATGATAACTGGGAGTTGTAACAAAGTTAGTAAATTGAAAACTTCAGTATTATTCTTAATGTATAGCGTTGATTTTGACTGCACAATGATCTCTAGTTCTCGGACACTGAAATAATAAACATACATGGTTGAAACATTTACTGGTACACAAAATTGATAGAAAATATAGATAGATATATGGCATAGTTACCAGTTTCTTATTTAAAAGGTTTCCGCGGTACTAAGTTGTAATATTTTTGAAGAGATTTTTTGGAGTAACACTGCATGTTAAATTTAATTTGATTGAAAACCATCGATTGTGTTACCATTACCTCTTTATCTGGTTCGGCTTTTTTTGGAGTTTTACTCGGATTTCTTAAAAAAATGTAAATATAATAAACAAATATTAATATATTATGAATATGATTATCTAGACTCTGTATGTATAAAAGCTTAAACGAGAATATTTTCAACGGATTGACCCTCGAACCACCATCAACCACTTATAAAATTGTTATATGGTGCATCGCACTTTTAAACCTAATTTTAATTCAATATGTTAAACAATCGAGTGATAAACTTTTATAAACACTCGGAAAATACTCTGTTACTTTTTCAATACGTTAAATAAGTTAGTTCCTATGTGACTTTTTCCCAGCGTTTTTTCATTTTTCAATTATAATACATATATTATTAACTATAGTAAATAGAACTAATTTTCAAATAATTACCTATATACAAATTTATCCCGGTATAGTTAGACAAGTTAACTTACTATAAAAAACTTGTACGCTGTTCTTGTTATTGTTAGGGTGTGGATTATAATACAAATTTAATTTTTTAAATTAGCAATGTTGTCCTAGCAAAAAATTTTTTGAAATTTTATGTACTTTTTTAGATTTTTAAGCCATTTTTTTATTTCTTTTTACGAACTTGATAGTGCTATCAGAAAATGAAATAAAATTTATTTTGATATCCACCTAAAACAAAAAAGATATCATATTTCTATTTTTAAAATGTGTATTTGGTATAGATTTATTGATTGTATCAGACAAATACGATGCCAGCTGCAAAAAATAAACCGATAAGAATAAGCTATTTATCGAGTTGTATAATAGTCGTATTGCACTATTTGCACTGTGTTTAATAAATTTATACAGGTACTCAAGAAAAAAACGTTTAAAATAATATTTAGAGCATTTTTAACTTTTTATTTTTTTAAGTGCATAAAGAGCATTTATGGTACATTTAAATCCTCACCCTAGCAGTAATATTAAGTAAAAATACGTATATTGTATATAATATGGACATTTTCAAAATAATTACTACAAAACTCAAAAATAATAGTACTAACGGCGCGGCGCGGCGGTTTGACACTACGGCAGTACGGTCAGTACCGATATGACTAAACCGATAAAATGAAATAAATAGTATGTTAGCTATGCCATTATAAATATATATTTAGACATTTAATAATTTAGTTTGGGTTTAAAACTAGATAAGAATTTATATCCACATTTTATCGAAAAATGTAATAAAAATAAAATAAAATACAGATAAGCGCTAAAATTATATGAAGTAATTTGAAAATGTAGCGCAGGCCAGATAAAAAAGGTACGCGGGCCGCCAGTTGTCCATCCCTGGTATATAGGATGAACAGGAGCGTATTTTTAGAAGGGCTAAGTATGCAGCAGTCCCTGCTCCTGAAATTTTAAGAAAATCTAAAAATTATTCTCATCTTCTATGAAAGTCACTGCAATAATCCTAAATTGTAATTTATTGTTTTAAAATTCGTAACTGTATGTGGTCAACTTATCTATCGCTCATAAACAAAACTTTACCACGGGAGAAAGAATATTGGGAATTATAGATACTAATTATAAGCCTGTATAGAATTCTATATTATGAAATAAAATTTAATTGATGAGTTTACCTTAAACTACTATCAAAAATTATATTGGTAGTCAGTTCGCCAGGATTTGAGATAATTTTGAAAACCGATAACTTCTAAAATCTTTAAATTGAAAACTCAAAATTTAAAAAAAAAGTATTGTAAATCATAAGAATATTGTGAATTTTTGATTATAATTATTGAAATGAATAAAACATATATTACTATAGTATTATAGTTTTAGTGGCATTGTAATTTTTTTTTGTTATTATTTGATTATTTTCATTAAAAAATTATTCAAGAGTATACACAGTATATCCGTGATTTTTAAGTAAAATATCGAGAGGATATGGCGTACAATATATAGTATACCTATGGGGACACCTCAAGTTACCGGTATCCTATTCTCTATAGACACCAAAATTGTATGCTAACTGGTTACAGGTTAAAATCCTTTTCAGAGAAAACAATTAATTATTAAACTTCAGATTTAAGATCATTAATAAAAAGCTAAGATAATGGGGAAGGGTGCAACCACTGTTGTAGGTGGGAAGTTCGGAAGGTAGGATACAGACGGGAATTCAATTTATATCCGTAAACAACGATTAACCATTACTAATGAAAAAGCGATTTTAAGCAGAGCTCAGTTGATTGTGTTGCTTTTTCAACAATATATTTGTCATATAATGATAAAAAAATACATATGCATTAAACATTTTCTTTAATAATATTTGTTTAATATTATAATTGTTTTCCCCGTTTTTTTACGATTATTTGGAAAACTCCTGGAAAAATCAGAAAATGACCTTCCTAATATATCATCCCAATCAGATTTCTTTTCAAAAAAATGGTACTATTGTAAATTGAAGAAAAATTGTTAGTAGAAAAGTTGTTCACAGGAAAAAAAAATATCGTTATACATTTTAACTAATACCTAAATTTCATATATTTTCCCATTTTTTCTCTGTAATTACGAAAAATGGTTAATTTTTTTTACAGCATTTAAGGAGTATCATGTAACAATACCAAATTTGGTTTTTCAAATATGAACCTATATTAAAAATCCCGTAAATAGATGGAGTAGTTATACTTTAAATACATTTTGGTAGTATTCGAAATTTTCGGCTTTAACTACACTAATAAATTCCAAAAATCAGAACTTGACTAAATGCAAAATTTAACCAAATATAATGGAATAATCACGCTTAGTAAATCATTGTTTATAAATTTGGTAGATATCTATTATTAAAATTATATTTCTTAAGAAAAATGTTTGAAAGTTCAATACAAGGTTCATTATAGAATGTACCTACTTAGTGGTTTAATAAACAAATGTAAGTTTAAAACATAACATTTTTTTTCTTGCATAAACGTTTTAAGATCAGATTTTGACAAAAATCGTAAAAATTACGATGTTTCAAAATATACCTTACCGAAATTCACTTCGAATCGTTATTTGTTAGCAATGGTTTATCGATAATCATAGGTTAATCAATAAATTAAATTATGTGTCCTACCTCCCCGACTTCTCACCTAAAATATCGATATACCCGTTTACAGTATTCGTTTTTTTTTTTCAGTCATAAATAAAAATAATAATCCTTGGTTTGAAATTGAAATTCAATGTTAAAAACATTTCGCTCTAAAGACAAGAACTTAATGCAAAGTCGACACTGACTACCAAGCTTAATTATATATATGCTTATATTCGTGCATATTGGTAATAATATAAATAATATTGAAAACCTTCTCTGTTTGCGTATTTTTATTAAATTGGGATTTTCCTCGGACTTTTCTTCTTCTTTTTTAGCGGCCTTTTTGATTGAGTTTTCTTTAGCTTGCAATGTATAACTTTCTGCATAATTTCTAACTGGATCATTTTTAATTTCGGTATTTTCATTTTCTTTATCTAGCACTTTTTTCAAAATTGGTTTTCGACCCCTTATTGGTATGGGTTCATTTAACAAAATTTTCACTTTTTTGTCTTTCTGTAATGGCCTTGAATTTATTTGACATTTGTTTGAATCAACTTTTTTGACCGGAGTTTTCATAATTTGAAAATCATTTAACTCTGTCATAAGTTGAGAAATTCTCTGATGTAATCTTATTAGCTCAGCATCTTTTATCTCTGATATTTCTTTCTCAGAGTTTAATTTGCTTATCCACAATTTTTCAATTTGATTGTTACTATTGATGGTTTCAGTTTGTTCGTCAAATTGTGTTGTTAATTTCTGATGTTTGACGTATAGCTCATTCAACTCTGTTGATAATTTACTATGCGATTTAGTTAATGTTTCCAATTCGAGTTGTACATCATTTTTCTCTTTTACATATTTGCATAATTTGTTATCGTGTTCAGTTGTCCTACGTATTTCAGCTATCTTAAAATCTTTATCTCTGGACATTTTTTCCAAGGAATTTATCTTTATTTTGAAATCTTTTGTAGCGATGATGTGTTTCACAATTGTTTTATTTTGTTCAGTACATTTTGCATTTAGTTCCTTGTTTTTATTTTGTAACTCATCGTATTTTAACTGCAATATATCATGTAACTTTCCGTCGCTTTTAATTTTGGACTCAAGATGAAAAATATTATCTTTGAGTTTGTTTACTTCTGCACCATTAAAAATAACTTCATTTTTTCTTTCAAATAACTCTGCATCTTGAATTTGCAATCTTTTTTCTACGGACCTTAAATCATTTTTTAATTTATTTATTAAATTATCATTATATTCAATAGTTGATACACGATTCTCGAGTTGAAGTTTTAAAATATTATTTTGGTCTTTAGTCATAGACAATTCAGTATTCAACTCTTTGTAATTATTTATTGATCCGTTTATTCTTTTTTTGAGTTCATTCGTTAAAATTAATCTTTCGTTTATTTCAACAGCCAATCGAGATTGTAATTCTCGAACTTCTGTTCTTGCAGAAGTTGATAAATTATCAAAATCTTTAACTCTATCTCTTATTTCGGAGCGCATTTTTTCATCTTCTTTCTTAAGTTGACATATTTCTAATGATATTTCTTTTATTCTGTTATCTTTTTCTGTTGATTTTTTTGCTTCATCAACTAATTTACATCTAATATTTTCTGCATCACATTCAATTTTATTCATTATCTTAGTTTTTTCATTAAGTTGACTAATCAAATGTATAATTAAATTAAATATCTCTTCTTTAACACACGTTACACTTTCTGTTGTCATTTTTTTACAGCTTTTAGCCCATTGACTAATTTCGGAATTATTAAATATTTGCTTATGTAATTGTTCTAATTCTGTCATATTGATGCCGACAGTATTTATGCATTTCTAAAAAAAAAAAATTAAACTAATATTATGTTGATTTATCTACGAGTATTAAATAGGTTGAGTCAATAATGAGTTGTAAAATACTGAACTCATTGTTTGGAACGTTCACGTTCATTTTATTTTTAAAAAATAACGCTTTTAAAACCGAATTATTTTTTTTTTAAAAAAGGACACTTTCACGTTCGTCGAAAAAATTAACACATTTATCTGTCCGTGCGTCGTTCTAAAAAACCCTAATAAATACTAATTTTTTTATTCGAGTACTTTACAACACCTGTCTTTATATATGCAGAATGTGCCTTGAAGATACACTTATTATAATATCTCCGGATACAATAAAGAAAATCAAATTCGACTTTTTTTTTTTTTATACATATCATATGTTACTCACAGTGTTAAGGACTACACATATTTATATTTCAATTGATTTTTTTTTTTTTTAAATTTGATGATGGCTATTTTATAGAGTTTAATTTATTAATAGTTTTGACGTATTAATTTTTTATTTTCATTAAATTCGTGATTTTTAATAATTTTTTAAAGTTTAGAAAAAAGTTTACTGTCTAATAACTATAATAATAATTAATAATAATCAGTTAACGAATTCGATAACAGCCTGCTGCATCATTATAGATATTTTCTCTGAACTTCAATATATTATTAAAACTTACGAGTTTAACGAAATTAAGTTTAAACGTATAAAAAATAAATCTATAAAATCCCTATCTTCAGATTATTCGAATAAAATTAAATAAAAAGTTTTTTTTTAGTTTTTCTTTAGCTTTTTTTTTTTACCAAAACATGGAAATTTAATTCAAACATAATTATTTGTAGTTCTTATCTCTATGAATTACATAAAAATAAAAACAAAATTTGATTTTTGTATTATCTCATAAGATATTGCATTGAATTTATCTTCATGGGACATAATTTATAACTATATATCAGAGCTGTACCGAACCATTTATTATCCTGAAGTAGAGCTCTAGTAATGCACCCCTAATCATTTTAACTAACATAGCCAAAACTGTCCCAAGAGGAGGGAATTGGGGATATAGGGTGTAGATTGAGGATCGAATGGTGACATACTTCTAGTTTTTAACAAGATTTGGCAAATCTAAAAATTGGTAATTGGGTTTCGAGCAAAACAAAAAATACAATTTTTAGCCTCAAATATAAATTATAATTCTCAACTCTTCCCCCCTTTATTTCGGGGTGTTCTTGACATATTCTAATATATATTATATATAGAGTGTATAGACTCTACAGTGTATTTGTATATGGTTTTTCTATAAAAACATAATTTTAAATTCTGAATGGAGCAAGGAATGAATTGGTTTTACAATGATGTTTATTTTATTTTTTTTCGATCTGGGAACAATATTTCTGTCAGCAATTTCACTCCGATTTACAACGATAGCACTTATTATAAAACAGGTGAAGTGGTACATAAATTAAGTGATTTTGGGAATGACAATGGGAATGATAGGTAAAGTGTTATCATCATAACCGTGGTTTTACCTAGTCGCGAATTAGTCTTTTACACTGGTTATTACTAATTATAACTCCCGGTATAATAATCAAAACTCTCGGTGTAACGAAATTGTGTGTGGCATTTTAATTTGCTCCACTACTTTCGTACCGACCGAAACTTAAAAGTGGTATATCTTTTCAACGGATTGACGGAAATCAAAAATGTCAACACCAAAATTTATTTTACCTCATACTTATATTTTAATTCTATTGAAATTATTTTCAATTTAAGTTGTCATTTTAAAATCAAAAACAGGTATTCGTTTCACCCCCAAAAATAAGGGTGAAAAAAAATGATAATGTAACATTTTAGAAATATTTGTTTCTTAAGTTTTCAAAACAAACAGTTTTAAAAAAGTCTATACTTTCCGAGATTATGAGTGTTCCTAGTGTTAATACTGATATGATAATGATTATATATTTTACCTGTAACAAGGTTTTTGATACTTCCGGAGCGATCTCTTGACAAACATTATCGCGGCTTAACGTGTTTTTCAACGATTGTATTTCCCTTAAATAAGTGTTTTCCTTGATGACATAACCTTTGACTATATCGAAATAACTATACACGAGATTTATAGAAGTATTAATGGTATTCAATTATACTTACATATTTTGCAGGGGCGGATATATCTGAGTAACATTAAAGGTAGGGGGCGAACTAATAATATATGTATAATTTAAGAGATATTTACCCGTTAATGGCAGGGTGGGTATGTAAATTTCCATTATCACATAATTTCATTATTTTCTTCATATATACTTACTAACATACTAATTCATGATAACTAAATGATACTAAAACAATAAGTTACACCTACATAATAATTTGTTATTATAACTATAAATTTAAAATATCATTTAATTTAAAACAGTTAAATATATATTTAAGTAAGAATAATAAAAAAATATTATATATACTTACATAACAGTAACATAATTAAATAATATAATAAACACAATTTATAATAACAACTTTATTATGTTCTTTTTTTTTAATCTCAAATTTATCTATGTTTTTTTCAACATTTAATTATGCTAAGCCAATCTACTTTGCCCCATGCGTGATCTAATCCATGTTTTTGGCCTCATAAACGTCAAATTAGTTGCAGGCCTCCAAATATTTGGAATTCGCCTGATGTTTACTACCAAGCCACTGGTGGAGGTGAGAAAAAAATTCTACGGGGAGGGGCGATGTAGTGATCGCCCCCCTCTTCAAATCCGCCCCTGATATTTTACATTAGAATTTATACATACGATTTATTCATTTGTCGGATCTTTGTTGAATTACGTTCATTTATATCTTTTAGGTACTTTTTTTCATTTGTTAAACTAGTGACCTGGTCGAACAATTGACTATTCTTGATTGCCAACTTTTCGTAATTGCGATTTATACACTTATAATAGTCCATAGTTTTTTCGGTTAGATACAAAGAAATACAAAATAATAAAATAATTACTTTACAACAATAGTCGTTATTTTATACTGTTTTTAATCATATTATAATACTTTGTTTATTATTATGGCCTACATTGTCAAGACAACAATTTTAAAAAAATATTATCAGCCAACTTAATATTAGTTTATACTTGAGAAGCGTAAGACGAATCAATTCCCAAATTGTCGGTATTCGTCTATACGACGCGACGTCCAAATTTGTTTAGTGTTGTGCAGATAAAATATTATTTATTCTATTATAGTTACTTCAGGAATCGCATCTATCATTATAAATAATTTATTAAGTATTGATTCTAAATATTGTACAGACAATTATAAAAACATATTTTAAGTCATGCTATCATAATCGCAAGTATACAGTGGCGTAATTTGGTAATGTTTATGGGGGGGAGATGAAATGTTTTTACATTTTACCTATTACCTCCTCCCCTACCAAAAAAAATAATAAATTGTATTTATCATAATCACCTTTTAGTATAATAAATGTATGTACCTACGCATGCGACAATCTAATCATAATGTGTTGGTCAGATAATCTAAGGCAGTGTTTCCCAAAGTGGGAGATATCGCCCCCTTGGGGGCGCTAGAGCTATCCAGGGGGGCAATGGAAGTTACAAGCTTAATTGGGGGGAATTTCATTACAAAAAGGGGGCGGTGACAGTTTCATCTGTCTTTATCGCAATAACAGAAACACCGTACGTGATCCAAATTATCTGAATTGTGTATTTTGTATTTTTAGATTAATCGTTCGTCGTCTATCGACAATCGTCGATAATCTGTCGTTATAGCTATAACAGAAATAACGTACGTGATCTAAATTATCTAAATTATTTTTGTATTTAGTACACTCGCGAATGCCGACCTTATTCGTTGTTGTTTTTATAATAATTTTTCGTTAATTTGTTGCGTATTATTTTATTTAAATTTTAAACGTTTTTCACATCATGGTTGAATAGAAGAAAAAATGTAGGCAGTATAATATTGAATATTTGAAGTACGGTTTTATTCAATCGCCTACAAATATTACATTACCAATGTGTCTTATTTGCCAAAAAGTATTTTCAAATGAAGCTATGAAACCGTCGAGACTNTGCTAATAAAAAAAATATGGATTTATTTCATTTTCAAACAATTGAAAAGAAATTTTTGAAAGAGCCGGCATTGGTCAATATGTTTTCAACAACATTGAAACAAGATGATGACGGATTGCGAGCTTCGTACAACATTTCTCTACTGATTGCCAATTCCGGTAAACCGCATACTATTGGCGAAGAACTTATTTTACCAGCTATAAACGAGGTAATAAACACAGTGCTGGATAAACCAGCTTTTGACAATATTAAAAAAATTCCTTTGAGCAATAATACAGAGCAAAGGAGAATTGATGAAATGGCTCAATCTGTCAAAGAATTATTATGCGAGTTTTTAGAAGCCACCAAATTTTCTATACAGCTTGATGAATCAACTTTACCAGGTAACGAAGCCTTATTATTAGTTTACGTACGATTCGTAAAAGAAGAAAAGATTTGCCAAGAATTATTACTTGCTAAAAATTTGATGACTGACACACAAGGAGAATCAATATATCACACATTGGAAGAGTTTTTTAAAGAAAAAGAAATTCCTATGTGTAATATCTTATCAGTTGCGACCGATGGTGCTCCAGCCATGGTAAGATGCCATCGAGGTTTTATTGCATATTAGAAAAAAACTGTACCAAATGTACTCGCTGTACATTGTGTCATTCATTTACAACATTTAGTTAATACAAATTTGAGTGAACGCTTACATAAGTCATTACATTATGTAATTTCAGCTATCAATAAAATCAAAAATAATTCATTGAATGATAGATTGTTTCGACTACTTTGTACTGAAAATGATGAAGATTCGAATCAATTATTATTTCAAACAGAAGTTCGTTGGTTGTCGAAGGGTGCCTGTTTAGACAGATTCTATAAGTTGTTTGACTCAGTGCTTGAGTTTTTAAAAACTAAAGATGATATTTTACGAAGCAACTTAATTAACTATAGAAGTGACATTGCTTATCTGACTGACCTGTTTAAAAAATTTAATGAAACAAATTTGCAGCTTCAAGGTGATGATTTAAATTTAATGAAAACAAAAAATATTATTTCTGCATTTTTATTAAAACTTCTTATGTACAAAAGAAATTTAGGATGAAAAGAATTTATACAGTTTCCAAATCTATCAATGGAAGAAAAAAATGATGAAGATTTAATGACATATTGTCAACACCTGGAAGCACTACATTCCGATTTCAACAAACGATTTGAGGATATTCTTCAAATGGACATACTCAAATGGGTTTTAGATCCATTTTCAAATACAGAAACCATAGATTCTGCAAAATTAGAAGAAGAATTGATAGAAGTAACTACAAATAAGGAATTAAAATTAAAGTTTANCTGGATTGTGGGCTATTGTACAAACATTTTTGATCGCATTTCCATCTTCCTACTTGGTTGAACGTGGATTTAGTGCAGTAACCAATCTATTCACTAAAAAAAGACAACAGTTACAAATAACTAATCGTGGGGACTTAAGAATACTGCTTACGAAAATCGAACCTAATATCAACGAACTTCTAGTAAAACACCAACCACATCCATCTCATTAAGATATTTTTTTTCATTTGTACCAATACATTATATATATACCTATTTATAAACAATACACTTCATTTTTCATTGCATACTTTTGTAACAATATTTTTTTTAAGGGGGGCATCTGTCGGATTTTTTTTTTTTTTTGGAAGTGGGCGGTAAAAATAAAAAGTTTGGGAAACACTGATCTAAGGTTACTAGATACATACGCAGTATGCATTCCACTAAATACATTTACTAAACGTACCTATAAGCAGTAACTAAACAACATATTATACTGTGTTTTTTTTCTAGAATATATCATTAACTGCTTATTTGTCTAGCATTCGGTGATATTTTGGTAAATAGTAGTTATGTAAAACTCTTTTAGACCCTTTAATGTTTTACTGAATTTTAACCCAGAAAGACCTATGTAAAAAATAGCCTAATAAACAATAGGTACCTATTCTACAATAATCTTATTTATGAAAAATTGACGGTTACTACCTTTCACTTGAGCAGTATGCACCTGTGTTTATTACGAAGTCTTTATGTACATCTTACATAAGGGATTCGGTGTTTTTTGTATTATTTCTGTAAAATATAGACTATAATATCAGGGACGTAAGCAAAAAAAAGTTTTGGGGGTATTTTTTAAAATCAGTTGTTGAAAATTAAAACTTATTTTTTAATAAACCTATGAAAGATTAGGTTAAACTAAATACTTCGGGGGCGTTTAAACACCCAAAACACCCCTCTATGTACGTACCTGGACTATATAATATAATAATATTTATAGGTAATAAGTAAATAAATGTAGTTCCCTAGTCTTTAAGAAAAATAAAGTTCTTGAGGACGATACGACACCCAAATCATAATTACGCTACTGCAAATATATAGATCAGTGATTTTATTTTTCATAATTTTGCTTCCTATTACTTCATATCATCGATACTGTTGTAGGTAGAAAGTTTAAAAGGAATAGGATATTCAAGATCAATACTTAATTTCTTCTCAATACGATTGTTATTGTGATACTTAGTATCACGAACAATCTAATTTTTTCAGAATTTTTTTTTAAAAAACAAGCATCTCTAACATAGTAATTTAGCAACTGCGATAACCAGATAAAAGAAGTTTTCGTGTTTCTTATATTTTATTAATTAACAAAAAAAAAGGTTATTGAAAATAATTTAATTAAATTAAATATAAATAATACTATTACTACCTGTTCAATGTGAGATTTGAGGATTTGTGACTGTTAATGATAACGTAGCAAAATCGACTTCTATTTCAGAAGTGGAAACACGAAGTAGATGACTTAATGTTTCATCAGTAAGACGATTTCTTTGCTTTGATTTTATATGTTTCGTGTTTGAAAATGTACATTCACATATGTAGGTTCCAAACATGGATAACATTTTTAACGCAAACCCTCATAAAAGTGGATATTTGTTAACAGGTTAACATTGTTTCCAAAAGCTTACGTCAATCTCTTTCGTAGATAATAATGGGTCATTTTGCAACTCGCATAATTCTAATTGAAGTGTAGCATCTTGCTTTTAATACAATATATAGCAGGAACATTAACGTTATATTTGCGTAATAATCTAAAAAACTCGATATTTTTGCTAACCATGGTTTTGGCACCATCTGTCACAATCGATGTCATTTTTTTGGAATCCACCAAAAGGTTTAACTGCGTTTTTACTTCATTAAAAATATCAATTTCTTTTGTAGTTTTATGCAAGGAACATAATTCTAATAGCTCTTCATACACTTCAATTTATAGAAATATAAATTTAACAAATATCAAAAGTTGACTTATATCTGAAAAATCTGTGCTTTCGTCCAGTGCAATCGAAAAATATGTACAATCCGTCAATATATGGTTTGCAATGTTTTACGAATAGCACTATCAATGTCAGCTATATGACGTATCACTGTGCGTCTTGAAAGTGATATTTTTTGAAATTCACTGGCAATTTTGTTTTCATTTATTGATTTAGCCATTTTTACTGCACAGTTTTTAACAAATTCGTCATCACTCAACAATTTTTTAGATTTTGGTATTTCGTTAGAAATAATTGATGAAGCCAATAAATTTAATTGTTGTGAATTTGTTGCTTTTGGCCTGACATTTTGTTGTAATTGAAGTTTTCTTTTAAAATCAATTACAACACTCTCTCTTGCATCATCAATGTATTTTTCATATTTGAATAAATTATTTGTCATGTAATGTGTTTTGAAATTATATTATTTTGGTACTGCAATAATGTTTAAACAAACTAAACATTGAGGTTTTTTTGTTTTTTAATAATAAATAAATACTAATTTTCCCATAAGCTGTTAAAAATTATATTTTCATTGTTGATTTTTCGCTTTTTAATAGACATTTTTTAACACTACAAAACACGAAACTAATAAAACCAATGCAATCGGCCAGCGTGACACGACGGATACGCTAAACTGATACAACAAATACCTTAATAGGTATATTAGCCATAACTATACATATTATATATTTAGACATTTTATAATTTAGCTGCAGTTTAATACTAGATAAGAAATCATATCTACGTTTTACGATAAACATTATATGGATTTTTATTAGTATAATAAATAAAATACAGATAAATCGTAACATTTTATAAATTAATTTGAAAATGAAGCACGGCCCACTAAAAATTGATGAATGGGCCGGATACGGCCCACGGGCGTCCAGTTGCCTATCCTTGGTATATCGCATTAAAGATGAATTTCCAACAGTTGACGTGTCAAAGGCTGTTTTTTTTCAATCGTAATTCGTCTCTCGAAAATCGACCACGAATAAATAATGTAAATGAGGGTTGGCACCATACATTCAACGATGCACTTTGAGCTTATCATGTTTCCATATGGAAATTTATAGCATTATTAAAAAAGGAACGGTCATTACAAGAGGTAATTATTTATTTATTTATAAACGCCAGTCGGCAATTTTATGATTGGTTTGGTTTACAAATAACAGTAATTTATTAACATAATACTAATAATATATAGTAACAATGAAAATAATACAGAGACATCGAAATACAAATTAGATAATGATTACCATTTTACAAAATAAAAAAATTTAATAAATAAAAATTAAATTAAATATAAAAACATTACAACTAATCGTACATTTAGTTATTTATGGTTGAAATCAAAATTAAGGCTATTTAAATTACGAAGCATTCTATGTAAAGGGTGGTTATTACCGTACGATGTACTATGGGCTGGTACTAGGAAGAGGGAGTGATGTCTGGAAAAGAAGAAAGGAATACGAATACTTACGTTTGATAGGAGATTAGGAGCATCTGTGGTGCCTCTTAAGAGTGAAGAAATAAATTGTAAGTCAATGTCTGTTCGGCGAGATGAAGTATTAGAATTTCCAATAAACTACGAATTAAAGAGTAGTCATGTGATAAGTGGACTATTTTAAGAATATGGACTGCGTAGGAAAAAAACCTATTTTGGACACACTCGAGTCTTAATTTATCTCTAGACAAGTAAGGATGCATTATTACCACTCGGTATTATAATATAGAACGTACTAACGCGAAATACAATGTTCGAAAAGGCAACGAGCAGAAGAAAAATGAGTGGTGTTGTGATTAATAAATTACAAGACTTTTAATGCTTTACCTACGGTTACATTTATTTAAAGTTTAAAGATAGGTTATTATTTATAGCAAGATATTTATGGAGAAAAACATGGTCAAGAGTGGTACCATCAAAATAATATTTGTAGTGAATAGGAGATCGCTGTCTAGAAAAAGTCATAATATGACATTTATTTGTATTAAGGCTATAACCAATATCATGCGCTCAATTTGCAAAAATATCAAGTTCGAATTGTAGTTCAAACATTGATTAATATTATAGATATTGAGGAAAATTTTTATGTCAGGTATAATATGAATGAATGAAAACAAAATATGTATTACATAATTAATTATTATAATATCATAATTCATAATTAATTTACTTCTTTGTATGTAGTTTAAAATGAAACAGGTTCTATCAGGTGAAAGCAGCAATCCAAAAAGAAGAAAAAAATACAGATTATCCAACGTATATATACCCCTTTGAATATCCCCGGAGATAATATTATCTATACCATTCTAGTGTACCATCTATACTATACCATTTGCTGATGTTATCAATGTTGATACTTCAGAATCAGATGTTCCTTTGCCACAAAGAGAGACAGACGATACAGATAATTAAATAATCAAATAAAAATAAAAATAAAAATAAAATAAAATAAATTTAATTAAGTTATTTCCAAAATTAAAATATTTAATGTGAATTTGGGTTCATTAGGTTAAGTTAATTAACAATAACTTTTCAAACATTTCTATGTTTATTTTCATATGATAATGAATCAGAAGATTTTGATGAGTTAGTACATATTTTAGGTTCTGAGCAGAGCAAGGGAGCTATTGGTTTTACAATGCTGTTTAATTATTTTTTCTATTTTTCTTACTAATAATGAATAATAGTATAAATTAATTTCATTTTAATAATAATATTTCATACATTTTTTAATTCATTAAATGCAATTCTTGAAATATATAAAAATATAATTTAATTATTAATCCCCTTACAATAAAGAATATAAATTATAAATGTATTTCATGATGTTTCATTAATGTTATTTATGTTTTATTAATTAAGTTATTTATTAAAGTAATTAAAATAGTTTGTAATAAGATAATTATGTTTGATTTAAGAGGTCATTTTGTTAAAATTTATATTATTGATATTTTTAAATTTATTATTATAGTTAATTGAGTTATCATTTTAATTTATTTTAAATAATTATTATAATTTTGATTTACAATATCAATGTTGTTTTTAAACTATTAAAATGTAATTTATTTTGATAAAAAATTAAATTTATGTATAAATTATAAATTATTNAAGACGACATTGGGCAATGTAGTAGGTTAATTTTAATTTGATTGTAAACCATCGACGTAGTTGCTATAATATCTTTATTTGTTTTGGATTTGGGCCTTAATGGTATTTTACTTGGTTTACTTAAACAAAATATACACATATAATAAATACATGTTAATATAATATCTGTATTCTGTGTGTATAAAAGTGTACAATTTCGAACTTAATTTCGATTTCATATGTTAAAAAATCATTAATTAATTTTTATAAACCCTCGAAAAATGCTCTGTGACTTTTTCAATGCGATAAATAAATTAGTACCTACGAGTATGTGACTTTTCCCAATATTTCTTCATGTTTTATTTATAATAAATGTATTATTAATTATAGTATATAAGACTCGCATGCTCTTCTTGTTATATAATAATGATATTACGTTAAAGTACGTGTATATATAATCTCAAAAACTACTGGACCAATTTTTACGATGTTTATCGTAAAATTATCCGCTTTGACGCGGGAAAGGTTTATAGCTATTGAAATCCATCCTCTATTGAAAACCATCCCCCAACATTCGATTATTAATTATTATTAAATTATTTATTTTTATGGATTACCTTAATAACACGAATGAAATTTGAAAAAAAAATAAAAAGGCAGCCAAAATTTATCTATGGAATCTTTGGTAATTAATATAAATAAAAATAATTATAAAGATCTTAAACTCTCACTATTTTCTATGTATTATATTATTTCCAGACACATACACCTAATATATTGTACATACTAACTGTCTCACGCCCGGCGTTGCCCGTGCCAATTTGTATTATTATAATTTTACCCATATTCATTTTTGGTTTTGGCCGTGTCTGAATTGAATGAAAACAAATAGGTGGAAAGTGGGTACCTATTCCGCTTTCGGCAGACTAAATGTATTCTATTGTAGAAATTATTCATCGGATATAAATGTGTGATGCATTAAAATTTTCAGAAAAATAATCTTTACAGAATAGCTATCTTAAAATGTTCAACAACAAAAAAAAAAAAATACAGAATTTGGTTATCTTTATTATCTCCGGAGATATTAAAGGGGTATATTTTCGTGGGACAGCCTGTATACACACACATAAATTATAATATTGTTATTATAGCAACTAGCAACCATGGACCCTAAGGAAATTTTTTATTTGTATTCGTTATAATTGTAATTCTTGTAGAAAACTTATGTACTGGTTTATTATGTTTTGTGTCAGAACCTATTGGTGATTTTTACTTGCGATATCTCATGTGGGAACTTACGTTCACCCGTTAATTATATAAACGCTAATAATCGTATGTTACGATAATAATATAAATAATATTGAAAACCTGCTCTGTTTGCGTTCTTCTTTTAGTAGATTCTCGGGATTTTTTTCGGACTTTTCTTTCTCTTTTTCTGCAGTATCTATAATTGGATTTTCTTTTGCTTGCAATATATTACTTTCTGCATCTTTTCCAACTGGATTATTTTTTATGTTGTCTTTTTTATTTTCTTTGTCGGGCGTTAAATTTGAAACTCTGTTTGCTTTAGATTCAATTGATGAATTTACTATATTGTATAATTGCAATAATTCACTATCCGACTGAGTCGAACTATGAACATTTTTTTTTATTTTTAAATCGATTAACTCTTGAGTAAGTTGAGTAATTCTCTGATTTGATCTTTCTAGATCAGCGTCTTTTTCCTTTGAAATTTTATTTACAGAGTTCAATGCTTCTTGCCACAATTTTTCATTATGCTTGTTACTATTGATGGTTTCAGTTTGTTCGTTAAATTGTGTTGTTAGTTTCTGATGTTTTTCGTTTAGCTCATTGAACTCTGTTGTTAATTTACTATGCGATTTAGTTAACATTGTCAATGCGGATTGTAAACAATTTTTCTGCTTTACACATTCGCATAATTCATTGTCGCGTTCAGTAACCTTATGCATTATTTCAGCTATCTTGGAATCTTTATCTCTGGACGTTTTTTCCAAGGAAATTATCTTTACATTTAAATCATTTGTAACATTGTCGTGATTCGCAATTATTTTATTTTGTTTAGAACATTTTACATTTAGGTCCTCGTTTTTGTTTTGTAATTCATCGTATTTTATCTGCAATTTATTATGTAACTCTTTGTGGTTTTTAATTTCGAACTCTAGGTCCAATATTGTATCTTTGTACTTTTTTAACTGTGCATCATGCAGGGCTTTATTTTTTTTTCTTTCAAATATCTCTGCATCTTGAATTTTCAATATTTCTTCGGCGGAACTTAAATCATTTTTCAAATGTTTTATTAAAATATCGTTATTCTGAATAGTTATATCGTAGTCCTTCACTTTCAGTGTTAACAAATTATTATTATCTATAACCGTATCCAATTCAGTATTTATCTCTCCGTATTTAATTATGGATTTAGCTATTCTTTTTTCGAGATCATCAACTAAAATCGTTTTTTCATTAAATTGCGATTTTAATTCTTGAACTTCTTTTCTTGTACAACTTAATTCTTTGTTACAATTTTTAACCCATTCCATTATTTCGACGTGCGGTTTTTCATCTTCTTTCTTAAATTCACATGTTTCCGATGTTATTTCCTTTATCCTGTTATCATTTTCTATTGGTTTATTTGTTACATCAACTAATTTGCATCTAATATTTTCTGTACTACCAACGATATTATTTATTATCTCGGCTTTTTTATTAAGTTGACCAATCAAATGCATAACAAAATCAAATATTTCTTCTTTTATACAAGTTAATATTTCTGTTTTCAGTTTGTTACAGTTTTCAGCCCATTGATTAACTTCGGAATTATTAAATATTTGCTTATGCAATTGTTCTAATTCAGTCATATTAATGTCGACAGTATCTGTAGGTTTCTGAAAAAAAAAAAAAAATTAAACTAATATTTTGTTTACATATTTATTAAATAAGTTGAGTCTATAATGAGTTGTGAAATACTAAACTCATTATTTTTAAAAAATAACGCTTTTAAAACCGAATTATTTTTTTTTTTAAAAAAGGACACTTTCACGTTTGTCGAAAAAATTAACATATTTATCTGTCTGTGCGTCGTTCTAAAGAACCCTAATAAATACTAATTTATTTATTCGGGTACTTTAAAACACCTGTCTTTATATATGCAGAATGTGCCTTGAAGATACACCGATTATAATCCGGATATAATAAAGAAAATCAAATTCGGTTTTTTTTTATATATATATTATATATTACTCACAGATTTAAGGACTACACATAATTATATTTCAATTGATTTTTTTGTTTTGGTAAAAATAAAAAATAACTATATTTTTTTTTTAATTTAAAGCTTTTTTATAGAGTTTAATTTATTGAAAGTTTTGACGTATCAATTTTTTATTTTCATTAAATTAAAATTCATGATTTTTATTAATTATATAAAGTTCAAAGAATAAAGTATACAGTCAATTATCTGTAATAATAATAACCAATTAGCGAATGTGATAACAGCTTGCTGCATAATTATAAGTACTTTTCTCTGAACTATAAAAAATTATTAAAAATCACGAATTAAATGAAAATAATAAGTTAAAACGTAAAAATGTTCAAAATAATAAACTCTATAAAATGCTTGCCTTCAAATTTGTCGAAAATAATAGAATAAAGTTATTTTTTTAGTTTTTACCAAAACATACAAACTGTGTTCAAATATAAATATTTTTGGTCCTTACCTTATAGCGAGTTTATATAACAAAAAAACCTAATTTGTTTATTATTTTACTATTTCAGGAGGAGTAATTGTAACGGGTAGATCTTCGTGGAACATCCTGTATAATATATATCAGAGCTATACCGAGCCATTTATAATCCTGTAGCAAAGCTCTAGTAATGCGCCCTTAATCATTTTAACTAACATAACCAAAACTATCCTGTGAGGGAGGCATCGGGAATGTAAGATGGGGATTGGTGTGGATTGGAGGAGGAAGGTGTGCCGCACTCACAGTTTTTAATAATTGTTTATAAGTCAAAAAAATCTGAAAATTAGTAATTAAGTTTCGACAAAAATAAGAAATACTATTTTTAGCTACAAATATATAATTCTCAACTTTCCCCCTTTTTTTGAGATTGGTTCTTAACATAATCTAATATACATATATAGTATATGTGTATATGTTTTTTCTATAAAAATATAAATTTTTCTTTTATATCTACTTAAGTTAAACAATTCTTATATTATAACTAATATATTATTATATTATATGAAACAAATCAATTTAAAATTTACAATCACAAATTATTGGATATTTCAATATAGGTAATATATTATTAATAATAATAAAAAAAAATATTTAAAATAATTATTATTTATAACCGAATTTTCCATGCTTTTGTATTAGCAAATTTGTAAATAACTTCGTCATAATCCAATTTTATTTCTAATTTTGTTTCTATTTAATGTATCATCATTCTTAATAATCTCTCTTGAACCATTGTAGATCTTTAGTAAGTTTTTATCAATTTAAGTTTGCTGAAACTTCTTTCACATTAAACTATTGTGACGAGCATTAAGAGAAAAATCCTTATAGAAATTTCAATATTTGATACGATTCTTTAACTTTATAATCATGAATCATTTGTAATAAATCCAAAAACATTACTGATTCAATATTTGACAATATGAATCGTTCAAAATCTTTAATTTCTTCAAATATATCCACAGTATTTATATCATGATTACATTTTATTCCTAGATCAATAGCTGCTTTTTGCAAATCATTTGAATTTATATTATCTAATGAACGGAACGAAATTCTAAATTATTTGATATTTTCATAATTTGTTCATACCGCCATGTCATTTGAGTAAGAGGAATACCTACTGAATCTATAATGGTTATTCGGAAATTTTGTTTATCACATCATTATTTGTTTCATAAAGTTCTAATATTTTTGTTTTGTTTTGTTTTTTATTCCTAGTTGTCGATATTTGTAACTCTTCTGCAATTTTTGTAGCATTTTAAAATTATTTTCCATAGTTCTGCCGCAAATTTCTTTTGAAAACCCGAATAGCAAATTGGAAACTTTCTTTGACGATAAACTTTAATAAACATTATTTTGTTATTAATACATTTATGTATATGGTTTAAAAATACGTTAATTTATATAGATACATTTCAATTGATGATCCAAAAATGAATGTAAATAATTTATAATAGGTACGTATTTGGTTCTTGTACGAAAAAAAACAGAAAGTTACACATCTGTCTTAACAAGTGACCAGCAAATACAAATTTAAATTATTATGATAATAATATTCACAATTTGTTCACAATTTATAAACTAAAGTACATCAACTAATATAATATAGATAATATAATAATATATACTATGGGCTATGTATTATATTTGATACGTTATGTTATACGTTTATGTATAATAGATTAGATAGCAAAGAATAATGAAATATTTAACGTTTAACAACCAATAACATTAAGAATCCTTATAAATGTTAATAATTGAAAAGCCTAGATAAACTTATATTGTATATTTTACCTCCAAAGGTGCTTCTTGTACGACCGGAGTAGTCACTTCATAAACATTATCGGAGCTTAATGGTTTTTTCAGCGAGTCGATTTGCTTTAAATAATAGTCTTCCTTGACGATATAACTTTGGATTTGATGTAATTGACTGTACACGAGATTTATAGAAGTATTAAATATTAATATACGATATTAAAATATATAAACGTATTTTGCATTTGGATTTGTACATACGATGCATTCATTTGTCGTATCTTTGTTGAATTATGTTCATTTACATTTTTCAAACATTTATTTTCGCATTTTAAACGATTACTCTTGTCGAGCAAAATATTATACTCGGTTATCAACTTTTCGTAATTGCGAACAATACACTTATCATTATAAGCCCAGTTATTATTATCCATAATCTTCTCGTTAGGTACTTTTTTTTTCAATGCAAAATCAAAATACAAATTAATAGTTAAAAAAAAATAAATAACTTTATAACAGAAATACTTATTACTTTATTGTATTGTAACCTGTAATATTATATTTTGTTAATTATTGCGGCTTACATTGTCAAGACAGCAATTTTAAAAAAATATTATCAGCCAACCAATTATTAGTTCGCTCTTTAGAAACAATAGACAAATCAATTCCAAATTTTGAGCTTCGGTGATATTCGTATAAATGTATTTAATTATGTAACAATTTTTCCAATTTTCCTATGTTTTTCTCATTTTGTCCATGTTTATCCCAGTTTTTCACATTTGCTGGGGAAATTCTTGGAAAATTAAAAAATGGCCTCTTAAAAGTACCTCCCTAGTGAAATTTCCTTTCAGAAACATTGCTATCATTAAAAGTTAGAGCAAAATTACTGTTTGATAAGTTGCTCACAGCAAAAAAAGTTCGTAAGATTATATTTGTTATAATTCGTAAATTTTCACGTTTTTTTTTTTCTAGTTTTCGCATTTGATGAGAAAACTCTTGAGAAAATCGAAAAATAACCTCCTTATAGTCCTAAAGTATCTTTCACGTCGATTTACTTTCAGAAAAGGTGTTACACGTAGAAATCCGAGCAAGTCTTCTGGTAAAAAAGTTGCATACATATAAAAAACAAATATAAATAAATAAACATCTTTATAAAACCATAAACTTTTTCGTTCCACTCAGAATCTAAAATGTGAATTATTATAATGAAATTAAACGGTAGGTACAAAGAACTATAGTGATATTGATAAAGGAATAACTGAATTATCATTCGTAAACTGATTTATTAATATAAACGGTACAAGATTGTTAGTTATTTGAACATATACGTAGGACGTATACACCGCGGTAATACCCTTCTACTTATGCTTGAAAATTCCGATAAATATGATTATAACTAACAATTAGTAACGTTGTAATTTATTGTGTTTAGATAAACTTAGTATATTATGTAAACGAAATCACGGAAAACATAACGTTACATTATGTAATCGAGATACTTAAGTTTAAATATTCTGAAGCGTTATTGGCTTGACAATTTTATTGATATTTTCTATATTAGAAAATAATGACTTTCATTTTACCTTTATGATACACAGCTACCTTATAGGTAGGTAGGTGTTGAACGAATCAAGGGCGTATTTGATTAGATTTTATGGGAGAGGAAAGAGGGAGGGGGTGACACTAAAATTATTACACACGCGCTGATATTCCACCCTATTGATTTTACCATGGAGTGTTTTTATTTTTATTTTTGTATCCGATAACACTGTTCTAGTAGAAATGATGGTAAACATTCAATTTCAAAGGCGATTCTGAGGTTGTTTTGATTAAATTATTATATTATATTATACTATAATATTATAATACAGCAAATGTATATAACAGATGCCTACACATATTATTTAATGGAGGGAGGGGGGGGACGATTGCCCCCTCAAATACGCCACTGGAAAGATTTATGTTTTATTTTCTTTTTTTTTTTTCGTAATTGTTTCATTTTATTACGCCCCGAAAAAAGAAACGCACATACAATCTCAAAAGGTTCACAATGAACATGAACGGTTGCGGTTGTCTATACTATTACTCTTGAGTTATAATATATAATTATACATTATACATTTTGATTTTTCATAATAAACGGCTGTCCCGGGGCCATGCGTTGCTGCGGCTGAGCGGCTCTGAGCGACATTAACAGCCAACGGGCCGTGGGACTGAAAGCCTAATCACACGCCGAGGGGACCGGTCGTCCGAATTACCACAGTCTCCGTACCGCATGACTTCTTACAAAAATACTAAAATCGCGATCGAAAAAATTGACAGGATGGTGAAAAATACTTTACGATCTTTTCTCATACCTACCAAATATACAGAAAAAAAAAATTCATTCAAATCGGTCGAGCCGTTTCGGAGGAGTGCGACCACAAACACCGTGACACGAGATATTTATAAATTAGATAATATATAGCAAATGTACTGAAACAAAATATACCTACACGCATTAATTTATAGGGGAGGGCCGATCTCGATTTAGGACCGTGTTCTCACCAACGTAAAAAAAAAAGCGTTTATCTGATCATGAGTTTATGACGTCACGCTAATCGTGCGTTATACGTTCTCGTGTGTTATGGATCTTTCTACTTCATTATGTGACCCGTCACCGAATATTTTTATATTTTTTATGTTTATTTCATCTACATCGTGCTACGAGCTGTAAGCATAGATTAGTATCGAGGTGGTTGTATCCACCTCGATTAGTAAATTATAATGGCTGTGAGTACTTAAAGACATCATACAGTATATCAATGTAAACTAGAGTCTCGAATATTGTAGACTACAGGCAGACTGCACACTGAAGAAATTAGTTTAAAAAACCAATTTCATGAAATTAATTTCATATTTGCGTACACCGGCGAAACAAAAAAAATGTATAGTTTCGACAATGTCATCAGACGAATACTTATACTGGTATATACATAATAAATTAAGTATATGACTGAAAACCATCGCAATCGTTAATATCGACAAATATATATCGACGATATTTCAAAGTTGTTTACTAACCTGTTCGTTCCTACCTCCTCCGAAACATTTTCCCAGGCAAGTCGGACCTTATCTCTGTCGCTGTAACCCTTGTTTTTTTGGAATCGTACAAACAGTCGTATCCTTCGATTGATTCTATTAATTTTGAATTAAAATCTCGATCTCCTTCCGACATCGTATTTAAATATTTAAATAACAATAAAAATACATAAAATCAATTAATGTAGAACTAAAAATGCACGCGCATTGTATTGATTGAATTAATTTAATTTTTTTTTACTGGCGCCAAAGTCAACGCCAGTCACTACACCGAACGACGTACGTTTGGCTATTGAAATAGTAATATGGTAGCTCGTCGCTTAACGATATTTCGTATGAAATAAAATAAAAAAAAAAAAAAAAAAACATAGTTAATATTGGTCAAAACGTCGATGACGTGTCTATGGGATTTTATTATGGTGATCATTATGTCGCGTGTAAACGCTATTAATTTAGTACGATAAAATACTATTTACTATTGTTACTGTACGCTGTGTATACTACAGTGCGCGTACGTAATACCAAAATATGATAAATATAATAAAAATAACATAAACATTTACTCACAAAATGAATAATGATGGAATATAAATTATATATATGTATTATATTATCATTATTATTATTATCATTATTTATTTATTAATTTATAAAGAAAATTTATTGTCGAAACGGAAATTACAAGTTTCGCGACTATGAGAAATGTTCGTCTCGCAGTGCGCGTGTCTATTTGATATTCAATTGAATGGTTTCATGAAACTGAAGTCTCGCATTTCATGAAATCGGTTTCTTAAAACTAGTGTCTTCAGTGTGCAGCCTGCCATAGACGCATTAAATATTGACGGGTCCGTGGTTTAAATTATTTGTAGTGGCCACTAAGTACTAGTCACTGGGTTTGAACATGGCCGATATTTTTTTCCGACGTTGGTGCTACTGCAGGCCGCCGTGATTACAACTCCTTTATCATTTTTATGATAATTATTTAGGACTCCAATTGGCAATTTCCCGCGTCGTATGTTTCAATGTTTATGTGACGGTACCCACGACTCGCGGTGTTCTTGACAATATAACAATTTTCAATCGCGGTTTGCGTTTCTAATTTATACTAGTACAGTTAACGTTGTTAATATTAACATCTCAAATATGGATTTGGAGTTCCAAGACGTACGAGCTGAAGTCAAGGGAATAATGGTAAATAGTTTTTTTAACTATGGAAACTAGTCTCGTTATACTATAGTCCATTGAATGCTATTGACAACATATCTACGATAGGTATTTAAATAATAACTACCACTGTAGGTAAATTGAAAACTTTTTTCAAATATATATTTTGTTTGATAAGTTGGTTAGTAGATACTAGGTACATTAGTAAAAGACATTCAGAAGTAGTCGTATTACTTTAGCAGCTCTTATAGTACGGCTGCAGTGGCTTATTTTACTTTGTATTGTGGGGGGGGGAGGCGACACTAAATTTATTATACACAAGCTAATACCTATTCTACCCTGTTTATCTTACCATGAAGTGTTTTTATTTTTGTGTGTGATGACACTTTTTTTAACAATATTAAATTTGTACATATATTTATAAAGCAAATACCTACACAAATTAATTGATGGGGATCGGGGGTCATCGGCCCCATCGCCCTCTTCCAATACGCCACTATATGGCTGTACATTTTTATTTCAAAAACATAATTATCCACCCCGACATGTATTTAATTCCATAGGATTTATTATTAACAACCAAATTATAAAACAGGATATGTTATAGGCTTCTACATATGTAGAGCTTAACACATTTTTATTGAATATTTAATCACGTTGAGTTGAAATTTTGACGCAATCAGTATTCAAATGACAGCGGATGTAATGTAAATAATTTGGTACTCTTTTGTTTAGAAAATCTGTTCTATTTATGATGTTAAGGGTGGTTTCTAATATAAGTATGAAGTACCTATTTTAAAATATTAGGTATTTATTGAATAAATATTATAAAAAATCAGTTTCATAATAAGCATTTCAGCTAATATTTGTTTATAGTTAATAATTTATTTATTACTAATGTATCTTGTTTATTCTAAGTACCTATTACTGATGTTTCTTATTTATTTATTTCAGTGTACCGGACGACTAAAGTTTACAGACCAAAATATTGCATTTAAAAATATAAAAACGGGCAAAGTAGAACAATTAACATCCTCTGACATAGAATTTGTCAATTGGCAAAAATTAGTTGGTACATGTGGTATTAGAATTTTTTTAAAAAATGGTAATCTTCATCGTTACTCCGGCTTCAATGAATCTGTGAGTTAAATGTTTAATTTTATATAACATTATAATGATCAAATTACAAAGTTACAAATTAATTTTATATGCTTATTTGCATGTAATGCTCACAAGTTTATTATTTTGATTAAATAATAAATTTGGATGATAAAGTGATATTTTACAATTTTGATCAAATGGTAACTAATATTTTTTGGTGCTCTTTAAAACAATATGTACTTAGTTGTATTATATAATGTACAATATTTAAGTTGGTTATATTATTCAATTTCTTTAACTTAGAAATCTTTGTATTTCATTGATCGTTCTTGATTTAATATTGAGTACATGTTATATAAATACACATTTGTTGTATACTATGCTTTATCAAATTAACTTAAATTCAAATAATATACAATCAAAATAATAATAAAAAGTGAAATACTGAAATCAATTTGTTCAAAGCTTTATTTTATTTATAACAATTTTACAATAAATAATTGAATATTTATTATTTTTATATGCGAGCTATGGTATTTGAACTGGGACTTAATATTTTCCTTCCTGTATGTGATTTACATTATTTCGTTTACATAGGATCAAGATAAAATTGCCAAATATTTTAAAAACACATACCACTTGGACATGTTGGAAAAAGAATTAGCTCTTAAAGGCTGGAATTGGGGTAGTGCTAAATTTAATGGATCAATCTTGAGCTTTGATATTGGTAGTTTGACCGCTTTTGAATTACCTTTAAACAATGTATCACAGTGTACAACTGGCAAGAATGAAGTGACATTGGAATTTCATCAAGTAAATTGAAACTAATATATTTTAAATTCCATAGTGTGATAAATATGATATGTTAAACCTGAATACCTAATATTAAAATAATAATTAAGTCCTTTAAGTATTATTTTATTATTTGTGCTATGTTTTATACAAATACTAATTTATGTATTTATAATATAATACAATTTAGAACGACGAAGCACCTGTCAGTCTCTGTGAAATGAGATTTCATATTCCAACAGCTGAACTTGTGGGTGATCAAGACCCAGTAGAGGCATTCCATAATCAAGTTATGCAGCAGGCCAGTGTTATATCTATATCTGGTGACGCAATCGCTATATTTAGAGAAATGCAATGTTTAACGCCTCGGTAATGAATATTGGAAACAATTATAGTATGATAAGTAATTTGTATTAACAATAATAATATTGAACATTTATTTAGTGGTCGTTACGATATAAAAGTTTTCCAAACTTTCTTCCAACTTCATGGTAAAACATTTGATTACAAAATTCCTATGACTACAGTTCTCCGATTATTTATATTACCACACAAAGACGGTCGCCAGGTATTCTTTGTAGTAAGTTTAGATCCACCTATTAAACAAGGTCAAACGAGATACCACTATTTGGTGTTGTTATTTAATATGGAAGATGATACATCTATCGAACTTCCATTTTCTGAGTAAGTTTAAAACTTTAATGTATTATTTTAATATACTTCAAGTAGATTTGTTTTTCTATGGACCTTGCTCTAAACAGTTAAATAAAATAAAATATGAAACATAATAATGTTTAACATCAAGTTTTAATTGGTTTTAGTGAAGAAATTAAGTCTAAATATGCTGGGAAACTTACTAAAGAACTTTCTGGCCCCACATATGAAGTTCTTGCCCAAGTCATGAAAGCCATTGTGAATAGAAAAATAACAACACCGGCCAGTTTTAAAGGGTAATTATTATAAAATTATAATATGGTATAATGGTATAAAAAATATATTTTGTTTTTGTTTTATTAAAATATTAATATGTAACATTATATATGGTGTAAATATTTATATTTATATAAGATAAAAATCAAGTTAAATATGTCAAAAATTTACAAAATCCGAAAATATACTGTAAAAATGTATAAAATCTTATAATAAAACATACATTTTGCAAAAAAATAAATGAATTAATACAATTTTGTTGATAGAAAGTTGCTAGATAATGAAACACATTTTGATATTAACTAGACATTTTTTTAACCAACCAATAAAAACATACAAATTTATATAAATATCTGCCCTAATTATAATATTGTAAAATATTTAATGGGTTTAATTATTTTTAGGCATTCTGGTACATCAGCCATTGGTTGTTCCTATAAAGCTGCTGCTGGCTATATTTATCCTCTTGAAAGGGGTTTTATTTATATACACAAGCCACCTATACACATCAGATTTGAAGAAATCGCTAGTGTTAATTTTGCTAGAGGTGGCGGTAGCACCAGATCTTTTGATTTTGAAATTGAACTAGTTAATGGAGTTATACATACATTTAGTAGCATAGAGAAGGAAGAATATGGAAGTCTGTACGATTTTATCAATGTTAAAAACCTGAGAGTGAAGAACACTGGCAAATCAGTAATAGAATTGAATGATTTTTTTATTTTAGTTTATTTATTCATTTAGACGGCAGTTGTCCGTTTTATTATTATTATTATCAAAATTATATTTTATTGAATGATTTTAATTGTTAGGATAAACCAGCTTACACTGGAGATGATTACGGTGATTCCGATAATGAAGTTGAGCCTGATGCTTACTTGGCTCGAGTCAAACTTGAAGGACAAGAACGCGATGAAGATGATGATTCAGAAGAGAGTACAGATGAAGACTTCAATCCCGATGGACAAGAAAGCGATGTCGCTGAAGAGTATATTTAATATATAACATTTTTAAATGCTACAACTTAATACATTAATTCTGATATAGGTTTGATAGTAATCCATCAACAACAGACTCAGAATCTGGTAATGAGGAAGGTGGTGGTAGTAAAGAAAAGAAAGATAAGAAAAAAGATAAAAAACCTAAATCAGCCAAAACAATTGTAAGTAGATTAAAAAATATATAGATATTGTTAACAAAATCAATAATTAACCCCAATTGATCAATAATATTTGGTTTAAAAAAATCCTTTTCAAGTGCATTTTGACAGAAAACATATATTTGCTTTTTTTAAAGGTGGTAAAATTTTCAAAACTATTTGAGCAATTTTTTAGCTATTAATAAATATTTAACTTTGCGAGTTTATTACGTAATTTGTATTCAATAGGTACTCTGTAGATAAATAGTTGTTATACATAACAGAAATACTTGAAAATTTGATAGAAAGTTTATTATAAATCAAATTTCGGCGATAATTGTAAATATAACTGCCTTTAAAAACTTGTATAACCAAACTTCATTCTTAATTGTTAGGCAGAAATCCATTGAAAAAGTTATGATGAGTGTTATGGTTTTTCTCATAAACCAAAGCCGTGGGCTAATATATAAATATTATTTTTGTATTTATGTTACTTTATACATTGTAAGTTGGTGTACTACTTCAAAATATATTTAGTTAATATACCTAAATAAAAATATTAACATGAATCTTATAAATAAGTATTAAAAATATCATAATTCCTAATAATCCCACTGATATCCGCCAATGTTTCTGATTTGTTTTTCATTTACAATAGTTTATTGTTGGTTAAAGATATAAATTAAACTCAATGTATCTACCCAAATACCTACCTACAACAGTGGCTAAGTATCAGCTCTTTTTGTTGTTTTAATAGGCATTTTGTGTGTATTTTATCCATTAAAGAATTTCAAAAAAGGTAGGTACTTGTATTTTTGTTTGCTAGAAAATTATCAGCCAAAGCAGATATTTCAAATTTATTTAATTCTATCTTGAGTACAAATCTAAATTATTCTTTTTCACATTCATCCCAACTATTTAAGGGCTGACCTCCCTTTTCCTAAATTTTCACTTGGTAGTTTGATATCCTACATCGTCCTTGCATATACCCTCGTTCCTATATCATTTAAATATTATTTCATTGCCATTCTTTCTATCAGTCTATTTTTTCTCATTTATTAACTTGCTTAAAGCGTATATAAAAGTTATTAAAATAACAATTTACACTTACAATTACTTGAAAATACTTAGAATTTGATCTATATATCAATAAATATTTTAAATTTTTATTTTTAAGAAAATTCTACAATTGATAAAATGTATATATTTGTAAATATTTTTATGTATTTAGTCTGAAAAACCACGTAAACCCAAAAAAGCCAAAAAGCCAGATGACGGTAGACCTAAAAGACCAGCTTCAGCTTACATGATATGGTTTAATGAATCACGTGAGGATATTAAATCCAAAAACCCTGGAATTTCATTTGTGGATATAGCAAAAAAAGGCGGTGAAATTTGGAAAAAAATGACATCTAGTGAAAAAGCAGTAAATTTCTTTATTCTTCTTTTATTATCACTGTATTGTTCTTGATAAAAATCATTTATTAAGGCTTTAATGGTTTTTGAATACTATCTATATAATGGTTGATTTCTAGAAATACGAAGAAAAAGCAGGAAAAGCAAAAGAAGATTATAACAGAGCTATGAAAGAATTCGTTGAAGGTGGTGGACAAGCAAAATCATCAAAACAATCATCTTCACAAAAAAAAGTTGCAACACCTGTAAAAAGTTTGTCAATTGTTTCAAAAGAATTTATTGAATCTGATGATGATTCTTCAAGTGATAGTGATGGAAAAAACAAGTCTAAACTAAAATCCAAACAGGTTGGATTATTTATTTCAAAAATACAAATACTTTAAATTTAATAATTGTGTATAATTTTAAATAACAATGTATTTTCTTTTTAGAAACCTTCAGATAATTTAAGTGATGATAATAAATCCAAATCCAAGCAGTCAACCAAAAAGACTAACAAAGAACCTTCTAAATCTTCTAAAGTGAAGAAGGTAAGTGTATGTACTATTTTATAATATTATAATTTCAAGTTGATCAATCAATCTCTTAGAAGTTGGTGGTGACAAATAGTTTTTGGTGTTTTTAGAATAAGAATAAGAATTTTTTTGTTTTGTTTTCTGGGTTACCTTGGCAAATCAGATGAAAAATAAAAGTTATTATTAATTGATTTGGGTGTCACGGGCAAGGAAGTACCCTTTTTAAAAAACAAGTTACCGAGCATCAACTGAGATAGAAGCACCTTTTATTTTATAAACTATGTAATAATTGTTATTTTTTTGTTCTGCAGAAGTCATCTGAAGATTCTAGTGAAGAAGGGGTAAATTCAGATGATTTGAGTGATGACAACAAACCTAAATCCAAACAAATATCCAAAAAGACTGAAAAATTTTCTAAAGCCAAAAGACAAAGAGTATTAACTATTTTATAATAACTAATAATTAATAAACTAATAAATAAGACTTAATAAACTGAGTGATTGATAAATGTGTATGTGTATGCAGGAATCATCTGATGAATCTAGTGAAGAAGAGAAAAAACCATTAAAAAAAAAGAACAAAAGTGAATCAGAGGAAGATGATGATACTAGTGAAAGCCCATCAGATATTAGTGATTCTGATTAATTTTGTTCAGGTAGGTTTCTTGTAATAAATAAACTGTTAATAATTATTTTGATTCTTATTGTAAATGTATGTAATAATTTTTGATAATCTACTTTTTACTTGAAAACTAAACAAAATATAAATACAAATAAGAATGTCAAATTTTAAAATTAATTATTTTTTTTATTATTTTTTTTTTTTTATATTAACTTTTATACAACTGGAAATATGTTCCATATACCTTAGAAATTAAACAAGTATTATTTCTCCATTCAGTTGTAATGTGTTAATTATTATTTATCTCATTACATGATTTTAAAAAGCCTGACCAAAGCTCTGTCAAAACCATACTACTTATTTGAAATTCAGTTGTTTTTTCATACTATTAGCAGAAATATTGGATAACTTTGATAAACATCTTAAATATTGACATCAGCTCCTATGTTTACATATATCTATTGAATAGGCAAAACTTTTTGAAATTTTAATTATTCTGAAAATTGAAGTGTTTGTTCAAAAAAATGAAAAAGATTTATAGCTGTTCAAAATCGAAACAATTGTAAATATAACCACAAATTAAAACCTACTTTTCCGTAATGTTCAAATAGTAGTACCATTAATTATGGATATTAAATTGAATAACGCACTGTACAAATCGTAGCAAAACCATACATAAGTATCTGATATCAGTTTATTAAAACCAGTCCACTTCCTGCCAAACCCACTTTACTAAATGAAATACAATTTTTAATAAAAAAATAATAAAAAGGTTAAGCTCTAGGCTACAACCTAATATCAAACATAATTCAAAAAAAAAAAACCTTAGTTTTCATTACTTGCATATTAAACTCCATGTTTAGATTTTTGCATTTTCCAATAATATGGAAACAATTTATTATTATACTCATCCCAAGTTGCTTGGAAATTGGAAAATCAAAAAATCTTTTCTTTTGCACCAATTAAATCTAAAATGCAAAAAAGACCTCTTTAAAGTACCTACCTCCTCGGTTTGATTTCCTTTCAGAAAAGGTGCTATACTTAAAAATCGAAGTAATATTTTTTTCGATATGCCATATGCATGATATTTACAAAAATAAAATATGTATGAATTAAATTTAAAATAAAATAAATAATTACGAATTTACGAATACTTAAACATAAAATAGTACATTTTTTTACTAATAAGAACATTAAAATATATTTCATTTTTATTCATAATTATGAACACATGCGCTTAATAAATTCCAAACGCTCAATGTTGCATCTTTGATATTTTATAATAATATTTACAAAATTTAAAATTAATGCAGATGTTATAGGTCAGGTCACACTTACTATCAATTTTGGCTAAATTTTTTTACAGTTTGAATCAAATTTTCTGTTAATATTTGGTGAGATTTCGAATAAATAACGATCATTTTCTGTCAACTTTTTTTAAATTATGGGTTATTATTTGTACTCGTAAATATTAGCTATTGCCTGATCTGTAATGTATACTGTCAGATTTTTATTTTTTTATCAATTTTCGATAAAATCTCTTATAATTAGCCAATTATGGGTTATTATTTGTACTCTTATATATTAGTTATAGCCTTATCGGTAATGTATATCATCAGATTTTTATTTTTTTATCAATTTTCGATAAAATATCTGTTATAATTAGCCAATTATGGGTTATTATTTGTACTCGTAAATATTAGTTATTGCCTTATCGGTAATGTATACTGTCAGATTTTTATTTCTTAGTGTTTTTGTCCCCATTAAATCGATCTCTAGTTCTTGGACACTGAAATAATAAGCAAACATGGTTAAACAATTTTCTGGTACACAAAATGGATAGAAAATATAAATAGATATATGGCATAGGTTACCAGTTCCTTATTTAAAAGGTTTCCGTAGTAATAAGTTGGCATTTTTCTGAACAGGTTTTTTGGGGTCGGCATAATCTTTTTATCTGGTTTGGTCTTTAGTTTTATTGGAATTTCACTTGGATTACTTAAACAAAATATACACATATAATAAATAAATATTAATATATTCTCTATATGAAGGAATACATAGAAAAAAAATAAAATAATTTCTTTATTTAATTTTTATATTCAGTCGTGTTTTACATTTTGACTGTGGTTTACTGATGATGAATTTTTAATTCGAAACCGGTCGTATTTATCATAATACTCCAGGCAACGCATTCTTTTATTTATTTGTTTTTAATTCTAAATACACATTTTTTATTTTTATATTTATTTTAAATACTTTTATAGGTTTTAAGGCATTTTTCTTCTTTATACGAACTATTGAAGGTGCTATAAAAAAATTAGATAAAATTTATTTTGATTTCCTTTTAAAATGTATTAGGTATAGATTTACCAATTGTACCAGACAAATACGATGTCAGCTACAATGAAGAAACCGATAAGCTATTTATCGAGTTGTGAAGTAGTCGTATTGCACTATTTGCACTGTATACCCCCTCCTACCAAAAAAAAAAAAAGAAGTTTTTTTAACGTTTAAATTAATTTTTAGATCATTTTTTAATATATTTTTTTTTATTGAAGTGCATTTAAACCATTTTTAGGGCAAATACGCACCTGTTAATTGAAATACTTTTTATAAGAATTTTTACAACTTTGTTATTAATTATGAGCTGATTTATGAGCTACATTCATAGGCGCAACTAGGGAACGAGTTAGGGGAGGAGGCTAAGCACGACCAAAATTTATTTTAACCTTCCCCCCCCCAGTATTTTTGTCTTAAAATCTAAGATATTGGTTTACACATTGATTATTTTCAATTTAATCGTAATTTAATTATATTCTATGTAACACGTATTAGATTTAAAGTTCTTCAAAAGAACCTATTTTAGTTTATAGTTTATAACATTGTTATTTGTTTTATCTAATAAATATTATAGGGGCATATAGCCAACGCGTACCTAGTTGTACTTGTTGAGCCCCATGGTTCGTGTTTTAACTGAATTTATTGAAGGGCTTCAGCCCCCTTAATATTTTAGACCTAATTGCACCAATGTTTACATTAATATAAATGTTCACCGTTCATTTTATACCTACTGCATCTAAACTTAATAAAGACGTCCTAGGATAATGGAGACGGGTGCATCCACTGTTGTAGGTATTTTAATGTATATCTGATAATGGTATGATAAACCATTGCTAACGAAAAAACGATCATGTGATGTTTCGTCAACAATTTATGTGTTATATTATAGTAAAATAATTAAATGAGCATTATATATTTTTTTTAATAATATCTGTTTAATATTGTACCGTTTTTCCTAGTTTTCCCATGTTTTTTTCCAATTTCCTGAGAACATTCTTAGGAAAATAATTGATAAATGACCTGCCTAAAGTACCTTGCCAGTCAGATTTCCTTGCAGAAAAATTGCATATCATTTTAATCGTTTTAAGCGAAATTGCCGGTAGAAAAGTTGTACGCAGAAAAAAAGGCCATGCATTTTCTATTTATACATACATTTGGTAAATTTATCTCATTTATCGACATTTATCTCGGTTTTCCCAGATATTATGAAAAAGTTTGAAAAATCGAAAAACGATCTCCCCAAGGGTGGGCTAGGTTCACGTGGACGCGCGTTAGCTGGCCACAAAACGCGCGTTTATCGCCCACATGGCCGCGTGTCACTGCGCGTTGCCCAGAAATGCTCTAATCAAATGTATTTTAAAATTCGATCGTTCGCATCGAAACGCGCGCGTCAACTGTACGGCCCGCGATAACGACACGCGGTATTGCAATCCGCGCTGTCACGCGCGTGTTCGCGCGGGAACGGATTCTCTCGCGTCGTTATCGCGATCGACGCGCGCCACGTGAACGATGTATGAGAAACCCGTACATCTAAACGCGCGCGGCCGACTAACGCGCGTCCACGGGAACCTAGCCTAAATTACCACGGAGATTGGATTTCCTTTTAGAAAATATGCCGCAATAGCATAGATTTATTTTTTTGTTATTTCAATTGTTTGATAACACATTTTCTTTAAGTATAATTAATCGTTACGAACATACACAAGTTAGGTTTTAGATTCTGAACGTAGCGTGGGATCTATTGATATTTTTTACTATGGCGTATGTTTTTAACTTTTTTTTTTTTACTCCTGTACCTGTGCGCATCTTTACAAATAGAAAACTTGCTCCAATATATTAAGTGTAGTATCCATTCTGAAAGGAATTATTATCTAGTTGGTAAATTGGGTAGGTTATTTGTTGACTTCCCAAGGGTTTCTAAAAATAATTGGGAAAAACCGGTAAGAAAATTATAGGTGAAACGGCAAATATTTACGTTGCGTTGTGACGTTGCCGCTGTCATTATTTTTAATTTTTACAAACGATGTTTTCCACTAGAAATCTTGTTCAATTGAAAAATATCATGAGACCGATTTTGTTCCATTTAATATCTAACCGCCCTCAGAAAAAGTTTTTGTTATTTTATTTTTTTAATTCTATAGAAGTTTTACTAATAATTGAGGAAAACCAAAATAATGGAAAATACGATTTTTTTTAAATTACGGGGCAACGATTTGATTATTTAAAATTTGTTAGGTTATATTTTTCTACCGGAAATCTTTGTCCAAATGTCAAGAATATCATATTTTCTGAAACAAAATGTTGTCTAGTTTGCGAGTAAGAAAGTCGTTGTTTTGTAAAACATTCGTTTGATTTCTTTGATTTTTCCATATAGTTTTCTTAATAATTACGAAAAACCAGGTAAAACGTAGAAAATATGGTAAAGTGTGGAGCATTTTGGGTGAACTTGGTGGTTTAAAAAACAAATTTGAGTTTAATGTATTAATTTTAGTTGTACGCATAACTGCATAAGCGTTTTAAGTTTTGACGAAAACCCTAAAAATTACGGCATTGCAAAATATGCATTATCGAACTTCGCTCCGAATCGTAGTTTGTTAGCAATGGTAAACCCTGGTTTGAAATTGAAATTCAATGTCAACATGATTTTGTTGTTAAAACAATAACTTAATGCTCAAATGTCTTTAGTCCTTGTTCAATTGCTTATGGGATATAAAGTAAAAAACAAATTGAGACCCTCGAAAGAAAACCGTGGCCGAGGCGTTTTATACACTAAGCCGACAGTGACTACCATGCTTAATTATATATATCCTGATACTCGTATACAACGATAATATAAATAATATTGAAAACCTGCTCTGTTTGCGTTCTTTTATTAAGCTGGGATTTTCTTCGGAATTTTCTTCCTCTTTTTCTGCGGTATTTATTATTGAGTTCTCATCAGCTTGTAATGCATTACTTTCTGCATCATTTCCAACTGGATTATTTTCATTTTCATTGTCTGGCACTATTTTCAAAACTGGGTTTCTATCCCTTATTGCTATGGGTTCATTTAATGCGATTACTTTTTTGCCTGTTTGTAATGACCTTAAATTACTATTCCATTTGGTCAAACCAACATTTTTGGCCGAATTTTTCGATTTTTTTAAATCGCTTAACTCTTTCTTAAATTGAGTAATTCTCCGAATTAGCTCAGCTTCTTTTATCTTGGTTTCTTCATTCGCGGAGTTTAATTTATCTGTCCAAAATTTCTCTATTTTATAATTGTTACTTTCGATGGTTTTAGTAAGTTCGTCAAATTGTGTTTTTAGTGTCTGATGTTTATTATTTAACTCATTGAACTCCGTAGATAATTTACTATGCGATTTAGTTAATAATGTCAATTCGGATTGCGCATCATTTTTTTGCTTTATACATTCGCATAATTCATTATCGCGTTGAGCAAGATTCTGTGTTAATTTAGCTATCTGAGAATCTATCAAAATTCCAGAAATGTCAATTTTTTTTAAAGTTATTATCTTGCTGTTAACTATCTTTGCGCTGGGATCATTTGTATCATTGTCGTGATTCACATTTATTTTATTTTGTTCATAATATTTTTCTTTTAACGCATCGTATTTGTCATATAAATCATCGTGTTTAATGTTCAATTTTTGATTTAGCTCGTTCCGGTGTTTAATTTCGGACTCTAGGTCCAAAATTATATTTTTGTATTCATTCACCTCTGCATCATATCGAATACTGTCATTTCTTCTTTTTAATATCTCTAAATCTTTAATTTTCGATCGTTCTTCTGAGTTGTTCAATAATTTTCTAAATTTTCTTATTAATTCTATCATATCGACACGCGCTTTTTCATTTTCTTTCTTAAGTTTAAATGTTTCCAGTTTTATTTTGTTTATCCTGTTATCTTTTTCTATTGATTTTTTTTTTTCATCATCTAATTTGCATCTTATCTTTTCTGCATCACCTACGACATTATTTATTATCTCGGCATTTTCATTAAGTTGACCAAGCAAATGCGTAATCAAACTAAATAATTCTTCTTTTTCACACGTTACTATTTCTGTTTTCAGTTTGTTACAGTTATCAGCCCATTGATTAATTTCGGAATTATTAAATATTTGCTTATGCAATTGTTCTAAATCTGTTATTTTTTTCATGCCGACAGTATTTACGAGTTTCTAAAAAAAAAAATATGTTAATTAGTATTATGTTTATTAAACTTAGTGTTTGGAACGTTCACGATCATTTTATTTTTAAAAAATAACGCTTGCCCCACTACTTTATTTTTATTTTTTTAAGATAGGATACTTTCATGGTAGTCAATAAAATGGACACGTTTATTTGTCCGTACATCATTCTAAAAAGCCTTAATAAATACTAATCTATTTATTCGAATACTAAAAAAAAACTCCAACTGAGTGCTATAAGTTGTTAAAAGAGGCCTTTAGTGAGGATTTCCTATCTCGGGCACGTGTTTTTGAGTGGCATAAATTATTTTCTGAAGGTCGAGAGTGCACCGGAATCCAATTCAGTCGTAATCCAAATTCAAAACCGTTTTCTTCGATATCAACGGCATTGTGATGACTGAATGGGTTCCAGAGGGTCAAACTGTGAACCAACATTACTATTTGACAGTTTTGGCAACATTGCGCGAATGAGTTCGTAAGAAACGGTCGATATTGTGGAAAAACAAGTCGTGGATCTTGCACCAGGATAAAGCGTGAAGCGTTATTTGGCCGCTTAAGGCACTCCAGTACTCGAACACGCGTCTTACTCACCCGACTTGGCACCCTGCGACTTTTACTTGTTTCCGAAGATAAAGTCTGCCTTAAAAGGAATCCGGTTTGAGTCGATGGNCGAGCAATGGTTCCAGCACTGCCTCGAGCAATGGAAAAAACGAATGAAACGGTGTGTGGCGAGGGGAGGGGGCACTGCCTCGAGCAATGGAAAAAACGAATGAAACGGTGTGTGGCGAGGGGAGGGGAGTATATTGACTCGAGCAATGGAAAAAACGAATGAAACGGTGTGTGGCGAGGGGAGGGGAGTATATTGAAGGGGAGCGTTTGAATGTAGAATAATTTTTATAATAAAATACTTTTTCGTAACCAGTCTCGTTATTTAATAGCCACACCTCGTATATATAAGGTATATCATTATATCTTCTAAGATTATAAAGATAATCAAATTCTGTTTTTTTTTTTTCTATATATATATTACTCACGGGGTTAAGGACCACTCATACACATATTTATATTTCAATTGTTTTTTGTTTTGGTAATTAATTTTAAAAATAATATAACAAAAAGTGGTTTTTTTTTTAGTTTTTTTTTACCGAAACACGAGAATGTAATTCAAATCTAAATATTTTTAGTCCTTATTTCTGTGAGTTGTGAACAGAATTTGATTATTTTTATTATCTTAGGAAAAGATAATATTAACCTTGAAAACATTGCTATCATTATAAGTTGGAGCAAAATTGCTGGTAGAAAAGTTATGCACAGAAAAAAATAAAATAAAAATACACATTTTTGTAAAACAATAAGCTTCTTCGTTCCACTCAGAATCCAAAATGTTAATACTTTCCGATATAATTTTCTTTCTAATTTTGTTTCTGTTGAAAGTATCATCATTCTCAAATCTTGAACCATTGTAGATCTTAAGTAAGTTTTTATCAATTTAAGTTTGCTGAAACTTCTTTCACGTAAAGCTATTGTGACGAGCAATGAGAGAAAAATCTGTTTAGAAATTTCGATATTTGATACGGTTCTTTAAGCTTATAATCATGAATCATTTGTGATAAATCCAAAAATATTACTGATTCAATACTTGACAATATGAATCGTTCAAAATCTTTAATTTCTTCAAATATATCCACAGTATTTATATCATCATTACATTTTATTCCTAGATCAATAGCTGCTTTTTGCAAATCGTTTGCTATTTTCATAATTTGTTCATATCGCCATGCCGTTTGAGTAAGAGGAATATCTAATGAATTCATAACGATTACTCGGATATTTTGTTTATCACATCGTTATTTGTTTAACTGATATAACCGATATAACATAATAATACATACAAAGAATAAAAAAATATTTAACGTTTAACGACCAATAACAATGAGAACCCTTATAAATGTTAACAATTGTAAATCATAGGTAAACTTATATTGTGTATTTTACCTGCAAAAATGTTTCCTGGGCGACCGGAGCAGTCGCTTCACAAATATTATTATCGGAGCGCAACGGGTTTTTCAACAATTTTTTTTCCCACAAATAAACGATTTCCTTGGGGAGATAACTCTGGATTGCATGCACATTGCTATACACGGGATTTATAGAAGTATTAATACGCGATATTGAATAAGACTAACGTGTTTTGCATTTGGATTTGTACATACGATGTACTCATTTGTGGGAACTTTGTTGAATTATGTTCATTTACATCTTTTAAGCATTTATTTTTGATTGTTAAACAATTGCTCTTGTCGGACAACTTATACTCGGTTACCAGATGTTCGTTATTAGGAACTACGCTCTTATCATCGTTCATCTTCTCGATTAGGTAGGTAGACTTTTTTTCGTAACTTGAAATCAAAATGTAAATTACGAATAAAATAATTACATTACAACAACAGTAGTTATTTAACCGTATTGTAATCCGTACTGTTATATTGTTCATAGTTACGGCCCACATTGTCAAGCCGACAATTTGAAAAAAATATTAGCAGCCAACTAAATATATTAGTTTGTATTTCAGAAGCGACAGACGAATCAATTTCAAATTTTCAACTTTGTTGGTATTGGTCGATATGGCCCAACGCCGGAACGTCCAAATTTGTTTAGTGATGTACAGATCAAATATTATTTACTCTATTATAGCCGCTTCATGTTCTACATCTATCATTATTTAATTTAAAAAAAATTGCAACGTGTATTCATGTAATTATGTGGTGTAACATTTATTAATAATTAATAAAATCACGGACGGATAATACAAAACCGCGAAAGCACTTGTGTAAAATGATCACGGGTACTGTTTGTAGCGCGCTCCGGCGAAAGCTACAAATTTATAGCTTCCGCCAGAGTGCGCTACTAATTTGGGACCATTTTTTATCCATCCAGCCGTCTGTAAACTGTGTCCTCACCTCCAATGTTCGTCCATTTAATCATAAGGTTATATTATAATCTCTTATCTCCACCGTCTGTGATCGGTGTCCTCACCTCCAATGTTCATCCGTTTAACCATAAGGTTATATTATAATCTCTTATCTTCGCCGTCTGTGTTACACAATATCACCGCGCGCACACACACACACACACACACATATATACTATCTCCATTATTATATGCGTATTATGACCCAGCTGGTCCCCCTTTCCGAGAATCTAAAACCAAAAAAAAACAACATTTTTTTTATAATAAATTAATTCTTAATTTAAGAATACTTATACATAAAAAAGTGGTACATTTTTTTTTACCAATAAGAACGTTAAAATATATTTTAAACAACTTTTTTGTTCATAATTATGACAATATGCGCTTAATAAACATCTAATTTCACATCTTTGATATTTTATAATAAAACTTGCGAAATTTAAAATGAATGTAGATGATGTAGGTCTGGTTATACTTACGATGAATTTTCGCTAATTTTCTTACAGTTTGAATCAAATTTTTTGTAAATATTTGGTCAGATTTTGATGAAATAACAATCATTTTCCAGTTAAATTTCTGTCAACTTTTTGTAAGTTATCGGCTATTGTTTGCACTCGTAAATATTTGGTTAGTTTAGGTTAAAAACATTGTAGTAAAAGCTAAAACCAATAAATCAAAATAAAATTTAATAACAATATATCTATAGGAACATACGTCATATTTTGAATTTTCCTTTGGATTATGATACATGTTCCTTAGGACACCTACATTATATAAAGCCACAAAATAATAATTGTACTAAATTCTATTATATATTTATATCTGTGATATACGCCTGCAGTGGCAGATTTACCGAGTTTGGTCCGTTGGCATTTTTAAGCTTTTTATTAACATTTTAATTTTGCGAGTTTTTTTTGCATAATTTGTATTCGATAGTTACTCTATAGAAAAAATTGTTACATCAAACAGAAATGCATTAAATTACCCAATATTTATATATATATATTTTAAAATGAATAAAGACATAAATCGAAAATGTACACTTAAAAATTAAATAAATAAATGAATCGATGCGTCGCCGCCTGGAGTATTATGACAATTATAATACACTTATCAGTGAAAATTGGCCAGAAAATAATCGTTATTCCATCAAAATCTAACAATATTTATGAAAAATTTGATTCAAACTGCAAGAAAATTTAGCAAAAATCGATCGTAAGTGTGTGACCACCAGATCTACATCATCTACATTAATTTTAAATTGTGCAAATTTTATTACAAAATATCAAAAATGGCGAAATCAGACGACGTTTGATAATTATAATGCACTAATCGTAATACCCCAGGCAACGCATTGGTTCATTTATATTTTATTTTTATACATAAATTTTTTATTTACATATTTATTTACTCTTTATTTATTGACGAGTATTAACCATTTTAATAATTTTGTTTTTACTTTATTATTTTATTAAATATATTTTATTGTATCTTTATAATTTAAAATTATTGAGTATGTAAATTAGGTCTGATTGCGAATGTCAAATAAAACTGAGGACTTAGACATGCCTTATAAAAATCATTTTAAAAAAGGTACCCGTCCGGATATTATTTTATACCGCTATACCGTGTAGGTACACATTTAGATACCTATTGCATGCAAGTATAATAGATTGCAGCATTTCGGAGTTTTCGAAAATTGCCTTGTCGAAACGTTGTAAAAAAATTCTTAACATATACCCGCGATCATTTTTACTATCCGTAAGTGTTCCGACGGAGGAAAAGTTTGGCGAGAGGTGTGGCGTACGCTCTCCGCTCTTTACCTGGTTCGCGCCGTTTCCGTCCGCTATCGAAATCTCGACCTGCCGAAATCATTCACGGCGCGCCGTCCGCTCGTAATTTAAAACTAACCAAAATCAATATAGTTTAATACCGTAGACGGATGTGCGTTTAATTTATTCAAATATATTGTACGGCGAGCGCAACGCAACCGCAAGCAATCGTAGAAAACAAATGGGTACAATTATACCCATCGGCAGTAGTTATCGTTCGTTCGAACAACCGAATCGAAACAATAATGGATTCGACAATTTCGCGCGGATTATATATATTGATGGGGCGTTTCGCATTCGCGCCGAGCGAACGGCCAGACATCGCATCGGTCCGCGCCGGGCAACGGTCCCGATAACGGGCGGAAAGCGCCGCGTTAAGCAGAACGTCATTCGGAACGCGGTCGATTTACACCGGACCGAATGGCCGTCCGCGTGCAGCAGCAGCAGCGGCGGCGGCGGCGGCAGTCCGTTCGCATTGTGTCCGCCTACCGTGCACCGCGCGCGACGACGCGGACAATATTGTTCCGCGACTGACAACGCGCGGCGTCATCGGGACGGCCGCAACTTGTTGTCGCGCGGCCCGCCCGCCGGATAAACTCGTGCACGCCGTGACCGCCGCCCCGTCCGCGGCTCCGTGGGGCGTCCACGGGGCATTATCGTTACGTCGTTCGCGACGTCACTTACCGTTGTACGCAGGCGCCGTTATCGCCGCGCGGTGCGTACGGTCGCCGCCGCCGCCGCGTACCGCGGGAAAAGCGCATCAATCGTACGCCGGCACGCGAACGCGCCGCTCCGTCCGCGTAACGGGTCGTTTGGTTCCGCCGTTGTTCGTCCGCCTTGACGTGTCGCGTCGGTGTTTTTCTCGCGCCAAACCCCTCGTCCGGAGTTTTCGTTTGCCCCACTCCCCTCTCGCCCAACACTGGCCGCTCGCGACTGTCCGTCAGTCCGTCAGTCCGTTCCGTATATAACCGTTTACCATTCGACGAGTCGATTATATCGCGTCGCGCCCACCCCGCCGTCGTCTTTTACTATCGTCGCGTACGGGTAACACGCAGTCGTGTCTGCGGCGCCCGGCGAAATGCAATCGAAAACTCTGTTGCACGAAGACGAGTGCTACTCCGCCCGTAAGTTTACACGATAAGTACCGAAGTATTTTTAGTTTTCATTTTTTTTTTTTTTTTTTTTTTCTGGATATATTTTCGTTCGGCGGGGTACGGGCGCCACCGTGCCGCGAGATTGCACTTTACACTCGCTCGTTTCGGGGGAATGGCCCGTAATATTATTGTTATTGTCGCGTATTCTGGACACCGGCCGTGTATAAACAATAATCGATTCTCGGGGAATTCCGTATTGGCAGTCGTGCATTTCGGAGTGGGGAGGGAATGCCGGGTGCCGGTTGGCGATTTTTACGCCGGCGATGGTTTTTATCGAAAAACGGACTTTTGACGGCCGATAATGATAACCATTGGGCATTGATCGTTTTGTTCGGGCGACTTTCAACGTTTCATTAACAGTTATTGTCTAAACGATTATTATTTACCGACTCGACAATATCACGCGCACTTGGTTTAACATCAGCTGCAGACGCACGTGTATACATCTGAAATACCGGGGTTTTAAGTTTACATTGAACTCGCCCCGGCGCTGCGCGGTTTTATCGTATTGTGACAGCAGCGTGCGGTATTGTTGTAATTTATGTGCCGCGATCGGTTTTCGAACGAAAACAACGTCCGTGATAAACACGATCGACAACTATCGGGTGTCGGGTGTCGCGCGTCCTATATTATACGGGTGCCGGTTGTCCCGGTTTCGGTTTTTTTTCCCCTCTCTCTCTCACAAAAACGATCCGTCGCGTCTAGACAGAATGCCGGTAGGTGTGCGCGTAACGCGTAACCGTTCGGAGAAACTGTTGCCGGCGGCGGCGAGCGTCCTCTCGTGCAACAACACGCGTCGCGGCGCCGAAAGACAACGCTGTACACAGGGTGTGTTTAATGTGTCCGTACGGGGGTTCGACAGTCGTCCGCGTGGGTATTGCGTCGGTCGCGGTCAGCTCCCTCGCATACGCCCCGCCGTGCCGGCGTCCGGGGTGTCCGGCCCGCATCGCGAACCGGAACCGCGGTTCGATTTCAACATCTCCGTGACGCGGGGTCGCGTTGCGCGTCCGTAAATGTGCACGCACGCACGACTCGACGAACCGCGTCGCGCGCGGTGATTTCCGAGCGCGGTCGGATTACGCGTTCCGGCGTTCTCGTGACGGGCTTTCGTCGCGGCCGCCGCGCGTTTTTCCGGTGCTCGTGCGCGGGCGATTTCGCGTGCGTTTCGTGCGTGTTTGCGAGACGTAAATGTTTGTCCGGCAGGCCACGCTCGGATTGCGCAGCACTGGAAACGCCGAAATATGCGCCGTAATGTGACATGGCGAACGTTAAAACAAACCGTTATAATATGACATAGCGTCTTAAACGTATTGAAATAAGCTTACAGTAAGCCGTAAAAAACGTGAAAAATGACTAAAATGAAAATGTATTATTATTATTATTATTTTTTTTTTTTTTTTTAATATATAAACACGACCGTGAGAATTCGGGAATGTAGACTGTTCGACGAAATGACGAATACGCAGGACTACTTAAAAATTTAATTATAATTTGAAATGAAAATGTGGATATTTTTCTTACGAGTTCGCATAAATGAAAGAATTTTTTATGAAAAATACAAATAGACCAATGCGTATTTGCGAAAAATTGCAATCTACAAATCTGAAATCATTAAAACACGCAAAAAAAAAAATAGTAATATAAAATTTCATATTCGGAGTCCCTGCGGGCGCATACAACTCTCATAAATATCGTATAAAGCTCACTTTGGTATTTTTATCTGTATCCTTTAATAATTATCGAATGCTATAAAATCCGAGCCCCGGTTATTGAGTTTGAGTATTTATTACCCTGTACACGCCTATTATTACAAAACCGAGTTTCCGATAACTGCGCGAAATTTCAAACGACAAAATGTACGCCTATACACGAGTACGCAACTCCTATGAAACGGATTTCCGTTCGCATTTCGATTACGGTTCGTCGAGGTTTTTGGAAAACTTATCCGATTGGCGATTCGCGTGTAGGTACTCAATTGAAAAACCAAAGTTGACGCCGCCACCGGGATATTCCTTGCCGTGGAAAAAACAGAAGTAACTATTTGAAAACATCGTCTTTCACTACACTTAGTCATTCCAAAAATCAGGGGCCACAAAGGTGTGAGCATCCTTAAAAAATTCGCCCTGTTACGATAATCAACGCCCTTTCGAAATTTCAGATTCTGAGTGGAACGGAGAACCTTATGGTTTTACAAAGATAATATTTATTTATTTATTTGTTTTCTGCGAACAACTTTTATACCAGCAATTTGGCTCCGATTTACAGTGATAGCACTTTGTCCGGAAAGAAATCTGACTGGGAAGGCTTAAGGAGGTCATTTTTCGATTTTCCCAAGAGTTTCTCGGTTAAATATGAAAAACCGTGGGAAAATCGGTACATTAAACAAATATTATTAGATAATATTGCGATTTCCGTAGCGATTTAACGACAACATTTCTATACATTGATAATTGTTATTCGATATCCTATACGATATTTTAAATCGTCGCATCACGACTGTAGTTTAGTGTTCATTGCAGCCGTCTTATTTTTGCGGTATGAATATAAAATAAGTGAGTTGTCTTTTCGTAGGCACTGTTCGTAAAGAAGACGTTTCGGTCGACCTTTAATTATTTTCGCCGTTGTAAGCGACACGACGATGAATACTGTAAATATGATTCCGCAATATTTTAAATATTTCAAATTCACAATAATAGGATTTTTCTCTTTGCATGAATACCTATTCCTATACCTAATACCTATATGAACATCTTTTTCCTATGATTTTTCATTTCGTTTATGCTGTAGCCGGACAAAAGTTTCGGGCCAGGCCACCATAATTCGTATTATTATATCTCCTATTTTTTTAGAACGATATTATACACCGAAATAACCATAAAACACGAGTGCGTCACGTGTTCCCCCAAGCTACGGCGTAGGTATTCGATCTACGGAGTGAATTTCATTGATATCGTTATTTTAAAAGAGAATACCTATAAAATGTCGGGATTGTGAACAACACAAAATGATTTCATTCGCGATGTGTTTTGAAAATGTCTCCGTAACAGTCTGTACCTACTAACACCATAAACTGAGGATAATCGCATTTTTCGATTTTCAAATAGCAATTCACGTCGTTTTTGCAATTTCAATGCTCAACCAATATATTATGAATCATATTATGTTTTATTAACGATAGAAAGGTACTTCAGTATAAGTACTATATAAGTAGGTATTTGTATGTCCTATGGTATTGGTTAGATATTCAATTTGGAGTAAAACTATTGTGTGTATGTTTTTAGATAAACATTAAACATTCTGTTTTGGAATACATATTAAAAAAAAAAAAAAAAAATTAATAATAATATTAAAGAACTAATCTAAGCTAATTTCTCGTCGCGATATGCACACAATTTTATAATATATATTATTATTATTATTATTATACTGTTATGCTCTCTGTGGACGACGGCGAGAACGGGTCTGCGCTGTATTCCACGCCTATCACAAAAGTCGATTTGAATGGATCTAGAAACGAACAGCTCCTAGTAACGAGTTTAGATAATCAACGTGTTCGCCTATATACTTGGACACTATTCCACAGTAGCAACACTCAGAATGGGCTAGTGACGGGCAATTACCAGATTTGTTTGGGCAAAGGCCGGGAATTTATCCGGTAAATTGGATGCATTTATTTTCAATGTAATACACATACATTAGGTATACTGCCACAAGTTGTACATGAAAACTTTTTTTATTTTTTATGTGTGTAGAACTACTTACTTAAATTATGTTGAATAGAATACTTGATAAATGAACACGGCGTAACAATTAGTTTTCACTTTATAATTGAATATTAAACTAGTCTCATTTAAAATTTTAATATTAAAACATAACTTTTGTACTTTACTTTATAATTTGAATATTACAATTTAACCAATTAATGGACACATTTTTTTTGCTTTTAGACATAAATTGTATAGATATCTAGGTATTTGATAAATGAACAGATAAAAAAAAAAAAAAAATGTTCACCCGAATTGTTGGAAGACGTAATATACGTGTGGATGAATACCCGGGTAAATACCCATAACATTTACCTAACCTTTGGATATTTACCCAAGGCACATCGTTAGTTTGGACCGCGATGTTGACGGGAAACCACCGCATTTATCTTCCCGAAACTGAATATCAAATTATAGGTATGCTAAGCTATAGGTAACCTAATCAATATAATATATATCAATTCACCAATTTAAAAAAAAAAAAAAAAAAAAAAAAAAAACTTTTTAAAATAATAGATTATATTACAGACAAATAGCCCATAAACTCTAATTTTAGTTATCTCCTATTGGTTATCATGCAGAATACAATGTTTCATAGGTACCACATCTGCTTTTGTTTACTATTAATTTCGTTGATGATATTGCGAATACGTGTATACGGTAACTAATGAATATTAACTGCTGTATGTTTTTATAGACAGTAAGTCGTAAAGTTTCTAATGTTTCGTTTTCGAAATTTATTTTCACTTTTTGTTTGAAAAGAAAATCGTTATCTATGATAAATGCACAAGATATAGATTTTTTACTGCATAAGTTAATAATTTGAATGTTTGAGAATTGATGGTAACATTTACTACAGTTGAGCCGAGTACAGTTAGAGGTCCATTGTTTGCCCCTGTGAATACTATTGGTGTCTTTTTCTATGTGTTTATTAGGGACAAAAGTGTGTGCCTAATGCAACAAATGTTAGCACCAGTGTCAACGGTTAATAATATGTTTGCGTTATCTAAGTACGCGTAGATGTGTAGTGATTCTGTTAATGTATTTATTCCACGACTTATTATGTAATTATCTATTTTTCTATTTGTTTTAGACAGCAAAGAAGGGGGACGGCTTTTGTCAATGCGACCGTTTAACATAGTTATTCGTTTTTTTTTTGTTTTGGTTAAAATATTGTTTACATTCACGGGCAATGTGTCCTATCCCACTGCATAATTGACATATCGGTGGATTTTCAGGGAAACGACAAGTTGTGCGTCACTATTGTGTGATTGTGTAGTTTACGGTTTTTGGCATTGAATACTTGGCGTTTGAAATTTAAAATTATTTTGTTTAAATAGCTTTTATTGTGGAGGAGAATTGTACTATTTTGTGTTAAATCTAAATTGATTTACAAACTGATAAAATAAAGCGGTGTCCACAAATAATACAACGTACTGTAGATAGTACTAATGTTATATACTATTATATTGTGATATAACTAGTTGGCCAATATTAAAATTATGATATATACCGTATTGTATGTATCATTACGAAACTATATAAAAGAAACCGTTCGAGGACTTTTCGGATATTTGAAAAACCCTGCAACCCTGTTGCGCGGATTGGTTGGTATTTATTCGCATCAACTAAAATCGACTGCAATTTTTTTTCAGCTCGCACCAATGATAAGCGTCTGGAAAAGAATTTCGCAAAACAAGTCGTTAAAAATTTATTTTATTGCTCACGAACAAGTAACAGTTACGAAATATTTTATTTTATGATTGAAACTTAATTCATAACTATTGTTATGAATTACGCCAGTGGCGTAATTACAGTATCCTTTTGCAGGGAAACGATGACCCGGATAAAAACAAACCCGATGCGTCATTGGAACTCTGCTCCCTTTTTATTCGTTATCTTAAATTTATGCGAGGTCCTGGAAACATATGGATCGTGTTTTTTTTTTTTTTTACCTAATTCATGACGTTATACGATTTGTTTATTGCATAGATTTTAAAAACATGTTTTTTTTTTAAAAAAAAAAGCGCTTTTTTGGTTATACGACCCGGATCACCTCCCTTCCCTCGTAAATACGTCACTATCCTTAAACCTGGATACATAATTATTATTAATAAGATATATGCAGTACGCATGGCCATTTTTTGTTTGAACTAATTGTACTCATCACTCGGCGGGTTTCAGAAATGAAATATGATATTACAAACTATCACGAATAAAAACTAAAAAGTTAGCATTTTAAATTGTAAAATTAATAAATTAAAATTCCGTTTGACATTATGTGAAAATTACGTTATACATGAAATGAAGGTTGCAATACTATGTGTTCTGAAATGTTAACACAATACTAACACTTGTTACTTGTTTAATATATTATAGATTTATAGTGAAAATATAAGAACAAGAAACCAATATAACATGTGTAGGGTTCAAGTATAAAAAAAAAAATAAATAAATAGTCAAGGTAGCCAATTGTGTACTGTACAAGTATTCCGTATAATTGAAAGATACTAACTAGTAGAAAAATAAAATGTTCGGTTGAAAACCGATTTTAAAATGTATTTGTACTTTAATAAACGTTAAATATTCTCGAGTTGCAGTAGCTGCGAATACGCTAAAACATACCTACGCTGTTATACGTGAATAGGTAGGTGTACAGATGTATACATTGTGCATTATATTATTAAAAACATATTATCTATACGTTTGAACGTTTTTATCATTTTGTCGATGTGTCGTGTGCAAAACGTGACGGAACTATAAAAACCTTATGCCTCGTTCCATTGGCGCAGTGGTTCTCGTATGCGTAAGTACCCTAAAATGTGCCCCGAGTGACATTATAAATAGTATGAATAGTTTAGGCGCCACTTGTAACACATATATTTTCGATTGAAATCCAAATTGAATTAAAATCAAAATCACTCTCGGTGACTTTTTGCGCGTCAGCGACGATTTGAGAAAATAATATGCTAATATTATGATTTATACTGGCAGAACTGTTTGTGTGTAAATGCACAATATCCGTTACGGCGCTATAGTTATTACGAGCTTAAAATTGATTGAAAGTCGTTTATTTTTTTTTCGCGTGTGTGTAATAGCTGCAAACGTCCGTGAACGTGTATAGTGCGGTTTTTAAGTAAACGCCTGTGGTTGCACCCTAGGAGATTTCGACTCTGGTTTCGCCAGAGGTTTTCATAATATAATACGGTCCTCGCGCCACACAAAAATGAAAAACCAATTGTTGTTTTGTCGTTTAAAATGACAACATAAATGGTAGGTACCAATAAGTATTACACTTATTATACGGCCTACGTCGTAGGTCAACGCGCGTGTTTGGTTTTACTTGTAATTTTAGTAAACAAACTTTATGGAAATATCCGACCGAATATAAAAACGAGTAGGAAGGGTACATCCATCTAGAAGAGACCAGCATCATATTATGCTATTTTTATAAGCATTCGAAATTTACGTTTTCACGAAATCCTTCGTAAATGACATGTGATTTGTAGTTGAAAATCAGTAAAATTTTCAATTAAAATTTCGAAAATAAAATATATTTTTATTGACCGTGCACCTCCGCACTGGTAATCGTTTTATTTTTGTTTTCAATGCGATTTATTTTCAGTTCGATTTGTAATGAAATCAAATAATCGCCAAATAACACAATGATATTATATTTTATGACTCCCAGCTTAAATATTTAAGTTGTACAGGGAGTGTTAAGGTTAGGTTAACCTTATTTGTTATAATAATACAATTAAGCATTATAGTTTATCTCACGTAGCAAATATTATGGTGTTGGTGTATCGCATCGAGGAAATAAACTACTGTATTGTTTTTAGCTAGTTTAAAACTGACCTGTAATAAAAAAAATAATAAAATATACTAGTGCGTAAATCGCACCGCGTCTATGTAAAAAGTTTAACGCGCATTTAAAAAAAAAAAAAAATTAACGTTGAAAATGCACAAAACATGCATTTAAAGTCTCAACAAATACAATATAAAATTCACTTAAAACGGTTTTTAATTTCATTTTTATATATATGTTGTTGTTTCTGATATTACTGATAAATCACAAATAACTAATCTAAACAATATTGCATTATTTCATCGAATCCTTATCTTTACCTAACCCGTATACAGCTTGTGTAAAATATAAATTCGACGTAAATACAGCCTGTGTAAAAGAAAAATATGCGTGTAAAGATTTTAATCGACGGAATTTGATTAAAACTACCGGAAAATATTATTTAAAAAGTCCAAAAAATGACCTTAAAAATTAAAAACGTCAAAAAATGCAAAATGAAAGTTTCATAAATTAATTTGTTGTTACATAAATCAAATTCTGTATTTAGGAAGTTACGTTTTACAATCGGATAAAAAAAAAAAAAAAATGCACTTTCCTACAAAGTCACAGCTCTATAATTATAATATATTCGTATGCTTTAATTTTTCTAAAATGCATCGGCGCTGCGTGTATACGAATTATAATATTTTAAAACCGGGACGGTCGAATTGCACTTTTTACCTAAATCAAACGTCCGCACTGCGCTCCGGTAAAAAACGCACGCTATACAAATAAAATATAAATACTGTAATTTTAACGTTTGCCGCTATCGAGAGTATTAATCGGTTTATCCTGGACGGTATAGCACTAAAATAATAAAAACCAAACCATGGCCTCAACCATGACGTTGAGAATGGTCAGTGAAACTACCGAAATTGATGGTATAAATGATTTCAACAAATTATAGGAATACCTATTTTATGTAAATAGTGCGCGTTTGTATTATGTGTGTTTCGGTACAAATTATTTAATTTTAACTTGCCATCGCGACCACTCGGACTCCTAATTGACAAACCGTTACTTGAATCCAAGTCCGTAACTGGGGTTAGAGGGGTTTCTCCAATGGTGCACGTTTGAACGTAAACAATAACGAGTGAACGGCAGTAATTTTACCGACACTTAATCGTATGCAAGGGTACCGTTATGATATATCACTTGAAAGGTGATTAAATAAACTTGAAAAATAAATAAATGGCGTGTGTTTTTGTTAATCGGCGTTTTGAAAAAACGAGTTGATCGTAGGAGAAGAAAACAAATTGTGTTGAGGTTATACATTTTTACAAACAGAAACGGACAATAGACTTCGTATAAAAATAAAAAAAAAAAAACTGTTACTAAATGTTATTTAAAATCTAGTGCTACTCCCTCTCGCCTTAATTACTGCTACCATACGATGCGTTCTTGAGGAATGCTCGTCCGTTGCGCGACAACAGCATCTTGAAAATCGTTGAGGGTTGTTGGGGCAGGTTCGCGTGACCCGCACTCTTCGTTTTAATCCATCCCATCGGGTGCTCGATTGGGTTTAGGTCTGGACTTCTCGCTGGCCAGTAACAGGACAACAGGGATCCCGACCTCTTCCGTACAATTCCTTACAATTAATGCGGCTCGGGAACGAGCATTGTCGTGCATTAGTATAGGCCCATCGCCAACGAAATCCGCATATGGTACCACGCGATCCTCCAAGATCTCTGTGATGTATCGATGAGAAGTCAGCGATCATTGTCCCCGAGAACCACCGGTCCGGGAAACGCACACAAGCTCGGTCTTGCTATCGAATATGGAAATGCCGCCCCGGAACACGCAAGAGTCACCCCCCCCCCCCCNCCCCCCCCCATACTCTGCCGTCTCCTCGTCCGAAAAGAGCACAGTCTTGCGTTGGCCGAGAGTCCGATTGACGTGTTCACCGGCAAACTGTAACCGTGTTGTTCGCGGTGCTGTGCAGTCGGTTTCGGACCGGCAGCAGGTGTGCGGGCCACGATTTTCCGTTCTCCTGACCGTAGAGATGCGAGCTGCGTGCAGTTGCCGTCGCAGCTGTACGGCATTGGAAAATCGGTCGCGCGAAGACGCCGGGACAATGCAACGAGATCGTCTCTGTCCGTTGTGCAGCGCCGTCCGGGCCCGATCCACGCCCCCGGATAAAGCCACCGGTCGTCTCTTGATAACGTTGGCAAACTCGTCGAACGGCAAAACGGCTCGAGTGTGGTTGCCACGCAACATCACACCGACGCACCCCCGATTCCGTTAACGATTCCACCGCCATCTTGCGCGGCTTCGTTAGCGGTAGCGTGTCCGTTCAATGCGTTATTTTTTGAAACAATATTGTTCAAACGGTATTCACGCACGCCCCTTTCGGCGTTTAGGCAGCGAATGGCCCGCGTTTGACACTTCCAACCGATTTTTCCGTAGCCGGAGAATACGAGATTAGATACGAGTATATTTATACATTTTCCCAATGTGCCGCCGTATACTCGGAATATGATTATCGTTTATGAAATGAAACCGCTGTCGGATAAGAGGTCATCAGCTGTACTTTCGACTGATATCATTGTTGTTTCGCGTTCAATGTTTTGGTCCGGGGAAACGCCCGTTTGTGACTTAATTTTAGAGATGCGCGGTTTTTGGTGACGCCAAGTGTAGTTGTGTACATAACGTATTTACACAATCTGATTTATCCAACTTCGCTCGAGTCGCCTAATAATAGCGTACCGATATTTTCCGATTATTTATAAAAATTAATTGATCAATACAGCAGTTTCGAAAATTACCCGTCACCAAGACGGTTATTGTGCAACGTAAGCCCAGTTCCTCGTCTAAGTATCTTGGTTTTCGTAGATAAAACTATTATGGCCGTCTTAAAGTTATCCAGTGTGACCAGAATCTGTCATTTGATTTTTACAGGAGCGGCGTTTTGACAAGTACCTGTTCATTTTATCCAGAATATAGTTTGTCAAAATGTACGCTAAAAGTTTAAAACAGCCCTTGTGGCCACATTGGACAACTTTGGGACGTTCATTTTAATTCTGTCTCGAAAAAAATAAAACTAAAATACGTGTGATCATTTTCGAACCCGGTTCACCATGTATTGTAACCGCATTGGTCACCGGTAATCTCCGAAACTGCTCTTGTTGGCGGTTATACTTCGCCCGTGACCAAAAAAATGCAATTTCACATAATATGTAAAATGATCTTCAGATCCGCCACCGATTAGAGATATAATAAGGACGTGATCGAGATGAAGCAATTACAGTTCACTCCCCACATAGCATTAGCATTGACGCATAGGTTACATATTTCGAGTTTTTTTTTTTTTGATACATATTTGTTTAACTCGTTCGCAATCCGTTTAAAATAATAATAATAATTGTTTCAACATTTGCAACTTGTGTGACATTATATAGAATTACATATTGGTATTGATTATTTAATGTAGTAGGTAGGACAGGTACCTCGGTATAACATATTTTGCAGCGCTATTACAATATACAGTTATGTAAATAAAACATTAATATTACAATATGAACAAAAAATAAAAACCGTGGCATAATAATTAATAATATGGCACGTTAATCATTTATTATAGTTCATTAATTTATTGATGTGTTACGTAGTAGATATGGAAAAATAAAAAAATAAACGGTTTTTTAACATTCAGTAATATTTTATTATAATTGTTATGATTAGGAAATTTCGCTGTTAGCGGTACAAATTTTTGTGTACGCGCGTGTGTACCTAATTGGTACTATTATTATAATACGTGCATTTTAAAATACACGTGATTCGGTACAGTACGTGGCGCGTTGTGCAGTTTTTTTTTTTTTTTTTTTCAGTTTCGAGTCACAAACGGTACCCATTGGTATACATTGGCAAAGTGTACGGATTCGAATAAATTACGCACTATTTTGGCCGATCATTTAATGTATTGAAATTAAAGTTAAAACTCGGGCTGGCGACATTGAGTTATTGATACCGGTATTTCGGTAAATATCGGTATGAAACGGCATACCGATATTTAGGTATTTTCGGTTGTTCATTACAATATTAAAGTTATCGCGTTAATTAACACTAAACATTATATTATATTAAAATTAAAATCAAGCGACGGACCTTACTTTGTCCGTTTGTAAATAAAAAAATTAAATTGAATTCATAAATTATAACGTAAACGCATACACAGCTACGATATCATAACAAATATCACTACAGTCCATAACTTTATATTATTTGAAAAATGAACAGATACAGGGACAATCAAACCTGATAATCGTATACACTTAAACGATAACGAATTAAAACTCGATAAAAATTATTTCTCAAACCGTAAATAAATCTATAAATAAATGTCGTAAATAAAGATTATCTATTCGGTTTATTTAGTAAATTGAATAACAGAAACAACCCTAAAATCAATTGGTTTACCGCTATACTTATTTGTTCTCAGTTTACCAGTATTTCAGTATTGAGAGTATAGTTTTTTTCAGTTTTTCTCACACTTCAGACTTTCTCCACAAATTAATGCATAATAGGGGAGAAGGGTAACACTTTTATTATGTATTGCGTTAGTGGTTTTTTTTGGGGGCTTCAACTTTTAATTAAGAACTTCTTTCCCCGTCAGTATTACGCTCGAATACCATACGTATTTTTACATAAAATACTGGGCTTTAAACAATCTTACTGACTGCACAAATTAAATAACGTCAATAAGACGTGTAAGGGGAAGATTCGACCATATATAGTGATGATGGAGCAGTGCTATTCACGAGTGTTTTTTTTAAATAACTATAATTGTTTAAACTATAAATTTTAATACTTCAAAAAACACCGATGAGATTGTTTTCAAAATTTGGTCGTTTAAATGTCGTATAATATTGATGTTTTATATCTAAAACCAATTGCCGTTTGTTTCACACGATCACATTTTTGCTATACTGCCCGAAGCTTTAAAACAAAAACAGATGCAGAGACGCAAATGTCTCCGTGTGACGTCTTAATAAAATAGTAAGTAATACGGTCCACGGTTCTTGACCTATTTTTTTTATAGGCGTTGTACAATTATGATAAATAAACGTACAATAATAAATATTATGTTTTTACTTATAAGTAGGCACAATTTATTATTGTACCGCATAGTGTATACTCATGTCCATGTGTTAATTTGGTTTTTAATAAATATATATGAAAAAATTGTTGTTTTTACACTTTTTCCTGCAGATATAAGATAAACCGTTTGTTTATTATAATTAGTTAGGTACTTATATACTTGTTATCTATTTTATTTAACTTAGTTGTACCGCTTATTAGTATTTGTTTATATCGATTTAATATCAAACTCGTTTTGTATTTTCATAATATATAGTTATTCGATAATACTTAAATACTTTTACCCAACGAAATAATTAAAAATGCCGTAAATTATGAATGATTAATGGTACAATCGTTTAGCAAAATATTTACTTACAATAAAATAACATAATTATAGGTATAATTGACTGAAATACGAAGTTCAATTGAGAAATACTTAATACATAATAATATGTACCTACTATATTTTACGATAAGATTATATATGTAGGTAATAGTTATTATTCAAATATGTGTTATGCACGTTGAGAATAATATATGAATAACAATAATAAGTTTAGAGTAAAAATGCGTGAAGCCGAGAATGGCGAGAGCCGCCTCCAGCATAAAGTGAAATGAGAACATATTATTATGGTATGAACCATATATAATATGGACTATCAATATTGAATTCAATTATTATACCGGTATGAAAAAACAAAACCAAACGATTTCGCACCTGCCAATTTCATAATGTTGAAATACAAATTTCAATTTAAGTATGATATTCCATGTTAGATCGAACTACAATGAACTAATGAGTGTACGGTTTATACTGTAACTATATATTATTATATAATACACTTGATATCGATGTGTATATTATATAGGAACAGATGTAATAAGTTAGGTCAAGTACAATGAGTGATTTTTAAATACTTATATTATTTTAATGTTTTTTTTTTTTTATTTTTTTAGGTGGCAAAATACCGGGCGTTCGATACCTACAGAGTTTTCTGTTGTTCCTATGTCTCTTTTCGGCTTACTTGTTGCGCGTTAGCATATCCGTCGCTATCGTGGCCATGACACCGGACAAAGATTCAGCGGATTTTATAACAGAAAAACACTATCATATTCCTGTTAGCATAAGATTAATACATACAGTTTTAGTATTATACTTATTAATCTTAATATAAGACGAATGTAACTTATCGTAGTTGCAAACGTTATTTTTTTTTTTTTTATTGAATTTCACGTTTACTTTTTGATAGTATAAGACTCGGACACTTAGTAAAGTTGCGTTTCATATTTATAGGCCTTATCTTTAGACTGTCTTCAATATTCGATTGCACAATATTTCCTAAACCGATGCACTAGTCTAAGGAATAACAACTGTTGCCGGTGATAATTCATAATTCACCGAAAAATGTCTTCAATAAAAAAAGTCGACATTTGTGACGATGAAATATTTTCTAACCTATATTTAAATTCGTTGTTCTTCAATAGTTTTCCATATTCCTTAAAATACCATACTCTTTCTTCACTACTTTTATACTTCGCAGTCTTTGTAAATTATTTCCGTACACTTTATAAATAGTTTAATGAATTTTTTAATAAAATACAGTGTTTTAAATGGAATATTGTTTTCAGCTTTTTCTCCGTTTTCCTTCAATATTATCGTTGATATCCACTATGCACTGTTTTTCGTTAGATGTGCCGAAACCCAACATTTTTTAAAATAGGAATTGTCGATGGTTTTCCCTACAACTCTGCATTTCAAATGCGTTTGAATCTTTTTTCCTTTCTCAGTTTTGTTTCAACTCTCGTGCACAAACCTTTTTATAAGTGTTTTCGGTCAGATATACAGTTTTTTTGACGTAAACTTATTTTAATTTATAAATAAATCCCTTATCTTAGGTATATTATAATATGTTCGACTAATGCTTTCTTCTGTTGTATAAGATATTCAGTTGGACGCAACACACGAAGAGTCTGATCTTGAGCGCGTTTTTCTGGGGCTACTTTTTAATGAACCTACCGGCCGCCATGATCGGCCGTCGGTACAACAATCAAATGCTGTTGGCGATGAGCATGATCCTGACCGTTTTGCTCGCGTTGATTACGCCGACGTTAGTAGTGACATTCGATTGGCCCGTACTCGTACTCATTCGGTTCCTGCAAGGCCTTACTCAGGTAATAATTTAAAACGAATGATGATGCCAATGACATGACTTCGTACGTCATTTTAATTTTAAAAAAAGTTAGGCAAGTACGCAAACAAGTATACACGGTACATTACAGAAATAGAAAAGACTTCTAGAACTACAAGATATTTCCAACTTAAAAACTATTATAATTCTGTGTCAATTTGGTAAATACTTTGCTTTAGTGAACTACGATTTTTAAGATTAAAAGTACACGATACATCAATTTTATCATAATTTTATTAATCGTTATTCATTATAAATAACGTATATTTAGATGTTAATTAAATATAATTTATACTGGTTAATTTTTGCATATCCGTTAACAAAAAATAATCTTTCAAATATATTGTACGACGCACAACCGTTTAGGATTTTTCATTACTTTAATTATACCTATCAAGCGAGTATCTTGTATCTTTTAGCACAAAAAGTTCTTTGATACCGTAACAAAAAGTATCTTAATACAAGATGCAAGATAAATTACGTATACTAATGAATATACAAAATACAATTTTATCTTTGATACAGCCCGACCCAAAAAACGCTGTAACCAATAATTAGTGAAAATGAACTAAAACCCCGGGCGTTAATTTCGCTGATGTTTTACATTGGTGAAAAATCTCCCGCGTAATATCTTGTTTTCGTTTGATGTACGTACTTATAACAATTATATGTATGTTAATCCACGTGTTGTTTGTATAAGAAGATTTGTTTATTATTTTATTATTTTATAGGCATTTACCATGCCAATGATACATGGCATCAGCGCCAAGTGGGCGCCGCCCAACGAACGCGGTCGCCTCGTCGGATTTGTATTAGGAGGTAATATTATTATATGATAATTCGATATTAATATTGCGCATGGCGTGAAATGTAGTATATTGAAAATTCTATCCGAAAAATGTCGATTAATTACTCTACAGATTTAAAAATTATCGCGAAAAGTCCCGTCGAAAATAAAAACTATTTAATATAAATGTCTACGGTATACACATAATATATAGGTAATTTTTACACGGTATATGATAGACACAACTTAAATATTATTCAAATTTATATTTTGTTTTATTAATTTTTATAATCTATATTCGTGAATCGAGGTCGTATCCAGAAATAATTTACGGGGGGTGGGGGTGGTCAAAAATTTGTTTAATGTAATTTAACTTAGGTTTTAAAATTTGGTTAAAAGTAAGACCAAAAAAGTTTTAATCTTCTTTTAATAAAATATATGGTTAAATAAACAAAATTACTTGCACATCTTGTCACCTTACACTTATACAAAACATAAAATTTTTTATTTTATTTTTTAATAGTTCAGTTCGTTTAGCCGATATTTTAATAAAGTTTCCCACAGATTTTATTATTCTAATACAATTAGGAATATGGTGAATATTTGACGAATGTGCAAGTGCTAAGTTTAATGAATATGCTCTACAGTGGATATTAAGTGCAGCGGGATGTACTTACTCCAATAACAGACTGTACTTCTTTTAAATTACCATTCATTGCTTTATCATAAGCTTGGTCAAATAATTAGTCACAAGTTATACAAAGATTTTTTAAAGTTCCTAGAATGACTGGCCAAACTTTGACCATCAATAGAGCTAACCGGTACAAATTGTAAGAAGTCTTTTTTCAATTCATAATTATTTATTTCATTTTTTTCCATATTCATTATCATCTAAATAACGTACACACAAAAACAGTTGCTCAAAACGCGATACGTCAGTTGTGTTGTCGACTAATACAATAAAACATTTTGCCTTATTAATTTTGTTAACAAACTGGACTTGTATAATTTTTTCACATATATTTTTACCTTTATTTTTAATTTAAGGACTTATGTATGTAGAATTTTATGCTTGATTCACAATGTGTTATGTTAGATTCATATTTTCACACGAAACGCGCATTCTTAATAATGCTCGGAAATTACCATTGTTATAAATAGAATTAGAGTTGTCTAAAGAAAGATGTATATAATCGTTAGTATTGCGAAAATCTATTTTTTGACGCACACAAAGAATAATAGTTTGAATAGCAGGAAGTAATATTTTATTAATTCGTTCAATTTTAATAGCACTCGCGGAAACTAACTTTCGAATTATATTTAGACAGTTTTTGGAATATACAGCAATATAATTATCTGTGCGCATAGCATTAGATTTGTGAAATTCAGTTTGATTGTGTTCATTAAATCTTTCAATCACTTTTTTCCAGTTATTAAAAGGTTTTAAAATTAATTTAATAAGTTTCTGGTGACTGCCTTTGCCACGAAATTCGCGACCAAATATCGCATAATATTTACAAACTGCACCATACTCACCAATTCTTGAAAAAAAACCCAAGGAAAATGTTTAATCCATCCGAATTGAATCTTTAATTTTGTATTTAAATATGTTAAATTTATAATTTTCATCTAGTGATAAATGATGAATCAATAATTTAAATTTTATTTCATCAGATACATTTTTAGCCAAACAGTAGCCAATATCGTTGTCTTCAACTATTTGTTGTGCGCCCGACTTTAATATATCATTTTCATTTGTTTGCAAATTTGTTTGGTGAATGACTACATGATGATGATTGCGAGTCTATTTGTGGTAGGAGGATAGAAACATTATCGGTCTAAAATTAAGCATTATATGAATATGAATTAACGTTTCGGATGATAAATTATTAATATATAAAACAATATGTACGTACCTTTGAAAGTTTAGAAAGATAATTGAATAGTACATTTTTGTTCTCTTACTTACTCATTATGATAAATTTTAATTTTAATACGTTTCGACGTATTTGTTACAGTACGACTGACAACGGTATATTAATTATAATTAAAGTAATATTTTTAATAAACACAAAATTAATATTGATGTTGTTTAGTCACCGACCACTGTACGCGAACTGGCGTCTATCGACAATGATCTATTATCGGACGCAGTAATAATATTTTCATATGATGTTATGATTCATATTAGTCAGCAGTTAATTCAATTGGAGTTTAAGTCATTTATAACTGAAAATATTTATGTTGGTATTAAAAATATATAGTTATTTTAAACATTTGTAAAATACTGAAGAAATTTCGAGGAGAGGAGGGGTCCGGACTCCTTGGACCCCCTCACAGATACGGCCTTTTCGTTAATCCACAATCAAGTCCTCGATCATACATTACCTTCATACTATGATAATCGCATACATTGTACGGTTTATCGATGCATTAATAGTTAATATCCTTAAATAGTATTACATAAACCTTAACTGTGTAAATAGTATATCGGAAAGGTTTAATCCGAATAAATATCTCGCCATATACGCATTTGTTTTTAGTCCATGTAATCATCTTTATCTGGGTGAATAATATTACACTAAACATCATGTATGTGTTCCTAAGTACCCTTTGCCTAATGACCCAGAGTCACAAGCTGTACAAAAGTACTCCAAAATAGGTATTTTACGCGACGTGACGTTTGTTTTATTAAAACTTGTGAGTTGCAGATTAATTGAACATACAGTTTTTATGTTATTTATATACGATACTGATGTAGGTACTTTTTTACCTCAGTATAGGTATGTTAATAATAACGTAATACCTACACTTGAAGTTTCCCGTGGCAACCGAAATAAGTGTTGAACTTCGGAATTCTGTATTCGTTTTCTATTTACCTACAGGTACCTCCGAAGCAGTATAAATAAGTTCAACAATATTCCTATGTAGTTTATTGTAATAGGAAATTAAAATTAGTACTAAGATGCAAGTGGTTTCACTATTTTCGGTAGATGAGATANGATCACACAACGCGAGAAAAACTACATCAAATCGTCGTTGAGTCAAACTGTTTCGGACAAAAAGGTATATTATATAAATAGGCTAAAGTCAACACTCGACGATAATTTCCGATAAATAAGTTCAACAATATTCCTATATAGTTTATTGTAATAGGAAATTAAAATTAGTACTAAGATGCAAGTGGTTTCACTATTTTCGGAAGATGAGATATTTAAATTATACCCTTTTGTCCATATTTTTTTTTATTCAAAAAATTCGAGAAATATTCGAAAATTATTACGTATAACGGTATTATTATCATCGGTTTAAAATTGTGTTATCGTACGAGTGATAATAGCAAACTATATTAATATTTTAATACTATGCAAATATATTTTACAATGTATTTAATTTGCGTATACCAGATACTTGTATTCATTAATTTATACATACCTACATAATATATTATTAGACAGGAACTGATATTTAATATAAGATATATAAAATCGTGTTTACAGTATCATATTTTTTTATGATATCAAAGATAATGTGATATAATTAATTATTATTTTATGGTTTTTGTAAAATTAATGTTATTACGAAAATTATTAATTTATTTAGTGATTTTTGAGTTATTTGTCTGTATTTTTTTTCGTAGGTCTTCAATTTGGTACAGTCGTCACGTTGGTCGGGTCGGGAATACTGGCCAGTACTCGTTCGGGATGGCCGTCGATTTATTACGTTAGTGGGGCGTTCGGAATTGTGTGGGTAGTGTTGTGGTTGTTACTTGGGTCGGAAAGTCCGGACACTCATCCGTTGATCACACAACGCGAGAAAAACTACATCAAATCGTCGTTGAGTCAAACTGTTTCGGACAAAAAGGTATATTATATAAATAGGTTAAAGTCAACACTCGACGATAATTTCCAAAACTCGTGTTTTTCAGAAAATTAAATAAAAATATCCCGTACAATACGTATAAATTACAAATGTGTTTGTTATGTGTAATTTAGACTAAGAAATTTAAAAGTACCATCAAAAATTAAGATTTTAGTTATCTAAATTTTTTTTGAAGGTGAAGTTTGGAACATGTGTCTTTTGACTTTAAGTTTAGGGATTATGAATACAACATTGTAAACAGGTTACGAAATACAGTAGAAATTCGATTAACCGTCAGTCGCGGGACCGGTACTATGGTAGTTAATTGAATAAACTGCAATAAATTGCAATAAACGTTTATATTTTACAATATGTGTATTTGCAGACAAAACTAATGAAATGATAATAAATAATAGTAACAAAAATAATACCATACTAAAAAATACTGAACAAAATAATCCGCCATCTTCTCTCCTTTTTTTTTTTTTTTTTAAGGTATAAGTTTTTTGAGCGACAATGTTTCATATTTTACGAAAAAGTAAGACGGTGACCGATGACGGATAACAGAGAGTGACGGTTAATTGAGTTTCTACTGTATGTGAAATATCTGGCAAAGTAGCAACTTGAATCGCAAATAAAAACAATCTATTCTAATGTGAAATAATAAAAATATCATTTCAGACCAATTTCCTTTCAGAAAAAGTGCTACACTTTAAAATCTGAGCAAAATTTCTAGTAGATAAGTTGTTTACAGAAAAAAAAAAACATCATTGTAAAACCAATAAATTTCGTCATTCCACTCTGAATCAAAAATATAACGTTGAATACAAACCGAAATCAATGGTTTATTGACCATGGTCGGGGATTGAAAACGGCATTTAATTAAACATTTTTTTTTTTTCATTTATGATTCAGTTGAAATATTATTATAGTATACTACTTGTTTACCTATATGATGTAATATAATTACTATTAATTAATATTATTTTTCATATAATCGTGATTTGTTTAAAATGTCCAAATACGGTTTTCAGCCCTATTTAAATTAAATAGACACATTGCTCTATTTAATAGTTGGGTACGTAACAAAATTAATAGTTTATTTTTCATTTGATCTTTCTTGTAGAACTTGATTACACCGTGGAAGAAAATATTCACTTCGATGCCGGTGTGGGCGATTACAATATCGCATGCTGGTCACAACTGTGGATTTTGGCTACTGCTCAGTGAAATGCCGACGTTCATTAATTCTGTGCTAAAGTTTGACATTAAATCGGTAAACAACACAAGTGGATGCAATAATTTTTTTTGTTTTTTTTTTTTTGTGAGGGGAGAATACACGGTCGAAATCAGTAATATAGGTACGATAGGATTTAAAGCTGCAGTGGATATATTATTATAAAATACCCGTAAGAAGATAATTTAATGGAAAATACAAATTACAAACTAATCCAATTACGATAGTGACTCGGATATTGAGTTGGGTTAGTATAGGTGAAGTAAAAAAATGTACAGGATAAATTACGAAATCATAATATCCGTGTTGATTTACGAATAAACTAATTTCAAAGGGGTTTAGAGTATTTATACAAATATATACTGCAGATACCGAATAGCCAAGTTATCATAGCACTTCAAACGTATTCGATGAAAACTCAAAAATAATAATTTAATGTAAATAGTTGTAAACGTTGACAAACAATAATGTTTCAGGACGGGATTGTGTCGGCGTTACCGTACTTGGCCATGTGGTTATGCCAGTTTCCTGTTACATATTTTGCCGATTATATGAACAAGAAAAATGTGACTTCGCTTACTTTTTCACGGAAATTTTGGAACACCTTGGGTAATATTATAACGTAGTATGCAAGAGCAAAATGACTAAGTCACGTGACATTTTCCATTAGTTAGGTAATCAAATCGATACAAATATACTAACGTTATCATAGACTTAATCGAGTTCATGTAATCAAATCGGTCGCTTATATATTATACATTTATAAATATTGAAAACTGTCTTAGGTAGGTGTCTAGGTCATTCTGGACTATATGAGTATTGTATATACATATTTCTACATATTTTTTGTATTTACTAATATACATTATTTATAACTTAATCATATTAGCAGCAATTACTGTGGCGAATTAAATTTAATCCAATTAAAAAAACCTGGACTTTACAGTTCGCACCGTGGGTAGGCCACTGTTGTACAGATAGGTATAGTTCGGACGGTAGTATACATTGGGTAATTTAGTTTAAATACTACATTGCTGTGTACACCGATAAATCATTTTATAAATTAATGAATCATTACGAACGGAAAATGATATTGAATGTTGCAGTGTACTAGAAGCGCTGTTTTCCCTTATTGCCTAGGTAACACTGAAATTTAAAAAAAGAACCTATGAGTGAACTGTTACAAATATTAATAAATCGTATCAAATAAGACAACTATCGGCCGGAAATCACGTATCTTTAAGGGAAGGTACTGTTTTAAAAAAAAATCTGAATTCTTTTACTATCTGCAAAAATGTTTTCCAAGAAAAAAAACCACATCTTTGTAAAAATAAAAACTACTTCGTAATACTTGGATTATAAAATATTACAGTCGCTTATAATTTATACTTTATTTGGCATACAAACGCCGTACGTACTATGTGGGCAATAATTTTCTATTTAGATTTTCAATTTTATAAATTATTTGTAAATACGATTCAAACGTTTAAAATATAACTGCTACAGACCACGTCTATAACCGTATCTATCTATCTATCTATATTGAATTTTACCAGATACGTTTTAGATCTGCGAGAAGATTTAGATAGGTCGTCTAAATCCGATATTTGTCTACCGCCGAACTTTTATTACACTCCGGCAGATTCGTGCCACATACATAATAATGTTGCTGGCGAATCCGGCTGTTGAACGTGTTTAGGACAGTGACAATTTCTGTGTGTATGCTGCAGGAATGAGCGGCGGAGCATTGGGTCTCGTGGTGCTCGGGTACATGGGCGAAAACGCAAAAGCGGCGATATGTCTGTACGTGTTCGTGGTGGCGATCGGCTGTTGTACGAATGTCGGTTTCAACATCAACCATTTGGATTTGGCGCCGAATTACGCGGGGATTTTAATGGGTTTCACGAACGCCGTGGCCTCCGTGGGCGGAGTATTGGCTCCGACCGTCTGCGGGTTCATCGTGCACCATCAGGTTAGAAAACCGCGTTTTCCGTTCGGACTGGTGGTTTTTTGTTTTTTTTTTTTATTATTATCGCATATTTACAGCATTTATATATATTTATGTATGTGTCGACAGACATCGGCGGATGAATGGAGAATCGTGTTCACGTTAGGAGCAGTGATATTGTTCTTCTCCAGTATATTTTACATTATTTTCGGATCCGCCGAAGTACAACCGTGGAACGATCCCGAAAACGAAAACGGTAAACCGACGGTTTTCTATCGTCAGCCAATGCGGTCACGCAATAATATGCATGCTTTGGCGATACATTTTGTTGCACATTGTTTGCTACTGTGTTATTATATCGCGAAAATGTTTTGTTTACTGTACAAGTGTTACCAGTGGATAGTCAATAACCGAAAACAATAAAAGTAGTATTTAATTGTAGTTAACAATGTCGCCAAAACTGTTTGCTCGCGAGAGACCTATTTAGATTTCAGAAATGATAAAGGCATTTTAATATCAAAGCGGCCTGTTACCAACTTCGAAAAAATAAAAAATCCACCACATCCAAACCAAAGCTCGCTGTTAGTTTCCTTAGCCAATTTGTAATGCCTAAAACATTTAGTTATTAAAAAAACACGCCGGGTGGAAATAAAAGAAGGAAGATTGAAAAAAATAACCCCGAAAAATTACATTTTTAACTTTTTAAATGTAGTTAAAAATTCCAAAAATCAGAGTCTAAATAAATGCAAAATTTAACCAAATAATGGGGTAAGCACGCTTAGTGAATCATCCTGTTTATTTTTATAGCAATATTCGTGTTCGCTAAACCGTGTTGCTCAAAACTGCATCGCCAAAACACGCCTTTAATAATTAAGACATTAATGGGTCAAAAGTTAAAATTATTTTAAACGAATTATTGTTTTGCGTGATTAACTTTTAATTTTAAAATTAATTCATTTTTAATATTTCTTAATTTCGTCTGCTTAACTTGACGAGCTAAAAAAATGGTCAACTACACCCAGCCTTACTAATAATTATTATCGTTTATTTTTAGTTGGCGTCCGGAGTTTTATGCAGATGAAGAAGGATTACGGTTCGTCAGTTGGCCATCACGGTTTACCGGCATTCAATAAATCGACGTAAATTTAAAACCGTTGACGACGCGACGGAAATCGTATTACTTTTACCTATACAGTTTGTTAAATTTACATAAACGTCTATTAAACATCTACGCATTTGTGAACGGCACTATGTAACCGTAAACACGTCAAATATAAGTTTTAATTTTGAAAAACCATCATATAACTCTTGATTTCAAACGGCCATTGATATTATTTTTTGTACGTTTTTATTATTTGTTTTTGTTATTTGATTTATATTATAATACGTGTACCTTAATTATTTTCGGTAGCGAAAATCGTCCAATCTGGAAAATTATTGTACACCTATTAGATAATGCGGCCTTGTATCTGTAAATTGTATATGCAATTTGTATTTTATTTTCCTATGAGTAAATCAATATATAATACATTTATTTTTGTTACTAAATGACGTTATATCGTTGACATTTTTATTGGTATTTTAGTTAAAATTAAAAAAACACAAAAAGTCAATAATTTGAGCTAGTAGTATACCCAAATTTACTGTCTTTGTCCAACTTAGGGGTTCAGTGGGGAAGTATTGTGAAAACACATCACCCACTGCGGGTTCAAACACTGAAAAAAAAAGTCCATCATAAGGACAATGTATCAAAATTCTATAATTCAGAATTGAAATTGTAGCCTTTTGGTTGAAATTTGAGTTTAACCATGCATAACAATATGTATAGATAATAATATTTTCTAGGGCATTACATTGATTCTTTTTCTAAAATATTGTCAAACAAAAAAATTATAGCCACATTCATTATTGCTTTTTTTGAATGGCATGGCTTTTTTTTTTGTTTGGTAATAAGTATTCTGGAAAGAAAAGAATTTGTAGTACTCTCAAAAATATTCTATTTAAATTTTGTTTGTTTTTAAACTCATATTTCAACTTAAACACTGACATTTTAATTATATATTATAATTCTCTTACTTAATGGACTGATTTATGAATCATTTATATTACCGCACCTTAATGTGTACACTGCACACTACGCGTTAACTGCCATTATGGTTGTGGGATAGTTTTTGAATTTATACAATAAAATTCAATATAACAATTGTATGCTTTTGGAAATATTTACACATATTTTTATTCTTGATAATAAAATAGATAATTTTAAAATTTCAAATCAACTATATTCAATAATAAATAAAAAATGGTTACACAAATTTGATTGTTTAAAATGTCATATGATTATTCAATACTGCAAGAGTTAAGATTGTTTAAGATTTATTTTCTGTAAGAATTATGATGTATTAATTGATCTAAAATTTAACCAAATACCATTTCTTGGTTGAACTAAACCTGGTTTTCTTCTTAGTTGAAGAGGAATTTCAGTTTTTTCACAAGGTAAAACTTCAAATTTTGTTAATATTTTCGATAGAACCAATTTTAATTCTAATTCGGCAAAACGTTTTCCTTTAGTATTATAAATACATTTAATTATTAATTTATGACTTTATTTTAGTTTAATAATTTAGCTATACATACCGATACAGTGACGAGGGCCTTCACCAAATGGAAGAAAAGTGCTATTCGGTCGTTTAGATTTTTCTTCCTTGGTAAATCGTTCCGGATCAAATGTTTTTGGATTAGGATAATATTTTGGATCATGATGTATACTAGACATGGGTATCACAATTTTTTGTCCCTTTTCAATTATAAATGAATCCATGCCAGGTACCTTGAAGGTCTGTGTGGCTTGTCTAATTATGTTCACGGTAATAGAATACATACGATGAGTTTCTGAAAATTAATTTTTACTTAAATTTAACAAAACTATGAAATTTGTATACCAAAATATTAACAGTGTACAGTCAAAAATATAAATTATATACAATTAATTACAACTCATAAAATAATTACTCAAAGTTATAATCATAAACCAACTATTTCCTTGAAAGATTTTAAGTAAATTTGATTTCTAATACTTCAATTTTTTAATAATTTTTTAAATTTTCATCCCAAATTCTTATATTTGTTATGAGAACCTATATACATTATTATAAAGTTATTAGAATTTAAAGTTTAGACTGGAAAAGTAGGGAAGTATAATCAATTTAACATCTTAAAATTGATATGAAATTTATTAACCCAACTCATTCCTCGAGTGTAAATATTGAACTCATAAACGGTAAATCCGATTTTAGTACGATTTTGATGTGTATCAAAATATGTAGACAATTTTTTTATTCTAATCTGTGTTTGAAATGGGGGGTTTCCTGTTAAAAAATCATAAGTATATACTAATTTAAGGTTTAAGGAGTAGGGGCAAAAAATAAAATAAAACTTAAAAGATTTCGTAAAGGTTGAAAAAACAGAAATCAAATCGCTTAAAACCCTCGGAGAAAATTATTAGTTCATAGATCACCATAAATAATCTTAAATAATACCCTCTAAAACCATATCAGCGTAATGAAGATCCATCAAAAATTCATTGGTAAATTGTCCGCCATATTTTTCATTTTTCGAATTTATTTCGTCGCGTAATTTATTTTGTATATCTCTGTTCAAAGCTAACTCGTAAAGGCAAAACGCCGCTGTGACGGAAACGGTTTCAGCGCCGGCAGTAAACAATAAAATCGCATTGGATATTATGTCCAAGTCAGTAAATTTCTCTGCAAATGTTAATGTCATAACAATCCATTTAATATACTATACTACAATAGAGTTATACAAATAATTTTAAATCTTGTCCCTTACCGTCACCGGTAGCATTGTCGCCGTTCAATACCAATTCTTTTCTCGCTTCCATTAGGGTTTGCGCCAGATCATTTCTCACCACACTGTTTTTAGTTCTATAATCTATGACGTCGGTAAACACCGAATAGAAAAAATTAGACGCCTCCAGCGGAAATGAACGGAGTTTAAAGAACTTGACCACTTTCGGGAAGACCATTCCTAACATCATTATGCAAGTTTGTTTAAAATTATTGCCGAATATTTCATTTAAATACTTTCGAAAATTCGAATCACTGTCGGTGATTGTGTCCAATTTCAAACCGAAAGCACATGTGCCAATAACGTCTGTGGTGAATTTCCCGAAAATTTCTTTTACGTCGAACCCATCGGATTGTTTCGACAATTTTTCGTCAACAAATTGTATTAACTGATCACTACATTCTTTTATTTGATCGTTCGTACATTTGAGTTTACCTGACGTGAATCCCGGGCTCAACTTTTGTCTCATGACCTTCCATTTTTGACCGTTCGCAAAGAATAGACTTCTAGCCAGTAAATTTATGGACGGATCGAATTCCAATCCATGATCGGTAAAATGCGAGAAGTCTTTGATCGTAATTGCGTCAATTAGTTCCGGATCTCTGATCATCAGAAACGGCGTTCTCATTTGATAAAAACCGCAGATTTTCGAATTGGGAAATCGTCTGTAAATTCTACCGAACGCGGTTATTTGGTCTTCCAATCCCATAATCATTTTGAATACATTGCCGAACAAAGGCACTGGATGAATATGTTGCACGTTCAACTTTCGCCATTTATCGTACGTCGATGTTGATAAATAATAAATAATCGTAATGACAGTAAATAAACTTAAAACAACCGAGTCAAACAACCAGTCGATTAAAATATACGGAATCATATTGACGAAACGACTTATAATCTAATGGCAACACTTTTGTACACTAAAAATAGTGAATATTAAAATAGTGTTGCATGTTTTTTGTTTTTTTCATTGGCTTGATAATATTTGTACAGAAATAAATTTGTAGAAGGGATAAATTGGTACCTATAGTAATATGGCATCACGCAAACTGCCAAGGTTATATCTGTTGATACACTACTCATTGAACCATAATTATTCTGTGACGTAATTTTACAAACCAGTTATTTTGTAAACATGTTAAAATTTACATCCAAATAAGAGGATTTGAATTTGGAATTAGTAATTTTCTATCTTTGTCTAACACACATACAACATAGGAATTTAGACGGGTTCTATTCAAACATATTGATCTAGAGAAGCGAAAAGAATTCTAAAAACAGGTTTGAATTTGTCATTATGTCTACTTGTTATTTACTCTCCCAATTTTTTTATTTTGGTTTCTGGAGAAATTAAAATATTTCATTTTGTTAACTACTTTTTTTTATTGTGGCTTTTTTGGGATTAAGAGGATACCACTGTAATTATTTTTGTACATAATATTATACTGTAGAAAAATCGATTTTATTTTAGGAAAATTAGTCCGTTTAACGTTAATTAACTTATTATGAAAAAATAAATATAACAACGTTATTTTGGGAATGACCTATCCATTTAGCTTTATATTAAGTATTTACAAAGATAAGATTATTTTAAACCGTCGAAAATTGCATTTTTTAGCCTTAAATACTTGTCGTTGTAATTGTTTAATCGAAAAAGATAGTTTTATCTAGTTAATATAGTTTAATAGGTCAATTATTTTATCATAATATGGCCTATATATATTTGATAAAGCAACACTATCAACTCAAATTGGCTCAAAATCATTTTTTCGTTAGTAATGGTTTATCGTTGATTACAGATATAAATTAAATTCCCCCTACTACCTTCCGAACTTCTCACCTACAACTGTCCCGTTTTTAAATCCTTTTGGTTTTTGTTTTGAACATATTTTGTACATTGCTGTTTTAAGTACGATGGTGAAGTCAGATTTGAGCGGACTGACTTAGTTTCGAAATTATAGCTTTTTGAAATTCTGATATTATATGTTTTATGTATATGTTAAATTACTCAATAATGACAATTATTATTTACATTATGTCTGTCATATTTTAGTGGTGGTACGTAGTACTTACCTTTGTCATACAGGAGATCGCAAGTTTAAACCCGACTTCCGAAAATTATTTTTTGTATTTATTTTTATAGCTTTACTTATTTTTTAATAGTTGTATTATATTTGCTGCTGTTAATCTAAAAAGTAAATACATAAAATGTATTATATATATTGTACATATACAATAATATATAATACATTTTATTTGGTATAATTTTACTGTTTGTAGTAGAAATAATGTATTGTACTGCAAATTACTAAATCAATAGGAATTATATAATGCTATATTTATTGATTACATTATACAATTTAAGACAAATTGCTATGTTTTACATGTTTGCCAAATATTTAACACTTGTATATACTTGCTAAGTCATGGAAACTGTTAACTTATACAAATATTATTTATTTTAATTTTTCCGATTTCCAAAGACTGTCGGTAAATGTAACACATGTTAAATAAACTACAAGTATACTTAGAAAACCAAGGAATACTGCAGCGATGAATAGTGAATAACAATAATAATAAGAATTATGCAACAATTGGCTTAAAATTTAACCAAATACCATTTTTCGCTTGAACCAAAACTGGTGATGTTTTATTAAATTTAAGAGGAATTTCCGTCTTTGGACAAGGAAAAATTTCAAATTTTGTCAATACTATTGATAGAACCAGTTTTAGTTCCCATTCAGCAAACCGTTTTCCTGAAAATATATAAAAATATACATTTATTATTTGATTTTATTTTAAACAAAATATAGGTGTACATACCGATACAGTGACGAGGTCCTTCACCAAACGGGAAGAAAGTACCATTAGGTCGTTTAGAAATTTCTTCCTTCGTAAATCGTTCCGGATCAAACGTTTTTGGATTAGGATAATATTTTGGATCATGATGTATACTAGACATGGGTATTACAATTTTTTGTCCCTTTTCAATTATAAATGAATCCATGCCAGGTACCTTGTAGGTCTGTGTAGTTTCTCTAATTACATTCACAACAACGGAATATTTACGATGAGTTTCTGAAAAATTTATTTAAATTGAGTTTTAATGAAAGTAAATCAAATACTTTGTATATACGTATATCTATTGTACTATTACACGATTCTAATTTTATTTGACGCTATTAGCAAATAAAATGGAATTATTTAATCAATACATCCCTCAAATGCACTCTAATATTTAAAATTAAAATTGTATTAGATAATGTCGGTATATAATCATTACCATTTAAAACCATATCAGTATAAGGGAGATTCATACAAAGTTCATTGGTAAACTGTCCGCCAAATTTTTCATTTGTTGAAGTTATCTCTTCCCGTATTTTGTTTTGTATATCCCTGTTCAGGGCCAACTCGTAAAAACAAAACGCTAATGTGGCAGCAACAGGTTCTGAACCACCAGTTAAAATGAAAATTGCATTGCTAATTATGTCCGAATCAGTAAATTTCTCTTGAAAAAAAAAATAACAAATTGATTATTTTTTGTTTAGATTTACTTTCGGTTTTCGAGAGGTTATACGAAGGATTATCTACTGAAATACACATTTAAGGATAAATTTAAAATGTTTAACATTACATGAAGAGCAATTGCGATATGACTTATACAGTTATATAGTAAATTATTATTATGTCGAACGTCGCTATTTCGAATTTTTCGTTATCTGAAACTATATTGAAAATTTAAATCCCCTTGTTGCTATATTATTACAGTAAGAATACAAAATTATGTAAAAATTCAGGAAGAGTGAAAGTAAACTATAAAAAATGGAGGAAGTCCTTGCAGTTACAATTCAATAAGCTAAACACGCTTAAAAACATTAAGAAATTTAACAACACAAATATGGAAGACGGCGCTTTTTCTGCAATTTTCCAATTTGAAAGGCATCGTTGAAGATACAAGTAATAAAAAACAAAATCTCATGACAGATTTTCTTAATAAAAATTAATTTTTTAAATTTAAATTGTATTGTTCATTGATAATATGTATGTAGCATTTTGAGCACTCACATAATTTCCGAATTTTTTAAATTTGTTTACAAATTGTAAGAAAACCTGACGTTTTCAATTTTTTGATGTCTTAAACTTATTCATGTTCCCCTTGAGATTCGGCATTTACTGTACTTTTTAAACATTTCCTATAGATTTGAATAGTTATTCAACTAATCGAGCTATTTCCACAAAATTGCATTTTTTTAACTCAACATGTATTAAGTTACATCCATTTCACTTTTGAAAAAATGTAATGTTTTCATTTATTCTCATTTATTCATATATATATATTGAATGATAATTTTCAGTGTATTTTTTACGAAATATTAGCAAATCGCTATAAAATTGAAGTATTTACAGTTGCAAAAATGCAGTTTTTGGTGGTTTACATTTTATAATGTATAGTATCTTAAAAAATTATCTAAATCTATAACAAATTGGCTAAGCACAAATAAGTAGAACTTTCCAAAACTACTAAAAAATAATAATAAGTTTTAAACTTTAAAATATAACCGTAACAGTAAATAATTATGAGTTAAGAAAAATAGATTTTTATGACTTGCTTGAATAAAATGAATTCAATCATTATTATTGTATTGTACACAGTAAAACAATTAATTGTTTGAAATTTGTATACTAACCAATACCGGTAGAGTCCAATACCAGTTCTCTTTTTGCTTTTATAAGCTCTTGTGCTATGTCATTTCTCACCACGTCGTTTGTAGTTCTGTGTTCGATAAGTTCGTTGAACACCGAATGAAAATAATTAGTAGCCTCCAACGGAATTACATGAAGTTTAAAGTACTTGACCACGTTCGGGAAGATCGTTCCCAACAGCAATATGCAAAACGATTTAGTATTAAGCCCGAATATTTTCTTAATGTTTTTTCGAAATTCTGAATCGTTATTGATGGTATCTAATTCTAAACCAAATGCACAAGTTCCAATGACATCGGTAGAAAAATTACCAGTGATTTTAGACACTTCAATTCCGGTCGTATTGTTTATATTATCTTCAATAAATTTTACTAACCGGTCGCTGCATGCTTTGATATTATGTAGCATACCTTTGAGTTTAACCGACGTGAATCCCGGGTTCAGTTTTTGTTTCATGATTTTCCATTTTTGTCCGTTCGCAAAGAACAGACTTCTGGCTAATAAATTTATTGACGGATCAAATTGCAAACCCCGGTTGATAAAATAATTAAAGTCCTTGATCATTATCGCTTGAATTATTTCTGGATCCCTTATCATCAGAAACGGCGTTCTCATTTCATAAAAACCGCAGATTTTTGCATCGGGATGTTGTCTGTAAATTCTACCGTATGTGTCAGTTTTGCTTTCCAAGCCTGCTACCATTTTTAATACATTGCCGAATAAAGGCACTGGAGGTGTGTGGGGGACATTCAACTTCTTCAACTGTTTGTACGTCGATGTTGCGAAATAGTAAATTAACGTGATAACGGCAATCGAACTTAAAACGATAGAATCCAACAGCCAGTTGAACAAAATACACGGGATCATATTGGCGCAACGACTTGTGATAAAATAAAAATAATTTAACAAATTTAAAACAATTAAATAATCAGCGGAAAAATTGTTAACTAATATTGGCCATTGCGTTCGTAAACGAAATACCTAAATGGGGGTGGGGGACACATTTAACCCTTAACATCTCTCTGGGCACGCGCCACCGGACGGCACGTACGAATATAACGTGCCGCGCAGGTACATCACGGGCAGCAACCGGACGCCGGTTTGGCGGGACCGCTTTGGGCGTACCCGACCGGGACAGAGGCCGGGCGCCGTTCGTTGCCGAGCCACGGACGATTACGGGTAAAAATTAAGCAGGAAAAATATCTGGCGACGCACGCATCGAAAGATACGGAAATATAATCGCAGAGGACGGTCGCGCAAACGCGCAATATTGTGTGACGAAAAAAAATTAAACAAAAACCACCGGACGAGTAGGTACCTAGATTGTCGGGAAATCCAGACGCGTGCGTAGTACTTACTTAGCTCGGTGTGCCAGCGGCCAAACGACAAAATTACCGTCGGTACGCCGTCCGTACGCGTTGTGCCTCAGGAATGAATGGGTACGGCGGAAAACCGTACCGAGGAAACAACACTGCCGGTAGTCGAGCGTTTCGCGGTCCCGAGCGAAACTAACGGAGTTCGCCGGGAAAGACCAGGAGGAGAGCGTGGACGCCCGCCGGTACCACCACCGCCGCCGCAGATGACTACGCGCGGGCGCGGATCTGGGGAGGAAACTAGTTCGGCCGCGACCGACACTTTGCCGCGCCGGCTAAAATGCACCATTGTTGTTGCCGAATCCGCGATGACTCACGTCCGTGACACGACATGACACATGACACGACCGCATGGGGAAGGGGGGGGGGCACGGTGGCGCGTCGCAGTGATCGACGGGCGGAATCGACTCCGATCGACTGTTTTCGACAATCGAAAGTTCAAAAAACAACCGCACGTGTTTGACCGGACGGTTCAAAAAAACGGCCGAGCAACTTTTCCGCCGAACAGATGTTACCAACGGGACGGACCGTGTACTCGATAGCCCGACAGTTTTCCGCCGGTAGCGACGGCACCGGGCCGGTTCACAAAACAACAACCGAGTGTTTTTGACTTACCGACGGTTCAAAGAAAACCGAGTACATTTTCAACCCTAATAGATAGTGTCCGACTGTCGTCGGTTGCGCCGACGCGTCCGTGCGGCCCGCCGGTGGAGAATACCGCGCGTCGGGAACTGATTATTCCTGTTGAATAATATTAAGTTCGTCCGGCGGGCGGCGTATCTCCCCGGAAATACTCCGTGAAAAATACCGATCGACACGGTTTGCCTTCGGTTCATAAATAATATTACATAATGTATCGAGAACAAACATGATCCCCTAATTTGTTGTAGGTTCCTATGTAAGAACATCCTATACAAAACGAATACAAATATAATCATACTTCAATATAATATTCGTTTTGGTTCCTGTTTTCTGAACTGACTGTAATCGTGTACGGGTTTTCAAACGTGCACCGTAGATTATTTCACCCGTGATCCTACGGAATCTCAACTGGTGTAAAAGTGCATAGCAGTTAATGTTTGTAATTGACACTGGACAGTAGACACCGAGTTTTCATTCAACAGATTTAAAAATTTCTTCGCCAGTTGTTTTTGTTCGGCAAAGACTGGCAAAACGGCATTGCCGGCTTGGCCAGCAACGTCTGTATTTTCATCCAGTTACAGTAAAAAATATTTACTTTGTTTTAAAACAGTAATAACAGCTATTTTCACATTTTCACACAACCACTGTCGCGAAATAACTGGATTACCGATTTACGAAATCGAAACACCTATTAAGTTTATCGTGCAACCCGTGCACGATACATACGATAAAAATGGCAAATAACAGGAACCTATTAATAGTCAACGAACTACATAAGATAAAACTACATTCAAACGTTCGATATCGTATCGTTAATTGTACACTTATTGTACACTATAGTTAAAATTGATTAAATAATATTATTATGATCAGAAATATAACAAAAAATATATCATAATATTATTTTAAATATATTACAATATTTAATATTACACCTATGGCTCGCGGCCCAGTACAATGCTGTTCGCGGCCCATTGGTTAGGAACCGCTGGTCTAAATAACCCGAGTGCCTCGAGCTAATATTTGACGCGTCCGACGTCCGTCGTGGTATTGGTGATAATACGGTTTTAGATAGTACCACCCCTATCTTTATAAGATGTTACAAGTGGCAATAAGTATTCGCATAACCATAAACATAGCCACTTGTGAAAGATCGTTTTCTTTCTATGAAGTGTGTCAAAAATTGATTATGGACCATTATGCTTCAGGACCGTTTTACAAATTTTTACGTTGGCGGTTTTTTTTTTTTTGAAAACATACATTTCTAATTCCCACGATGTGGCTCGATATGTACTCCAATAGGAATTTTGAAAATATTTCTAGATTCTGTGAATTTGCTTGAGGGATCGATCGAAGCAATTTACCAATTACGTATTTTGTTCCAAAATGAAAAAAACATCAAAGTTTCTAAAATTTTAAAAAAGACCATGGATGATACTATTGTCTAAATAACCCGAGCGCCTCGAGCTAATATTTGACGTATCCGACGTCCGTCATGGTATTTATCATTTTGAAACATAACGTTTTCAGTTTATCTCCGCTTTCCTTCAATATTATCCTTGATATCCACCATGCACTGTTTTCCGTTAGATGTGCCGAAACCCAACATTTTTTGAAATAGGAATTTTCGATGGTTTTCCCTACAATTCTGCGTTTCAAATGCGTTTGAATCTTTTTTCCTTTCTCAGTTTTGTTCCAACTCTCGTGCACAAACCTTTTTATAAGTGTTTTCGGTCAGATCTACAGTTTTTTTGACGTAAACTTATTTTAATTTATAAATAAAAGCCCTTATCTTAGGTATATTATAATATGTTCGACTAATGCTTTCTTCTGTTATATAAGATATTCAGTTGGACGACACACGAAGAGTCTGATCTTGAGCGTGTTTTTCTGGGGCTACTTTTTAATGAATCTACCGGCCGCCATGATCGGCCGTCGGTACAACAATCAAATGCTGTTGGCGATGAGCATGATCCTGACCGTTTTGCTCGCGTTGATTACACCGACGTTGGTAGTGACGTTCGATTGGCCCGTACTCGTACTCATTCGGTTCCTGCAGAGCCTTACTCAGGTAATAATTTAAAACGAATGATAATACCAATGACATGACATCGTACGTCATTTTAATTTAAAACATAGTTAGGCTAGTACGCAAACAAGTATACACGGTACATTACAGAAATAGAAAAGACTTCTGGAACTACAAGANAAAATTCGATAAATATTCGAAAATTATTACGTATAACATCATTATTATCATCGGTTTAAAATTGTGTTATTGTACGAGTGATAATAGCAAACTATATTAATATTTTAATACTATGCAAATATATTTATAAATGCATAGTTCTACATATTTATTTGTATGCACTAGTATATATTATTTATAACTCAACCATATTTAATTTAAGCTAATTAAAAAAAAAAAACCTAGACTTTAAAATTCGCTCTGTGGATAGGCTATTGTTGTACAGATGGGTATAGTTCCGAAGGTAGTATATATTGGGTAATTTAGTTGTACAAGTTGACTGCCGTATTATTTTAACAGAATTGTTCCCACACGCCATGAGTACCATAATAGGTACTCGCATACTACATACTACATTGCTGTATACACCGATAAATCTTTTTATAAATTAATAAATCATTACGAACGGAAAATGATATTGAATGTTGCAGTGTACTAGAAGCGCTGTTTTCCCTTATTGCCTAGGTAACACTGAAATTTAAAAAAAGTACCTAGGAGTGAACTGTTACAAATATTAATAAATCGTATCAAATAAGACAACTATCGGCCGGAAATCACGTATCTTTAAGGGAAGGTACTGTTTAAAAAAAATCTGAATTCTTTTACTATCTGCAAAAATGTTTTCCAAGAAAAAAAACCACATCTTTGTAAAAATAAAAACTACTTCGTNTACAAACCACGTCTATAACCGTATCTATCTATCTATATTGAATTTTACCAGATACGTTTTAGATCTGCGAGAAGATTTAGATAGGTCGTCTAAATCCGATATTTGTCTACCGCCGAACTTTTATTACATTCCGGCAGATTCGTGCCACATACATAATAATGTTGCATTGTAGTATCAAAGCGGCCTGTTATCAACTTCGAAAAAATAAAAAATCCACCACACCCAAACCAAAGCTCGCTATTAGTTTCCTTAGCCAATTTATAATGCCTAAAACATTTAGTTATTAAAAAAACACGCCGGGTGGAAATAAAAGAGGGAGGATTGAAAAAAATAACCCCGAAAAATTACATTTTTAACTTTTTAATTGTAGTTAAAATTTCCAAAAATCAGAATTTCAATAAATGCAAAATTTAACCAAATAACGGGGTAAGCACGCTTAGTGAATCATCCTGTTTATTTTTATAGCAATATTCGTGTTCGCTAAACCCCGTTGCTCAAAACTCCATCGCCGTAAATTCTACACCGAACGCGATTATTTGATCTTCCAAGCCCATAATCATTTTGAATACATTGCCGAACAAAGGCACTGGATGAATATTTTGCACGTTCAACTTTCGCCATTTATTGTATTTATTGTACGTCGATGTTGATAAATAGTAAATAATCGTAATGACGGTAGGTAATTAAATTAAATTAAATTAAAAAAGTGTTGAATTTTTTTGTTTTCTTCATCTGCTTAATAGTATTTTTTCAGAATTAAAATTGTAGAAGTGATTTATTGCTACCTATAGCATATATAATTTAACATCATGCAAACTGCCAAGGTCAACGTAATATCCGTTGACGCACTACTCATTGTATTTTAATTATTCTATGACGTACTTTTACAAACCAGTGATGTCGTAAACTTATTATTATTTACACCGAATATAAACCATTGATAACGAAAAAACGATTCTGAGGCAAATGACAACCTTATTTTTAATCTTTCAATCTTTTTTTAACCTAAAGATCGAGTTTTTCCTCATTATGTCGAATATTAATGAGAATTTAGAAAAATGACCCCTCTAAAGTACCACTAGAGAAAAGTTTCTTTCAGAAAATGTGCTATACTTGATAATCGGATTATGTGGTCTAGTAGAAAAAGTTTTCACATGAAAAAATAAAAAAAATAAATGAACTTAATTATACAATCAATACATTCCTCGTTCCACTCAACATCTTGAATAATAAATTATAATAATAAAAATATTATATTCTAATGTTTTCCATTATCACATTGATAGCGAAATTTAACTACCTATACATACAATTCTATACGGTAATAAATGGGCATGAAATTTAACTCTTGATAAAGTACATTTTTATCAACTAGAAATTTAAAACTGCATTAGAATTTATTTTAACTACGAGTTTATCACTGTGTAAATATTTGATGCAACCCGGCATCAGATAATATACTAAAATTGGTTTTTTGGATATTGTAGGTATTATCAATAATTAATACATTAATCAATTAATAATATGTTATAACCATGGGCGTCATTTGTAGGATGCAAGGGTGTGTAAAAACGGTCGAATAAACAGTTAGAAATATGATAAATTATATTGTAATTATGTTGAAAAAATAACTAGACTTGTTGTGTCGAATGGTATGCATATAACTACGAATACGTAAATATTTAGAAACACTCGTGGATACTAAAACTACTCGTCGTCAGGTATACACGATTTGGGCTCCTTATATATTATAGATATACATAATTTTTTTTCGTTTTGTCTACAATAGGCATAATTTTAATTTTAATTTGTAAAATGGACGTGCGTAAATAATATATTATTATAATAATTATATGCGGAATTTTTCGTTTGTAAATATAATGTTATTATATTAATCATGTTATACATATTATGTTATTATCAAACCATATTTTTCTCAGATATTGCATTATATTCAAATTCAATATTTCATTCACTTGCAAATTATAGTCTGATAAAATATAATTTGGGTAATAATTATGCATAGTTGTATAATATGTGTTTGTCCGTTTTGCAAAATATAATTTCGCCCCACCCCTGGATTTTCTCTGCAGACACACGACCAGTATCAGTACAATCAGTAAACATCGTATAACATTATGAATTGGTGATTACATTATATACTGTACTGTACCGTACTGGTTAGGCATTTATCAAGTGAATAAAAATCATTTTGAATAAACCGATTTGATCGGAAATTCGCAACTTTTGATAAAAATTGGCGTTTATTGATCAGAAAGATAATTCTACTATATAAGCGTATGTATTTATGCGTTATAAATATATGCTACAGAACAATTTATTTATTTATTTATACATAAAAAAAATAAAAAATCATGATTGCGTCAGAAGGTCTATAATCTGAAGGTAACTAATAAAATATTAGTTAATAATAAAACTTAATAACCGTGTGAAGTGAATGAATATGAAATAAAAAAACCCATAAATTAAAAAAAGTAAATTTCTGGCTTGATGCAAGGGTCCAATATCAGAAAAAATAAATATATATATATGTTTTCTGAAATAAAATGATAACTTGTTTACGGATTGAGTAGTTTTCTTAAAAATTAAGGAAAACAGGAAAAACTTCTGAAAGTTAACGTTTAATTATTTCGATTTTGTTTCTTTTTGTTATTCGCAAACTTGATATTTGTATAACCTTTTTTGACGTGGGCAAATTTAAAAATATTTTGTCCTTTTTTAGTCATTTATAGGCATTTCGGCACTTTCCAGTTTTATTTCCCATTTATCGTTTCATATATAATATATATCAACTAAAAAACTTAATGCACCCTACCTTTTCAACTTGTCATCTACAATAGTGACGTATTCATAAACATTTAGCAGTATCAGCTCTTATTTATATTCTGAGCGTAGTTTTAATACATAAATGTCACTATGTATTTTTAGCTCCTCAATTGTTTTACCTATTTTCTTGCTCCGGCAACAAACTTGTCTAGTCGGTACATAGAGGAGTTACGTATTGTTGCAGAAAATAGTAATACCATAATAATAATAATAAATTCATTGGATAAGAGTATCGCAGCATCACCGCTCCAAATAGTTAATATCACAACCGATGTCAAAATAATAGTTTACGTCAATACTCATAGTAATAATATTAATAACGGCAACGTCTTGTACTCCGCATATCTGTCGATACTGCGTAGAAAAAAAAAATAATAATAATAATAATAATGTTCAATAGTAGTAGAGTTATATTACAATGTTATCCGCATGGTGAATATCACGGCGCGGGTCGGCGTCGGCGTAACAGTTTATCACGACGGCAACAACTGCTCCGGCGACACGGCGACGGCGACGACGGCTACGGACATGTAGAAGAGTGGAACACAAAAGTCGAACACGATGCCTGCCCACTACGGACGGCGCGTGCGTTGTTGACAACGGCACACAAACGCCCGTGACAATTCGACGACAGTGACTCGTACACCGCCCCGTATAAAATGGTCCTCGCGACGAACGAAGTGAAGTAGTTTCAATGTTTGCAAATGGAAATACTAATCACCTCGAGTAGACGTACACATTAGATACATTAGTTGTCATTCACCGGGCGTTTCTTCAATCAAAATTATGACCGCGACGCCGCAGCCACCGGTTGTTGCGCCCGTGCGAGTCGTCGTGCTCGTACGGGTCGTTTCATTCGTTCCGGTGGTGCGAGGATGCAATTTTTTTAGCAGAAAGTACAACAAAACAGTGCTAAGGATTTTCGGTAACCAATATAATTTTAATACGAGTCGAACTATATAATTACAGAGTAGTATATTATGATAGCCGCCGGGACGACGTGCAGTTTTAAAAGTGATAGCTCGACTGACCGCGCGACCCTCTCGCGGGTGCCGTATAGGTACGGTTTCCCTTGCGCGGTCGCGAACGCAATCGACGAACTAGAAGATAACGTTCGCATCGTCTTGGTTTATTCTGAACGATTTTACGTCACGATCGAGAGTAATTTATGTTTCATCATTCAGTCGTACTTAATATTTTGATGTGTGAAGTACTCTAGTGAACGGTATAAACGAACATACCGTGAATTTTTGAATTATAATGGATACATCTGACGACGTAAATATATTGAAAATTCTTTTTGAAGAAGAAAATGATGATGACGTTTTGCTCTTATATTTGTCAGAAGAAAAAAGAAAAGGCCATGATCAATTATTTACAAAGAGAAGTACGGAAGGTTATTATGAAATACTAATCAACGGTCATTTGAAAAATAATGAAATCAAATTTCGAGAATTTTTTAGAATAAATCGTAATCAGTTTGATTTTATTTTAAATTTAATAAGAGACGACCTAGCCTTAAATCCGACTTTTTTTTATAAGGAAACCAATAACTTCATCTTCTACTTTGCTAAATTTGGTCATTGGAGCACTCATTGTTGAAAGACACGACCAACGTCAACCAGCAGTCAATCATAAATGAATGTCATATACTCATATCATAATTTTCTTTCAAAATAACAAATTAATCGCGCCGCGATCGAATTTAGATCGCCGACCGCGATCGCGCAAGGAAAACCAACTGTATTTAATTTACATTGTATCAGTAGTCGCGCGATAATGATGCGCGATCTTAGATCGGATCGCGTTCGCGGTTCGCGTTCGCGATCGCGCAAGGGAAACCGTACCTTAANAATAAAAATAATAATACAATTTCCAGTCGTTGAGATAAATATACTAATCTAGGTAGAATTTACTGATTTATTATTTTTCTTTATTTTTGTCGTCCAAGGAGACCTTATATTTTTCAGTGCTGTGTATTTTCTTCAGAAATGTAGGATTTTTTATTATTTCATTGTAAAATTCAATGCAACTCAAGCCATATGTTTTTGTTATCAGACAACATTCTATTGTTTTAGTATCCATTTGATTTCGAACTTCAGTCCAAGTAGTTGTCATTAAAGAAAATACTCGCTCTATTGACGCGTTTGACCCAGGTAAACAAAATGCAAACTCTACAACCATTGCAAGATTTGATACATTTACATCTTTTTCTTTAAATATATTAAATATTTGTACCCATTTTTGTTCTACTGAAATAACATTTTTTGTCCAGTCATTAAATTTGTCTTGAAAAATGTTTATAAAAGCCATAAACTCATCAAAGTATTCATCTTCATTAACTTTAACATATTTTGATATCATCTTTATTGTATTTTTAGCATTATTCCATGTCACTGTATTTTTGTTTGTTAAGTTCAACCAATTTAATTCAACCATCAGTGCCTGGTTAGGTAATGTCCACTTTTGAATATATGATATACATAAATCGTAAAACTTTTGACAATTTATATCAAATTCTTTTTTAACTAAATAACTCTCTTCTTCAATAGAATCAATTATTATCTCCATTTCAGTATTAATAAAATGTTCATTCTTTCTGTTTTTTAAGTTATTTAATAAACTGTTTAATATTTCAATTAATTCAAATGCCGACATTTTTTCCCCTTCAATTTTTTGAATATAGTTATTGAACAGTTTAAGCATACTTTGTATAAATTTAATACATAATAGAGCAATGACGTTTTGAAAAAAGTCAACCAATATCTTAGGACTCGAATCTTGTGAAAGAAAATACGACTTTAAGCCATCAAACATTAAAATAATTCTGTCAATTGCAGGAGACAGCGATAGCCATCTAGTTTTGGCATGTGATAAAATATCACGGTATTGGATATTAGCAAAATCGCAAAATTCTTTTAATTTTTCTACCCGCATCGCATAAATGTGGAAATATCCAAAAAGTTTAACTGTAATAGCTTCAGCGTCAATAGGTAAATTATCTGACGCGATCTGTACAGCGTTATGTAAGATATGAGCGTTGCAACCTTATCCAAGTATATCTTTTTTTAATTCTATCTGAAGTTTTGTGTGCACGTTATCTTTTCCTTTTCTATTTAATCCACCAAAATTAGTGTTTGTAGTATCAGCCGATAGTGNAATTATCTGACGCGATCTGTACAGCGTTATGTAAGATATGAGCGTTGCAACCTAATCCAAGTATATCTTTTTTTAATTCTGTCTGAAGTTTTGGGTGCATGTTATCTTTTCCTTTTCTATTTAATCCACCAAAATTAGTGTTTTTATTATCAGCTGACAGTGCAACAATTTTTCGTTTTAATCCGAATTTAGTAAGAACGTCAATAATTTTAGAATTAATTAAATCAGATGTTTCACCGGGTAAATTTGAGAACCCTAGTATTTTGTTTTTTACACCAACATGAAGTAAAAAATAACGGACTACAACAGGTACTAGTTTAATTGCTTTGTGGTTGGAACCGTCAACTAAAACAGATACATAATTCGCAAAAGANATCAGACGTTTCACCGGGTAAATTTGAGAACTCTAGTATTTTGTTTTTTACGCCAACATGAGGCAAAAAATAACGAACTACAACAGGTACTAGTTTAATTGCTTTGTGGTTGGAACCGTCAACTAAAACAGATACATAATTCGCAAAAGATAGTTCTTTTAAAGTATTATCAACTATGTACGGGCAAATAACATTGACAACTATTTCCCTGATTTTTGTTTTTGCACACGTGAATTTTTTGTCGTTTAAACATTGACGAATCAATTCCGATGTACAAGACATAGAACGAAAACTGTGATTATGAATTACTGTATAATACACAAAAGTAGCTTCACGGGCGGCTAACAAAAAGTTATTTTCAGTAGGAACCAAAGCAGAAAAATAGTTGGAAACTTTACCAGATTGGACCGATGATATTGTAGCTAACTTATGTTTTTGCATTTTGAGGTGATCGTTTATGTCCGATTGTCCATCATGACTTATTGAAAAAGTTCCATGGCAAGTTGTACACTGTACATTGAAATCGTCAGNAAACAGATACATAATTCGCAAAAGATAGTTCTTTTAAAGTATTATCAACTATGTACGGACAAATAACATTGACAACTATTTCCCTGGTTTTTATTTTTGCACACGTGAATTTGCTGCCGTTTAAACATTGACGAATCAATTCCGATGTACAAGACATAGAACGAAAACTGTAATTGTGAATTACTGTATGATACACAAAAGTAGCTTCACGGGCGGCTAACAAAAAATCATTTTCAGTAGGCAAAAGAAATACCAATTTAAAAATAATTTTAATTTCCGGGACATTACAATGCAAAAGTCCAAACCCGGTAGAAATCGGTGTCCCGAGAACTTTGTCTGGGACGCCGGGACATGGGTTCCTAAACCGGTAATGTCCCGGGAAATCCGGGACGAATGGCCACCCTACGTTATCGATGGACTACAATAATACACTCTAATGATCCAATCCAAAGGGCTTATACTACTGTACTGTATACAATAGCAATGTGCCCATAACAAGTGCGTAGCTCGAATAAATAAACAAATTTTATCTTTCGTAATCGCGGTTCTAAACATTTCAAAAATCATATTACGGATATTTCCTGGCTGAAAATTCAAATAAAGGCACTATTAGGTTGCCTAAATTTAGAAAGCGATTTCGTTCTCATGTTCCGCATTCGTTATAAAAATATATTGTTAAAATAATTTGCGATTAGGTTATGTCGAAACTTTGTCGGGACGCCGGCACATGAGATTCTAACCGGGTTACGTACCGGGAAATCCGGGACGAATGGCTACTACGTGTATAAAACTCCTCTCCGGTCGTTTTTTTCAGCCTAGTGGATTAAGCAACAGCGTGATACGTTTATTTACACGGCCAACAGTAATTCCGAAAGTAATTGTTTTAAGCCAGTAACAATTGAACACAATTTTTAAATTATTGAATTTACTGAAATAAGGCGGCAATGTCACGGACAGTGTTCGTCGGCCGACCAGTAATTTTCTCCTCCGGCCGGTCACACTGCGTCATTTACGCTTTTCCACGGCCTATGATAACACACGCGCTACACATTTGATAAGCCATGTTCATTTGTTTTTGTTTATGCGCAAACAACGTAAAAAAATAAGTCAGTTTAATATTGTATTTTTATTTTTCTGGCTGCCAATAAATTGTATTTTTTGGTCCGTAATTATTTTCAACGACGATCTTTGACAGACGTTATGAGGTTATCGTAACAGATTATGGCGAAACTTGATGAAGACCTGTCACGTCTGTCTATAGGTACGTACGAATAATTGGTAACGCATTTGCCTTACGAAAAATCGCAATAAATACTCTATAAAAAATGTGTGCTCACGTAACCTACGCCGTTTAAAACTGGCCAAAATACGAGTAAAACCGACGAATATACATCCTTTGGACTAACTCCTTTGTATTGTATTTGTCGTGTGAAATTATTTTCTTTTAAGTGCTTGAACATGTTTTTGTAATAATATTTATCTTTTTAACACAAGCATTGATATTGAATATTTATTTTAGCCTAGGCAAGGTTTTTTAATAAAAAAATAACATCGAATCGCCCTTTTAATAATTTATTTTGGATACTATCGTAGTGATGCATGTTATGTAGGTATTTATTTAACATAAAATGACAGTTAAACTATACTATTCTCATTCGTCTTAATAAATACCCAAATGAGTCATATTTATTTTTGGTACTCTGGTTCTCGAGTTCTCTTTATTTACAAAAATGATATAATTTTAATATAGACATTTTGAAAATTAAGTTAATTATTAAAATAGGTATGTAAATACCTAATTTTATTACATTATTAAATAAAACTTAAAACTCACTTTATAACTATTTTTTCTAGTAATTATTATGCATAGGTACCTATGTTTATTTAAAAATAATATATCTACGTATATAATTATTTACCTAATATTTTACCAAAATCAATATTAATTTAAATTGTACAATTATCAAGTTCTTATCAAGTTTGTTTTCAGAAAGCTTGATTATGTACTTTTATTTCAAATATATGAATTTTGTTGATTGATTTAACCAGGTTAAAAATTAATCTGTTTTTCTTATATTCAGATAGGTATTCTTAGTTTTAATATTTTTAGAAAATTGTTTTATAAAACGATTACACATATGTGTTAAGGTATTAAAAATCATGTTTTATTAAGTTCCTATTATTGATTTAATTGTATAAAATTCATATAAAAGTTTTAATAACATACAAGATAACATCTAATCTGATATAGGCAATATAGTTATCTTCCGTTTTTCTAATAATTAGGTACACACACAGTTCATACAAATTAATGATCATAATTTTAATTTTAAAAGTAAAATCTAAGTTTTACTTTAACCTATATAATTGTTTCCCAAAATATAAATTATATTATTCTACTATTGTTGCATTTTCTATTATCTTGTTTTTTTTTCCTGAAGTTTAATTTTTTCAATTTACATGGTGGTTACTTTTAATACAAACCAAAGTGATTTTTGTTAGGTACCTTCCTACTTATTTTTTAAACTATTATTTATTACCAATTTTTTTGTGTAAAACAAAATAAAAAAAATAATTGGCTTTTCTTTTAATAAGCTTGCTATCCAAACGGAGGTAAGTTTTACAGCATTATTAGGTACCTAATCAACAGTGAATGCACAGTAACTGAAATTGAAGGTAGATGGCACTCTATAGCAGTTTTTTCTCCAGAAAAAATCCAAGTTTGTAAATGGACAATACGATGAAAATAATCATAAGCTTATACTATAAGTATTCCACCCAGACATTTTTTCCAAATGCAGTGATAGTAAATTTTTAATTTCCGGTATTATTATACCAGTTTTGTCATATCAGTGTATCATGTTTGTATTGAATTGAGAGAATTAAGTTAATTATAGCAGTCAATAAATTAATAATTCTTATCAAAATTTATTAGTCACCGTTTAGTATTTAACATTTTTGTTTTGTACACATTAGTGTTTTATTGTATTTAATAAACGGTGTGTACTGTTTAATAATTGGATTTGAATAATGTGTAGCTAAATCATTTTAAATTGAAAACTTAATTATTGTATAAGACAGTGGCATATTTTTAAATTTTTCGTGGGGGGGGGGGTTAAAATTTTCTTAAAAAATAAGTGATTTTATAATATGTACTTAATAATACCAGAACTTTTAAGATGTGATCACTATCACCTTTGGCCCTATAGCAAAGAATTGTCCCAAAATTACCGTCATTATTTTGTTTTTCAACTGAGTAGAATTTAAAAATTTCCCAGAGTCACAATGAATGCTTCATTTTGATCGACATTTTTACATTATCCATTTCAAAATTTCTAGACAAATATTCTCTATTCGAATCTTTGTTCAAAAAGTGGGGGTTCCCATTTGAAAAACAAAAGTATATTCTTATTTAAGTTATCTGAAGTAAGGGTAAAAATTAAAAATGGTTTTAAAGTAATGCTTAAACAATTTCACAAATATAAAATTAAATAAAATAGATATCAAATTCACTTTTAAAATTTTCCGAGATAATTACTGGTTCATGATAAAAAAATTACTTTGTGTAAATTAATGCTGTCTTTTTCTATACTTTTTTAGCAAGTCATTTATGACTTTTAAACCATATTTTTTCTTCTAGAGTGATTCAAGATCTGGGAACCTCCCCTGAAAATACTCCACTGGTATAAGGCATAAATACATAGTAATACAATGTATATGTATAATATATCTTAGTATTGTTATTATTATTAGAGAATAGTTTTTTTTTTTTTTATAAATATATTGTAATATACTGTATATTACATTTCTTTGTTGCATGCAGTATAATTATTGACCAATGTACATTGGATTCTTGATAATTATATTAACCTAAATAATTCCAAAAGAAATATGTTTTCATAGAAATCATTATAACACTTAATCAATTTTTATAGTTTAAATATTTAATTATCATATGTTGTCTTTAAATTTTGAATTATTAAACATAAATTACGATAAAAATATTTTAATTGTTACACATAAATTATTACTTATAATAATTTGAATAAATGTTTATATTATAGTGCCACTCATGAATTTCAAACATAGTTTTGGATTTCTCTGGTTTTGAAAATATTTGAATTTGTTGAAATACGTAAAAAAAAACCTATTTGGTAATATGCACATGTAAGGGATGCACTTCCTACGCCTGCTGGCATCACTCGCCAACTTAAATGTCCATTTAGACCACTCCTCCCCCTGCTTATGGTCTGAAGGAAAACACTGGTAGTGTTTTATCTAGATTTCTTTAGATTTAGAATAGTTTTTCTAGATACTATAATATAACTAATAACTAATAATAATACATAGGTATTTTGGGTGATTTTTAGGCTTCTCAATATCTTAAATACAAGGAAAAACATACAATTAACTATAATAATCTTATACGTTTACTAAGCTCAGTTTAGAATTGTTTTCCGATTGGAATGATTTATTGTTGCTACAGTGTATAAATATCTTACATTTTCCCAATTTTCTATCATACCAACATCCTACGACAATGGGAAAGTATAATGTATATTGTGCTTTTCATATTTGATTTACCACTCATTGCTTAATTATTGTAATATTGTTCAGTGAGCTAAAATGAAAATCATATATTAACAAAAGTTAATTTTTCCATATTAATTTTGTTAATTTAGACGATGATGCAAATAATAAATTTGGTAAAAGGGACAAACTCTCAAGAGATTTGGAGATCTATCGACCTGGTAGTGGACCATTACGACGTAGTGGCAATACCCGCCAAGATGGTGATGAGGATGATAAACGATCTTTATTTACTGGATTTGGCCGTGATCTTGAGTCATCAAAAAAAAGTGATTTTATTCCAAATAAACATTTTGAAAATCCAAGTAGAAAAAAAGAAAATTTTCCAAGAGGTCCATCTAAGGTGATGAACGGCTTCCCTGCTGATAACTATAGTACATTCAATTTGAGACGTAAACAACAAAAGAAAACACAACCATTCTATGAGCCATCAAATGAATGGACTAATGAGAAACGGCAAGATCGACCACGAGTTAATTTTGTAAATCCTGATGACTCTAAAGGTGACGATGAAAATTGGAGAGCACACAAAGCACCTAAAGTAGTAAGTGTTCCTAAAGTGGTTAAAAAAATTGAAGAAAAACCAGTTACAGAAAAAGTAATACCACAAGAAATAATACACAGTATGGTAATTAAAGCGAGTGTTAATACAATAACAGTGCACAATATTCCTGATAAAGTTGTAGCCTCCAATAATAGGAAACTCGAAGAAAAAAAAGCGCCTGCTAAAACAATACCTAGTAATATTTTAATGAGCTATGAAAAACGACCACCCCGATTACGAAAAAAGTTCTGCGAAGAAAATCATATCACTGTAGAAGAAGTAGAATCTTACCTCACAAATGGACTAGTTACTCAGGATGATCATAATAAACCACATGGTTTATATCAATCTAGAAGTCAAACGTTACCTCCTAGGAGTGGTAAAAGTCGATTTAACGAACCACAGAGACACCAAGAACAGACATTTTATAGGACTAACTCCAATCAACTACCCCCAAAGACTGAAGTAAAAAAAGTTCCACTAGTAGTCAACAGTTCTACTGAATCAAGTAGACGAGGAATTGATTTTGATGTGACTACTAAGATGTACAACAATAGTAATCAAGAATCAAAAACAGATTACAATTCTAGGGATGATATCGAAGATAATACTTCTGTTAATATGAAACAATCTATTGAAAGTGCAGTTTTACTTCCTAGTGGTACAATTGTGAGTTTCATCATATTATTCATAATTTTTTTTTTGTAATAAAATATCTAATACAATATTTGTTTTTCTAATTTGGGCTTTTTCAAAAAATTATAGAATTGGGCCGAAGAAGTGGAACGAGCTGAAAATATGTCCAAAGTTGCAGAAGACACTAAAAAGGAAGTTGAAAGATTAGAAAATGTTGAAAAAACGCAAAGTTTATCCAGAGATAGAAAACAGAGAAAGTGAGTACCTAGTAAATAAACTATTAATATTATTCTTAATTTAAAAAACAAATTTTTACATAGGAGTATCAGTAAAGATAGAAATTTGATAAGTACAATACCTGTGCACGATCAACATTCTAATACTAATCATTCTAACTGGCATTCAAAAAGCAATGATAATCCTGAAAGCTCAAATAGCAATGTTGCAAGTTGGAGAAAAGAAAAACCAAACAGAAATCGTAGTAATGATCGTATAAGGAATCATTCAAAAAATCGTAGACACAGGTTAGTTTTATTGACAGCAGTTTCTGCCTATGTATATATTAATATTGACATTTTCTTATTACAGAAATAACAGTGAAAAATCTATATTACAACCAAAATCTGAAAATATTGGTGGTATTATAAAACTACCACCAAATGTGAATGTCAACGCTGATAGTGTATCATCACTTAGTCTTAGTGGTTATTTAAAACAATCAACAATGACTACAGCACCGCATCCTTGTCCAGCCAAACAGTTATTTAACCCTCATAACCCCAAACAACCTATAGTGGTATCTACCAAACAACAAATTGCCAGAGCAGGTTACACGCCTGTTAATATAGAACCATATCATACTAGCAAGGATCTATACCCTATAAATGTCATCTCTAGCAATACTCAACAATACTCAGGCGCACATTTCGGTAACCCACCTCCTGCTTGGTATGACCCATACACAGAAAGGTAATGTAATTAAAAATACAATATTATGCTTGTTAGCAAATCCATTTTAAAGTGTTTGATTATTTTTCTTAGTTATCGTTTGTCAAACCACCCAGTTCTATTGTTGGACATAAGAAAAGCCGATTCTATAATGGAAACTTTGGTTTTTGGATCGAATATGCTTCAAAATTGGGTGATTATAAATTCGTGCAGGTATGTATTATTATTGGAAATTTTAATTATCAATTTAATATTTTTGTTGTAATGTTTGGTGTACGTGTTTACAGAGAGTTTTTGAAAGATTCGTTGAGAGAGCTTTTAAAATCAGACATGAAGTTTTGTCAACGAGAAAACATTGAAACCCATTTTTGGAAAATTCTTTATCATAATATTATCGAACAGTTAAAAAAGCTTATAAATGAAGATAAGAAAGAATTAGTAAATGATTATACTATGTTATTGACAAATTTAATAGAAGAAGTATGTAAATTGAAAAACTATATATAAACATTTTGTAGTTAATATCATAGGGGTGCGCAGATCTAAAAACCAGGTAGTTTCTACTTATTATTAATGGCCCTACAGAAAACCAATTTATAAAAAATGTAACTAACATACTCAAATCTCATATTAGGTATTTATTTAATATTGATATACATCATCATATTATTAAATAAAATTATTATAATACCTATAATTTTAAGTGTCTTATTACTTATTATCAGGGCTTGACACTTTTTTTTATTATTATTATATTATTTTTTTTCAAATGAATATAAATAAAACATAATAGCATCTATAACGGATACCAAATGGTGATAAACCCCCGTGAGGGTTTGAGACTTATATCAGTTGATTATTCTTTTGGCTTGATATTAAATATAACAGTGCTATGGAAATTTATGTCATTTGCTACGAGTTTTAATATGAAATTTGTAAGTGCTTATTTGAGTTAATAAAAAAACAAATTTTTGAATAGTTTTATATTAATTTTTTTAGTGTTTATTTCAGCACTTAAAGAGCTTTTAATGAAGTCTATTCAAGCACTTTTTTTAAAATTTTAAGTGCTATAAGTCCTCTAATTCTGGTTAAAATTTATTATAAACAAGACTTTCTCATATTTCTTAGTATGCCATATTTCACAAAAACATTTTTAGATTTTGAGCAAAGCGAAGAATGTATTGGTTTTATTGTGATATGTGCTCAAATAAAAACAAAAATTGGACATTTTTTGTAGTATTTTTGAATCTATTTGTTGCATTGGGGAAGTCATCTTGATTTTTGTTCTTTTTTTAATAATTGGAAAAAAAAATGAGCTTCAGCTCTTGAAAAATCATTGGGCATATATGCCATGCCCTATGCGTACACCTATGGTTAGAATGTATGAAAAAATATTAATTAAAATGATACATAATTTCAGGGCATGAAATATATGAATGACCTTTTGAAATTTCTGGAAAAACAATATAACTTCAATTTAGATGATTATGTATCATTGACTTGTCTGTCTACAAAAAAACTTGGAAATATTGGTCTAGCTTTGATATCATCTCAAAAGTTATATATATCTTTAGGGGACTTGGCGAGATACAAAGATGTCATGAATAACAGCACCAATTATGTTATAGCCAAACAGTAAGTATTGATTGAATTAAAATAATAAATTAACTATCATAACTCAATATATCTATGTGATCTATAGATGGTATACTAAAGCCAATCAAATAAATCCAAAAAACGGCAGACCTTATAATCAGTTGGCTTTGCTGGCTGTGTATGAAAAAAGAAAACTTGATGCCGTTTATTATTATATGAGGAGTTTGATGGCTTCAAATCCTTTTCAGTCAGCAAAAGATAGCTTATTGACATTATTTGAAGAATATAGAAGAAAGGTAAATTTGTATTCAATAATGGTTTTGTAGATTATTACATTTTTTTATATTTTTATTACAGTATGAAATGACAGACAGAAAACGTCAAGAAGATCGTGAAAGACGAGAACGCGAAAAAGCTAAGGAAAAAGAGAGTTCGATGTCATCCAAAGAAAAATATAGTAAAAGAAGAAAGGAAATATGGATACATCCAGATGGTGGTAAACGATCTCATAGAACAACATCAACTACTGAACCAACTCAAGATATTGATGAAGAGGAATTATCCAAATTGTCTCAGTCTGAAGTAAATATTAATATTATTTTATTTTTATTACCATTAGTTATGTAAATATTTATAATTATTAAAATACAAATCAGAGATATGCACAAGTATGAGATAAAACATATATTTTTAATTGTTGTACTTTGTAGAAATTACATTAAGATAATAATATACTTGGTTTACAATATTATTTTACAAAATAACATTATTCAATTTTTTTCGCCTTAAGTAATGTTACATATTGTTATTTATTATGGTTTTAAAGATAGTAGACTCAAGTTTAAAACTTTTACTCTCACATCGACCATTACTAAAAAATATAATATACATAGTTTATTTTGTTTAATTATGTTAAATTTAATTTTTATTACAGATCAATAAAAGATTCATTGTAAGTTTTTTACACGTGCATGGGAAATTGTTTACTAAAGTTGGGTAAGTAACATTTTGTCTGTATATATTTCTTAGAAGGTATCTACATGTTAAAATCATTTTAGTTTATTTGTTTGTTGTTTTCTGTAAGTAATTAAGAACTTAAAAAAAGTTTACTTAATTTTAAAGATAAAATAAAATAAAATCAAGTATTCATTTTATCTATCAAGTTAAACATTATAATAATATTTAATTGGCATTCGAGAAGGTACATTGGATATAATATTTATTAACTGGTAACTATATAAATAATAATATACATTCAAATGTATTTTTAAACATAATTATGTAAAATATATACTTATTTATATTTGTTTAAAACCTAAAATTTTACCATAATATGATATATATATTGTTGAGAAAGCAATACTATCAACTGAACTCCGCTCAGAATTGTTTTTTTGTTAGAAATGGTTTATCGTTGCTTACAGATATATATTAAATTCCCGTCTGTATCCTACCTTCCCAACTTCACACCTACAACAGTAATTCTACTACTAAACAGTAAATCCAGTCTTAAAAATACATTTTTACAAGGGCTTACATATTTGTATCACTATTTTATTCCCTAAAAGATTATTTTGGATTTAATTTTTTATTCTTTATAATAAAATTATTAATTAATAATATAAACTAAATTAACTAAAATAGTACAATAATTTAGCCTTAAACTTAATATTTTGTTTAAGCTAAAATATTATTTTTATATGTTTTTCAAAAACTCATTCTATGGATTTTTTCAAAATTTGTTTTTATTTAATATATTTAAATATTAATACCAATGGTAATACAATTTTTTTTATTTTTAGTATGGAAAGTTTTCAAGATACAGCATTGCAAATGTTAAGAGAGTTTCGTTCATTATTATCTTATTCTCCATTGCCAATCATAACTATAAGGTTTCTACAATATCTTGCCTTAAATATGTTTGCGATTGAAAATAGTAGACCAAAAGGTAAACCAAATGATTAGTTATAGTTATTTTATTACACATAAAGAATATTATTGAATATATTAAATACTTTATTTTTCAAATAGAAACACATGTAGAACAGGGTTATTGGTCAACAGTACACGAATGTGCATTAGTGATGTCGTTGCAAATGTTTAGTTTGATTGTTGACAGATGCAATCAACTTTTAAAAGAAATGTTGGTAAAAGATGATGGTACCTCGTCAAAACATTTGATTGGCAGTGATATTGATTTTTTGTTACCACCTATTAAGGTATGATTTACAAGTACAACTAATAAAATATTAAAATATTTTTTGGTAAGAAATTAAAATTAAAATGTTTGCTCAGATATGGTGTGATTGGTTGTTATGTAATTCTAAAGTGTGGAATCCGCCTCCATCATGTTCGGATTATAAAATTTCGTAAGTTTTAATACTCTTTATACATTCATAGAAAAAAAATACTTATATATTAATATGAACCATTTTCAGTGGAACTGGTGATTGTTGGAGTCGATTAGCTTCGTTAGTAAACAACTTGGAAAAATTCCAGGAACATTATAAATTATTTTTGAATGAATCCGATGAAAGTGACCCGAGTATGAGACAACAGCTTAAATTGCCCGAAGATTCTATGTTCAGTGGCTTTACTCCGATAATTGGTTATGAACTGAAACCTACATTTATTAAGACTACTTCAGATAGAGTAAGTAAATACTTACTCTAAATATATCATAAATATTTATAATTTTTTGTATGAATACATCTGAAAATTACTTATTCATTTAGGTTCTATCAGAGCTTGCTTATAGAGTAAATTGTATATTGTTTTTTGGCACTGAATTTTTGTGTGGTACTGAGCCGCCTGTGTTTAAACTGCATAAAACCGATACTGGAGCAAATGAATATATTTCAGTTGTTGAAACAGCAAGTCCCAAAGATGATGTAATTATGGTTTTCATATAATACTTATTACTTTTTTTAAATGAATAAATATATAAACATATATATATATATATATATATTTTCTGATAGAGCGAAGATGAAGATATTTGTTTTGAGAGTTGGAGTGATGAGGAAAACGAATCAAAATCTAAACAATCTGAAGACAAGTCAATATCTAATGTAAACGTTAAACCAATTTCAAATGAGATACAAAAGCTTTTAAGCAGAAAAGAAGAACTTGAACAAAAACAGAGGAATGAAGAATTAAGGCAAAAACGTGTGCAGGTATAATAATTTATAAATATATATTTTTTTGGTGCTCATTTACTGATTATAATTTGTTTTTCTAACAGGAGATATTGAAACAAGCTTCATTTTGCACCGAAATTGAAATTAAACCACATTATGTAGTTCCTGATACTAACTGTTTTATAGACTATTTGCCACAACTCGAGCAATTGATATATTCTTTCTCACACGCTCAAGAACACACATGTACTCTAATGGTTCCTACTGTTGGTGAGTTAAATTATAGCAACTTATAAGAATATAATATTAATTATATAAATTACACACTTTTTTTGTGTTATTATCATTAGTACTAATTGAATTGGAGGGATTGGCCAAAGGTGGTTGGGTCAGAGAAATAGTTTGTGAAGCTGCTAAACAAGCGTTAAAAATATTGAAAAATATTGATACAGCTGCTGTTAAGTTTGTGACGACCAAAGGATCCAGTTTTAAATCCACAACATTCTTTGAAGAAGAAAATAATTTTGTATGCATTAGATCTTTTAATTCAAAATTGTTAGTTACTATTTTAATAACTGATCATTTTAGGTAGGTACAAATGATGATAAAATATTGGCTACTTGTTTGAGCCTTTGTAAAAATAATTCACAATTGCCAGTAGACAATCCACAAGTAGAAGGTAAATTATTTGCTACATCAATATGAGGAAAATAATTGATAATAATAAAGTTGTTTCAACTTGATTTTGCAGGAGAACCAATAAAAATATACAGAGACGTTGTGCTGCTGACTGAGGATCGAAATTTAAGAGTGAAAGCTCTCTCGTCAGACGTGCCTGTTAGGGCAATAATGGATTTCATAAGCTGGTTTAACTTTAAAAGCAGCTGATCCGTTTGGTTGCAGCAATAGGAATGTTGTTTTGTTCCTAATCACAAAAGTCTTTTGGATGACGTTTTTAAATACCACTGCTTATGGTAAGTGACTATCATTGTAATTATAATTTTACTAATAAAATGAATCTCTTACAAGTCAATTCAACGATTTGAACACTGGTCACAGGCCAGAAGGGAATTAAAAACATTTAAAGGGTTAAAGCAATTTAATAAATATTTAGAAACAATGAACATTTTATTTTTAATATTATGGTTGTTGTAATGATCCACGTTTCCACGGTTGTGCTTATGCCATTTGGATATTTGTATTTGTAATAAGTATTTTTATTTGTTACACAGTCAATTGATGGTTATTACTAGTTTTAAAAACAGTTATTTATCATTGCATTTCTGTGATTGGAGTAAATTTTGCTTTGTAACTACTATTGATAAGTATTTAGTTTAATAAAAATTATACAATTTTATTTGGTTTGCTGGAGACCAAATAAGTCAAATAATCAAAAAACTTTTTTTCTTTTTTTTTTTCACACTCATTAGATGAATTTAACAACCTATTAGGCATTACCTACCGAGTATGTCTACTGGTCTACTGTAAACATGTGCCTGTGCAATTGGTATTTATAACAAATTTAACAAATATTAGTTACATAGTAGCTTTGTACATACAAAGCCTGTATCTGGAATAATTCAAGTCACACATGCACACGTCATTAACAAAGTTATTATATTTTCTTTTTTTAAACCGCTGTATTGTTGTGTTATTAATTTCTATATTAATATGAGGTGGTATATAATATTATATAAATGGGCTAAAATTGCAACCATCTGGGCAACAATGCAAATTTTGATTAATACACATCTTATTATTATATTGCATGTACTTACATTATATTATAATATAGCTGTTTGTGTGTACGTCGTCATCGCCTTTGTTGTATTTAGTTCAAATGGACAATAGAAAATCGTGTATATCGACTCTATATAATATCTAAACAGGGCTGTGAATTTAATGCAATTAAAAACCTTAAAAATGACATAAAAAATGCAATAAAATGTGTATTTTAAGTCTCAAAAAATAAAATATTAAATACACTTAAATTGTTTTTAATTTAATTTTTATATTTATTTTGATATTACTGATAATATATTATATACATCAAAATGCATTTATTTGCATTAAGTTAATGAAAACAATTTTTTTTAAAAAAAAATGCTCGAGAATTACCAATGGGATAGGATGTAGACGGTGTAGGAAATAATAATCGCGTTTCACGAATAAAACGTATTGAAACTTCTACTGTTATACGTAATCCAACCTTGATACTTAAAAAGCCGGATCCATAACCGCTATTTTATGTACAATAAAAAAGCAAGCTTTTTTCCTTGTAATTTAGCTGAAATATATAATTTAAAGTTACAATTTCTCATAGTTGGTATCATTGGTGGCAAAGTGTTTAAAATATACTATGACATCGTACATCAAGAGGCCTCCAATTTTTTTGTCAATTTTACAATTGCGAATTAAATCACCCACTGCATAATTCAATATATAAGCCATTTTTGTTTCAATCCCTTGATAAGCCCTCCTTAGCTACAAGTAAATTAGGTGATCGGCGCCGCTAGTAAGTATAAAACCTAAATCCCTCCCTCCCTTGTGCATACATACTTTAAGAGGGGGTGAAAATATGTACCATAGTATAGTTGTTACTCCCTTTGTCTCGATAATAATTTCGAACAGCGAATTTTCCATTGTAAAGTAACAGTATTTTGTTGCTTGTAGCATTTACCCTGAGTATTTAATCTCGTCTCACGTTGTCTACTATCATACAATTTATTTCTATGAATTGTTGACAAAAATGATTTAAATTATATATATATGTACTTAATGGAATTGGGAGTCGAAGGGAGGGAGGGTGGTGTTGTTATTTGATAAGGTACATATGCTATGGATTTTGCACATCGCAATTATAGTACCTGCCCAAAAATTGTCTTGCTAATCGGTACCTGCCGTGGTGGGTTTTATATTTTTTTATTACCGTTATCGAAACGAAAATAAAATACCTATTTTACTAGGTAGTGGTTTTTTTATTTTTTTACTGTGGACATGGACGGTGCAATAAAAAAATACTTCGACCAACTGACTAGGTTGTGGCGACGGCGAACGAAATTATTATTCGCAGCGATGGCCCCGGTATCGTATAGTCTTCATTCACTGTAGGTACATAATTAAACATAGATATTTTATATTAGTAACGGTTTTACGCTGCCTGCAATATCAACAAGTAGGCAGTTTTTTTTTTTTTTACCATTTTAATTGATTATAAAACTCGTAAAATACATTTTCAAATTCCCCGAGTTCCGTACGCGAGTTTTTTTCGTCATTTCTTTGTTTTGCATACCAATGTATTCCATATAATATGTGTATAGGTACTACCGGGGCTGAATTAAGCGCAAGTAAAACACTAAGCATTTATTTTTTTTTTTTTACAGTTCAATGTAATATGATACAATATTAATCGTCCAAGTGATTTATCATAACCAACATCTGGAACATGAACTGCGAAATTCTTTTATAAGTGATTAAATAAATTGAAATTCTCAATTCCAGTACAGCTATTGTGTATTATTGGTACTAGTAATAAAATAGTACCTGCCATTGCCTAGGCCTAGGCATTTTCCTACTACTCCTATAAGTTAATCCTGGCCTGGGTACGACAATTAATATAGGGGGTTAAAGCCGGAGTGGTGTAAATCATATAAGTTTTAAAGTTCAAAATCACTTTTAAAGTTAACAAATCAACCCGATCGTTTCCATTCAAATATTGTGCTGCCATCTAGTTGTAGTGATTGTTAGTTATAACTTAATTCACTTTGCCTATCGAAATATTCGCCTTTAATAAATGCGTAAAGCACTTAAGTCGATTTTAACGAAAACTTGACTTACACCACTATGGCTTTAACCCGTCATATGGCGTATGATATTTGGGAAAAAAAAGTTTTAATTCGATCAACAAGTGGTCTTGTGTTGTAATTGACAAAGTGTAATTGCGAAACATAAAATAAAATACAAAAAAAAAAAAAAAAACCGCACACTTCATAGTAAAACCAAAACATTTCTCTTTGCGCTTAAAACCATTGGCATAAATAGCGGACGGTTTGAGGGGGCCAGCTCCTCTTAACTGTTGTATAGCATTACCCCCTCTATAAAACCTTGGCATTTTAGACCACATTGAAATATATTAATCACTTGGGTATGGACCTGAACTTCAGCCCGTCCTAAATCTAACATACGAGTAGTGCCTATGTTTAGAATCTGAAACTGATTTTGTCACATACTATGTATTATAATGTATAGGTATAACAGTTTACTCGCTCCTTTAGAACGAGAGTGACTGAGTGAAAAAGCGTCGATGACGAGCCACTTAAGAATTTTAATCACACAGACTGATAGACGAAAATTAAATTTTTTAAAATGTATTAAGAAAAGGGTATGGATATACTTCGCATAATGGGTGGGCCACTGTTTCTGGTGGAAAGTTGGGAAGATAGAGGGGATATTTAATCTATATCTGTACGCAACGATTAACAATCGCCAACAAAAAACGATTCTGAGCGGAGTTCGGTTAATAGTGTTGTTTTGTCAACAATATATATATATATATGTCATATTACGGTAAAATAATTACATATGCATTATACCTAAATATTTTCTTTAATAATATTTGTTTAATATTGTACTTATTTTCCCGTTTTTCCCAGTTAATTCCTGGGAATATCAAAAAATGACTTCAATAAAATACCAGCTCAGTAAGATTTTCTTTCAGAAAAAGTTCTGTAATTGAAAATCGGAGGAAATTTTCTGGTAAAAAGTTGTCCACAGAAAAAAATAAAATAAACATCATTGTAAAACCAATACGTATACCTGCACCGCTCAGAATTTAAAAAAAAATGTTTCAATATATTTAGTTGTTGCTGTCGAATAAAGTTAAATTGAGCTCAGCGTAAAATTCATGACCAAACAAACTAAGCCATGGTACAATCGGTCGTTTAAACTTATTATTTAAAGTTTAAATTTTATATGATGATTGTCTAAATCTTCTCTGGTTTCTAGTTGATCTCTAATGATATCATCCCGTCTCACACACCCGAATAATGGAGGATGGCCAATCCTCTATTGTTTTTTCACTGCAGTTTAAACCTCCACTAAGTTATTCTTAGGCCTTTTTTTTTTTTATGAAATTTTCCCGTCTGTTTTCGGGCCTTCTTATTTTTACCCCGATCCCTTCCCACGACCCGCACTAACTCATATTCCTGATTCCTACAAGCATACCATAACCATAACCATTTAATTATCTTCTTTTTACCATATCTACTATAATATCTTTGGTACCAGAGAAGAACGGTTTAAGTTAATTTTGTGTAGTTTTTAATACAAGTAAATCACATTTTGAGAATTGCTAAATGGTATAACGGCATAAATGACTATTAAATTGATATACAATAAATATGACCTATTTTTTTTTTGCCAAACAAAAATTACATTGTAGTTTAATATTCGGTATAACGTATAATTACAAATAATAACGCATTTACATAAAACAAATACCAAAGAGAAAAATATTGCATAAAACAAAAGTATAAAAAAATTACGAATCAAAGTTTAATAATACATGTTGTGAAATTCCATAATTTTTACGATATTCGTAAAAATGTGAGTTAAAGCGTTAAGCTTATTACAATAAAAACTATATGGCTGTCAATTTTTTTTTTTTTTTTACTACTATGTATATTTTACAACTTATAAGGTTTTGAATTTTCAAACGTTTCTGTTTGATAAAAAAAAACCATAATACTTGATGTATAAATGATTGGTTGGAGCGAAATTTCTCGTAGAAAAGTTGTTTGCGGACAGTAAAAAATAAAATCAAAAAAATCGCACACATTAATAAATTTATCGCCGTGCGTTCAAAATTCAAATATGCCAAAAATCTCCTTTCTTCCCCGGCATTTACTTGCAGTTCGGACCAAAACATTTTGTTTTCCGTTTTCGGAGCCATTTTCGTATTATGTGCGCAATCGCTAATATTATTGTTTCCAACAACGACGCCGGCGCACAGTGGTTTGAGAATGAAATTAAGGTGGCGAAAATAGGTCACTAAAAATGTTCAATAAATCAATTTTTTTCGTTCTAGGACCTCGTTAGTAGATGATTAATAGTGTTAATACAAAATTTCGAATTGATTTTTTCTGTTATTTTGAAAACAAAAATGCCGATAGTTCATGAATATTTTTGGCCATTGAAATATATAAAATTTAAAAAAAAAAAAAAATGAAATGTTTAATTGTTAAGACACGTGTTAAGGTAATAAAAAAAATATGTATATTTTTTTTTAATCTAGCTCCTTAACGGTTATGAATCAAAAAAAAATCCATAATTGGATTTTTAATTTCCGTTAAACCTTTGACGAGATATTCCACTTTTAAGTTTGGGCAGGGGTTACATGTATTTAAACTCTAAAACTTCGTCTATTCGTGGAATTTTCAATGTAATGTTCGAAAATCAAAAGTGGATAATGTGGTATATTATGGTATGTGGTATAGTAGTATCAGCCCGAAAATGGGAGTAATGAAAAATATCGATAATGCAACACTTTTAGAGCTGCTAGTTTCTTAAATTTTTCAAAAAAAAAAAATTTTTTTATACTTTTCGAGAGATAATAACGGAGTTCCTTATCGAGGATCGCTCAGGATGCGAATACAGACTGGGTGTCCGACAGTGTTATCCATATGCTAATAACTCTGTCAATATTCATTTTTTTTTGTCAGTCGGGTTTTGTGTCAGGGGGACAAAAATGTGGAGAAAAATTACATTTTTATTTTCATCCCTCGATCGCTGAAAAAAAAAAAACCAAACTTTTTAAAAATAGCTGATTTGTAATATATATTATTCTAAACATTTTAATATGTTATACACTTTCATATCCGGTCAATAGTTTCTTAGTTATGGCCGTTTTTTAATTTCGACATTTCAACATTCGCTATCGTGTAACGCGCGGCATTCTCGTTTTTCACCTATTTCTTCTCTAGGTAGCTAATATTATTAAGAAACTAATTCCATCGGACTTGGTCTTGGGGCGCACTTCAACGATGCGTCGCATAGTCTGTTCGGCCCCACACGGACACACGAGGCAGATTCTGCAATTCCCCGTCTGTAGAGCCGACTTTCACTTCTTTCCTGGTTACTCCGTGCTCTGTTTGAAGCTGCCCCGCACGTACCGGGTGAGGTCGAAACCCGGCACCCTCGCCATCGGATCTTCAATCACTATCGAGTTTGGAGATCCGACGCCGACGGTTTGGTCGTTGATTTAAATTTTAAAGCGGCCGTCTTGAACAGATGGAAATCTATCGTTATACTCTTAGATAAAAAAAAAAAAAAACCGAAAACAGTGAAACATAACAATTGAAAACATACTGTTTCCTCCCGTGTATCGATAGTATAGAAATTTATATATCATTTTATTTTACGGATAAATAATTTTGTTTTTTTTGTTTTTTAGGTGCCTACTTATTAATTACTACTATATAAACTACCGTTCGACTCATAGTCTCGGCATACCAACAAAATACACTCACACATTTTCAAACAAAAATATCGCATCACAACGTGACCGAAGATCGAGGGAAAAAAAAAAAAAAAAACCACGTCCGATTTTCGTTCATAATCGGCCACATTGTATACACGCCGTAACGCGGTGTTGCGCATATTATTATCATCATCATCTACATCATCGTTTGTTTGTTTGTTTTTTTTTTTTTTATCATCGCTGTATAATACCGCCGTGTACATAACATTTTTAACTATTATTTTAACTATTTCAACGAATGCGCGTTATAAAAACATAAAAACCAATAAATCGTTATCGCGTTTTCGCGGACGATCAGGAGGACGGAAAAGGAACCGCCGCCGGGACGACACGGGGTATGACGGCGGCGAAAACCGACCGCCCGAAGAAAAATCGAAATCGAATGTCGCCCGGGCGAACCGTTGTGCGCCCGCTCGTTTTCGAAACGGAACACAGTTTTTAAACCGTCGATTTGATTTTTACTTTTTTTTGTTTTTTTGTTTTTTTTTTTTTTACCGGCTTCGTAAAACCGATACGAATATCCCCGTGGAAGGTTTTTTTTCCTTCTTTTCGCCGTTCTTTTGTTATTACCGAACCTCCTCTCCCAACTATCCCGCCGCCATTACCCGCCGGCCCGACAGTAACGGTTTTAACAATGATCGCTCGTTGGTGATACAATACATGTATAATAAATATCACGTTAGTGTGTGTGGTGCGGTCTCTTGACGTATTTCTGTACGGAAATATATTTATTTTTTTTAGAAAAGTTAAAATTAAAAAAAAAAAAAAAAAAAACACCACACACATTTTATCACATACGGAACGTTTAAATTTTATGACAAGCGGCGGTTTTTTTTTAAATTTTTAAATTTTCATTTCACTAGGATATCATCGGTGTTTTTCGGCGACGGTTTCCCTCTTATACTGCGCGTTCTGTTATTTATCGCGTTCGAAAACGATGCGCGGTACAATATCGTGTTGTAACGTATTTAATAATATTCTGTACCCTTACGTACCGCGTGTACGCGTACCTATATTATATTGTGTAAAATGTATTTGTAATTTTTTTTAGTAGTAATTTTTAAATGTTATCATTAGTTTACAATATTATTAATTATTATTAATTCTGTTTAAAATGTAGAAATATCATTCTAGTGAATATTATTATAATAGCCAGCCAGCCAGCAAGCGCCCGGCTTTGTCGTAATATATATAAAAAAAAAAAAAAGAATCATAACAAAGAACTGAGTATTGTAATAGTTAAAAAATAAAAATAAATATATAATAATAATAATAAAATAAAAAAAAAATTTGAGAAACCATGCGATGTGTTTGATTTGTAATTTAGTTCACGGCGAGGATCCGGCCCGGGCTAATCGCATGCCGAACAGACTACAAGAGAGTAATAACAAATGTAAAAAACAAACAAAAAAAAACGCAATAATGTATAATATTTTATATTATCGTTACTGTGTTTGTTCCGTACTTTTTATTATTTTATGTAATAATATATTATTATTATTATTATTATTATTATTATCATTATCATGTACAAATATTTTATTGTGTTTTAACGATATTAGTCCGCGTCTGTTACTATCCGTGTAATTTAAATTTTAAGTCGTGTCTGTAATAATATTAATAATAATAAAAAAAAATATTAAAAAAAAACGAACGACTCGATTTCTACTATTCCTATACTTATTCTTCTTGGTTTATATATCATTTAGAAATAAAGATAATATTGCTTTCAGTTGTCGCACGGAACAATCGAATTTGTATGCGCCAACACTTTCATATCATTGGTATTTTTTTCCGTATTATTAACATTGACGAGAAAAATGCCCTGTAAATTCAATCGGACAGCAAATTTTCATCCGCGAAAGTATGTGCCATTACACCGCGTTCGAATTTGTTTGCGTTCGACGTCGATAAGAACATTGTTTTGATCGGGACGGGGATTGGTACGAAAAAAAAAGGTTATCGGCGCGGAACTCTCGGTGCGGCCAAAACGATTCGCCCGCACCTGGTTCCCGTTTGTACAGTGACCGAACCCCCCCCCCCTCCCCCCCGCAGGCCGGGGATTCCGTTTAGACGCCGGCCGACGGTCGCGGATTCGTCGATAAACCAGAGAGAGAGAGAGAACGAGCGAGCGTATCGATGGAAATGCCAGTACCCACGAATTTTCCACCGGTCCGGAGAGCCCGCAGACCGCAGCCTTTTTATCGGCCGACCGTTTCGCACCGCGCGACGAACGCAAGGGCGCGCACTATAACGGTTCGGCATCGGCCGGTTTATGAGTTCGATGGGCCACGCGACCCGGTGGTGGGTAGGCAGGAGGTCCGCGGAGAGGAAATAAACGGACCGCCGGATTTTTATTTTTTTATTGTTTATTTATTTTTGCTTTAACTTCCGCAAAACTAAACGCAATCGTCCCTGTCCGCTGTACGTGTGTATAGGCGACATTGCACGTTCTGTACCGTAAACGTCCACTGAGGGTCCGAACCATCTGAATAATACAATGTTATTAAATTCGATTATTTAGTGTGATTGCCGAAAGAGCAATGCCGTCATTATTGCTGAATGACGTACAACTGTACGTTACATTACTAAACGGTAGAGTCGCGTGGGCGAGGTCGTGGACAAAAATCGCGGGCAACGCGTTTAATTTTTCGTGCTAATCATTTGTTTTTCTCTCTAAAACGTCACGGTCCGACGGAAATCTCGCTGGCCCGGGCCGCCCCGGACCGGACGGCTATAACAACACAATAACTTACAGGCTCACCGCGTGATAATAACAATAACAACAACAATAATTTCTCGTATATTTTCTCCTACACTCTAACGGTATATTATAATTTTTTTTTTTTTTTTTTTTTTTTTAAAAACGAAAACCGGACGTTTCGATTCTACCGCGGCACGGTAAATGCGACGCGCGTACGGGTATGTAGATTACGTTCGCCGCGCGCGGTCGTTAATGCCTCCCCGTTCGCCACGCCGCGAGAACCGTACGCGTCAATTATTTCCAACAGGTTTTGTAAAATAACTCCGTGCGCGATAATGACGATAAAGTAACGCGTGCCCGCCCGGAATAAACTTAATTTCGACGGTCCAAAATTAGAATGTCCAACTTTTGTCCCGCGTCAAAACGTATAATTTACAGTCCGGCGGTGTCCCGTTATAAACGACACCGCGCGCGTGAATCGGCCGCGGCAACGGGCCCGAGCGGTGCCGCCGGGTACCAGTGGCGCGGCGCGTTGTGCGGTGGCCGCCCCGAATACCCCGAATAACGCCGCGGCGGTAACCGATGGCGGGTCTCGACTGCCGAACCGGCGAAAAGGCGAATTCCGTTCGTTGTTTTTGTCACGGCGCTGTGGTGGGACGTGCGCCGATTTAGAAGACGCTCCGTGTACAATTGCGGTGATCGTGAACCGTATACGAAATGGTGTGCGAAACGGCGGTCTACGGGTTTCACCGCGCCTGTGTTCTTCAATCGGTTAGGTAAAGTCAAAATAAGGGTGGCGGATATCGCGTGAGAAAAAAAAAAAAAAAATAAGAGCCCGTACCGGGAACGGGAGCGGCCACCGGCCGTTTCATTTATGTCCGTAAGCAGCGATATAAACCGTTACCTGGTAAGCGCGATACGAGTATTATTACCGAGTTTTAAGTCTCTGCGTGTATTTACGACCGAACTACAGCGGCGAAAAAAAACAAATGAAAAAAACTCCCGAAAATCGAAATTCCCCGGAAGCTCAAAAGTTTCGGCGACGACACCGCGAGAAAGTAAATCAAAAAGTCAACGAAAATGGCCGTCTTGTGATTTCGTCCGATCAAATCGTTTTTTTCTGGCAGAAAACGCCGTCCGTGTTTTTGTAAAATTACGAAACCGTGAAACCGTACGTTTTCCCGTGTTGTTTTACCCACGCAAGTGGGATCTTCTACTTAGAGAACGGCGTCGAAAATAAAAATAAAAATCGCGTCTTCGATGTACCGTCTAGACGACTCGGGCTTTCATTCGGAAAAGTCGCTGCGCGTACGAGTCGGAGCTGGTCTACCGGGGGCCGCAACGTGTCCGCGGGCTAGAACAAAGAACAAAGAGAGAAAAAAAAAAAAAACACAACAAACATCCGAGTTCGGCCAATAGCTCCATTGCTACGTTCGGAATCTAACATCAGCCCAATCGGATAAAACGGTACGCCACGCCAATGATTGCAGTTGCGACAGAACGGGCGCAGCACCCAAAGCACATTTTTGTCGGCGACGGTTACAGCGGCGTCATTTCGGGGGTTTTTTTTGGTTTTTTTGTTTTTTTGAGGGGCGCGCTAGGTTACCAGCAGGCGATTTCAATTATTTCGCCGGGCCATACAACAATTTACACGTTACCCGGCTTTTAACTGTGTCGCGGTTGGTTTGTGAAATATGAACCGCGCAATAGACATAAATAATTGAATGCTGTTTAAATCTAAAAAAAAATAATAAACAATTGCCAACTCAACCAACGAAAACCAATAATAAGTTATGCGTACAATTAGTGAAAATGATAAATTCGGTAAAAAAAAAAAATCGTATAATGTTCACAATATTATTAATCGGCGGCATGCATATTTCTTGCACGAGCAAAACACTTTAGAAAAACAAATTAGCTATTCGGCGGGACCTCGCTATCTCGAAGTTTACGTATGTCGAATATATTTTTCAGTCCCGATCATTGATTATTGGGTGGTAATTCTCTTGCTAACTCGAAGTTTCGATGCGTCGATTTTTTTTTTTTTTTGGTCCTTGAGACTTCGAGATATCGAGGTTTCGATGTATTCAGAGGATTATTAAGAGGATACCGGCGATTTTTTAGTTCAGCGAATACGTCTACAGCTTTTTCTAAATCGATATTATTTACTTTTTCTTATTAAACATTTAGCACTATAAGATCATTCAGCCTTTGATGATCAATGATCAAAGGCTATGATTTTTAACATTTTTTAAACGGCGAAAAACCCCTTTCATTTGATACCGTTGTGATTCGTAAAGTTTTTTTTTTTGAACCGTTAACCGTTCAACCGCGTAGTTATCCGAAATTTTAACCGTGTGGTTCCTTATCTGTATTTTTATTCTGTAGATATCGGGTACCCGTGTTTGGTAAATTGTAAAATACGCGATACACTCATTGTTCACTCAGTTACTTGATAGTACGATATTTGTTTACTGACAGTAAAATACCAATACTTTTAATAAAAAAAGTATAGTTCACATAAAAAAAAAAAAAAAAAAAAAATGG